ATTGCAGCCACCTCCGAATTCGGGCTCCAGGACAAGGTTAGGGGTGACGCTGGACAGCTAAACAGGCCGGACTTTATTTAATGGCATCTTCCTTGGCACCCTGGCACACCCTCTCTGCTACAGCCTCACTCACGGCTCTCTCTGCTGGCAGCAACCTGTGCTGCACCCACTCCTCCAAAGGCACTTAGTCAAGGTCAAGGGCTGGAGCATGTCCAGAGCTAAAGGGTCTTTTAAGGTTCCATAGGCAAGATAAACTTAACACAACAAATTTCTAAATACTCGCATCCTGTGTTTTCCTCTGGCTCGCAACCCAATTGCTCAATTTGCTTTAGCGGCACCTATGAGCAATGCGCTCCTGAAATAGTGCGTGAGAAGTAAAATGCGAAGTGTTCTGGGAATAGAACCGAGGAAGATCCACCTTCGGGTGTGCAGTTGGCCTGCAGGCAGGCTCCGGTGCTTGAGGCTGCAGCCCGAGCTAATCTGGGGCACCCTGTCCAGATCAGTGCTGGGGGTCTTTCAAACAGCAGTGGACATTTTTCTCTTAAGAAAAAAAAAAACATCTTTACCATTTGGCTTGTTTAAAAGAGAAAATGGACAATTTTCTCCCCAAAGAATAATCTGATATTCTCTAACCCAGATGACACAACTGACCTCATTTTCTCAAAATCTACCTTGTCCATCCCCTCGGGCATCATCCCCTTCAAAGCCCGAATGAAGAGCATTGGAGCAGCTTTAAAGCTCATTGTGTCCTCACCTCAAGCCCTTAGAGGACGTGCAGTACCCAACGCAGTCTGCCGCTGGGCCTCCCACCCGGCCCGCCCCCTCCTGCCCTGCAATCCTGAACTCGTACGCGTATTCCCTGCGTAGGTGTGCTGTGCTGATGCGTGTCCCTGGGATTCTGTTCACGCCGCCTTCTGCCCAGGACGCCTCCCTGTCCCCTCCTGGCCACCTGACAAATGCACGCTCACCTTAATGTCCTAGCTCAGGCACGATGTGCCCATTATGCAGTCCCGCCTGGCGGTGGCAAATTTGAGGGAGTCTTCCCCTCCTGGTACAGCCTGAAGGTGGGTTCGCTGTGGTGGAAGTGGTCCAGCTCCCTAAGTTCTACCATCCCGTGCCTTTCTCCGGACTAGAACGTGGACTCCCAAGACCTCCAGCCCCCAGCAAAGCATCTCCCCTGGAAATGAGTGAGAGTCCCCAAGCCATTATCCGAAAGTGCCTGGCATGCGCATATTCACTGCCCCAAACTCAGTGGAATTGAAAATGATTTGTTTTGCTCTAATGCCTTCTTTCCATACTGACCGGCCCTGGAGCTGCTGCCACTTCCTGGCTCCCCCGCCCACCCCAACAGGTCTTGCCAAGGCCAAGGAAGTTCCCTGGGGCAACACCAATGAAGTGCTTGGGATGGTTTTGAGCACATGGTTGTACCCAGGCCTGTGAGAGCTCAGAAGTCCCCCTCCTCTTCACACCACCCCCATCGACCAATCAGAGCATCAGCACCCCCTCTCACACCAGACTCTGAAGGGGCGGCCTATTCACACACTCCTCCAAGACTCAAGGCCAAGAGATTAGGTCTCCAGACAAGGGCGGGGACTCAAATGTCCACTTCTCTCACTCTATCCAGCAGTTCAAACCGAACAGTCTTATCTAACTCAGAGGGGCCAGAAACACGTGGGTTCAAATCCCAGCTGGGTCACTGAACTTCGCAGAGCCTCAGTCTCTGTACTTGAAACACAGACCTTGCCACCACCAAACTTTCTTTTGAGCATTAAATGATTTGTGAAATGTTTGGTATTTAATACATATTCCCTTTTATCCCTGAATAGAAACTGCATGAAAATGAGCAGTGTACGCACGCAGAGCGAACACACACACACACACACGCACATGCATGTGCGTAACCCATGTCAGAATCCCACGGACATGCCCATGTCCTGGAGACAGAGCTGCACCCTCCCTCCCGTTTCCATCAAAGGCACGTGCTCCGACTCTGAATTCCAGTTCGGGAACTCGAAGCACAGATGGAACGTTGGCTCCGATGTCTCCCCTGCTTGCAAATCACACTTGTCAAAGGCTCATTTAAAAATACTGTGACAGCTCGTTGTGCCTTGGAAACATCTACTCAGATGCGTGGTGTCTGTGTGTGTGTGAAGGGGGGTGGGCTGTGCTCCACCTTTGTTTTTTTTTGTAGGTAATTCACATCTCAGCCACACAAACATTTAGCGAAAAGAACAGGGTGAAGGCACATAAAATCTCTCCAAATACTCACATGTTGGTTGATTTATGTGTCTAACAGTATATGCTGCTGACATTTAGCTGTCAAAGTCCTCTTTACCTGTGATTTTAATCAATAGCATTTTCAGTGATAGTACTTAAGGATTACCAGGGTAGGAAAAAGCAACTATTTGAGACTAATTTTAGCGACATAAATCTAGACTCTTAAAATAGAAAGTTCTCAAAGACAATCCTCTCGCTTTGGAGAACGTGCCCTCAGGAAGTAAGCTGGACATGCGCAGAAGCGTATGCACCGAGGTGTTCAATGTGGTATTTTCCTAACGGTGAAGAATCCTAAACAATCAAACGTCCGAAAACAGACGAATGAGTCTGCGAACTGCAGCGTGTCTACCTGGTGGGATAATGTGACAACTGTCGCTGACCACCCTGCACCGTCCTCACCTGCTCCTTCATCGCCAGACTGGGAGCACCATGACCGGAGGAACAGATGAATGAATGGCTGAGGATACACGGGCACGCGTGACTGAGAGAGACACACCCAGTGGGCACAAGGAGGTTTACAGCTGGAGCACGCAGACCGCAGCTTGTTGATGCATTGTTATGTGTTAACGACTGTATCATGTTCCACACGAACAGCTGTGAACCTACTTTTGCCCCGCCCTGGGTACAGTTTGGAAATGTACAAAAATGCAATATTAGGTAAAAACAAAGAAAAGCCTGCCTGACTGGAGTGGCTTCCTCCTAACTCTGTGGTTTTTCCTTCTACATCTCTGCATTGTTTCAACTTTCTCTAAGTAATACTTGTTAAATGAGGACAGTCTTGAGGTTTGCATCAGGAGTGAATGTTTCCCACAGTGCTGAGGGCAACATAAAGTTTTCGCGAAAGGTTGAAGAGGTTTTTTTAATAGGAAATTACTGCTTTTAATTAAACATGGCACATCTCTCTTCTCTCCCCCCACACACCCCTACAAAATGGAGTAATAACTAGGAAGTCTAAACCCACAAAGATAACAGAAGAGGACAGCGGAAATGAGCGAACAACAGCTGGGGGATTTTACAAACATGGAGATGAAGAAAAGGAGAGTAAGGTGTGCTGAGGGGCCCAGCATCGTGGGATAACTCACACACCGGGTGCCCACTGAGCAGGGTGAGGACATGACCCGTGTCCTCCAGGGGCGGCCTAGGCAGCCCAGAGGCAGGAGGCCCCCTGCAAGGCATGGGTGAAGCCTGGGGCTGCAGCGGGGCGGCTCAGCTCAGACCCCATTTTTGTGGTTGGTAAGAGCAGGCGCTCGCCATTACCCTGCGGGGCTCCCCAGTGACCCAAATGGACCTGCTCATCACAGTTCAGTGCACTGTCTCAGCCCCAGGACTCAGTACTCCTAGGTTGGGAGAGTGAAGGAGGAAGATTAGAAAAAGCTGACAAAAGACAGCCCTGAGCCGTCATCGAGCGAGGCAGGAACTCAATCGTCACTTCCAAAACTGACAAGTCAAGGAACAGCAAGGGTCATGTATTAGCTAGAAGCATGGAGGCCAGAATGAGAAAAAACAGCTGAAGGAGTCGAAGGTGGTAGCCTGGAGGGAGGGGGAGGTGCGACAGGGAACGAGTTGACTAAAAAAAAACCATCAACCTTTGGGGACTATGTGATGATTTCAAATGTTTGCATACCATCTTGATAAAACTCAAACTCGACCGTGGGCTTGTCTGGCCTGGACAAGTGTCACGTGTTTGGCTCTGAGTTCCCTCCTCTCTCTCCACGCCCCACCTCTGCCATCGCCACGCGGCAATAGGGTGGCCCACTCACAGACCGGGACCCAGGGACCTAACCCCGCACAGGCCGTGTAGCCTGAAAGCCTTAGGCAGAGCCCTGAGGTGCTCAGGCACAGACATTCTGGATGGCGTGTGCAGAAAACACACGCACACGTGATCTCCCAAGTTGGCGTGTTCACTGAGAGGAGGAAAGAGAGAACTGAGCACGTGGACTGAGGACATTCAAACTTTCAGCCACAGCCTTGACCATAAATGACTGCCTCCCACAGAAGCTATATTCTGTCACTTCAGCCAGGATGGTAATGACAGATGTCTAGAGTCCCTCAGACATCATGTCACGGGGCAGGAATTAGTGTTGCTTGGGCTCTTGGAGCCTCTCATTTCCTGACTATGGGAAGGCAGTGAAGGGACGTGCGGTGAGGCCCACCCCAGCCTGCCCACCCCCACCTACCCCATCCAGAGCGGCCACCTCCCCGAACCTCCTGCTGCCTCGTGACCAGACCGGGGCCAGCAGCCTCGGGCTGGGCTGTGCTCCCAGGCTCAGGGCCCGTGCCCTGCCTTAGACGTCACAGTGCCCCCCAGTGTGCCGACAGCCAGCAGTCTGAACTCTCCTGTACTAGTGAAGAGCAGATTCTTTCCCTTCTGACCACGAGTGCCACCGCTGTTGACGCTGCCCCGGGACTGTGCAGGTCTAGACATGCCCTGACAGGGGGAAACGATCCTTAGAACGCAAACTGGGAGGATGGGGCTCAGGACCCACTCTGCTTCCGTCAGCTGCACTGTTTGGCCCAGTCGTGGCATTGCTGTGAGTCTGGTTCCTCACCTGTGACGTGGGCTGGTACCTGCCCGGCGTGTGCATGTGCGTGTGACAGATAGGGGCCGGAATCAATGTGTGAGAGGGTCCCACGAGCTGTAAACTACTGGCCAAAAGGAAGGAATAAGAGGAGAAAGAGGACTGGGCTCTGTCGTCAAAGACAGGAACACGACTAGGACTCACCTTTCTCTGCGGGGGAAGGCAGAACCACAGAAGGGCAAAAACTGGGAGCATCATATGGAGCAACTGCAAAGGACAAAAAGGAGGCCCGTTAGCTCTTCCTTACCCTCGGGGTCCCTGAGCTCTGAGGAGCAATTTGGTGAAAGCGAAATTGGGCTTGGAGGGCCGAGATCACGCCCGACTCCCAGCACCAGCCCTGGATCCGTCGGGGTGGGCTCAGGTAAACCCAAGTGGTAATCACAACACCTCAGAGGCTTAAAGCAACAAAGCGGCGCCTTCCCTGCACACCAGGTGCCAACGGGTTGGGGCCTGAGACCTGGCATTTCTAACAAGTTCCCGGGGCATGCTGACTCTGCTGGTCCCAGGACGCGCTTTGAGGACCACTGACTACGGCGTCTGTCGTCAGTGCTCTGTGAGCTCCTCAGGCAACTCTCAGGCCTCCTACCAACCGTCCGCTGGGTGCCACTGCCCCCAGCCAAGCGGCTGGGCCCTGGCACACTGCTGGTTTATTCAAATGTCCGTCTTTCCCGGAAGACAGCAGCCCTCAGAGCAAAGACCCTGAGCACCGGTGCAGTTTGCAGAGAACGACCTGGCCTCTGTCAAGGGCACTGACATGTTCACGCCTTGGTAACTGTGCGTTTGGGAACTTATCTTGCAATTCAAAGTAAGCTTGGTTTGCAGAGGCACATTTAGGCAATGCAGATGAAACGCTGGAGAGGAGATCACACTGCAACACCCCGAGAACAGTTAGCTGGAAAATACCAAGCAGCTCACCTCAGCAGAGAATGGGTCGCCTAGTTCTGCTGCTATTGGTCACTTGCTCCTTCTCACCCACCATCAGAGTTACGTGACAGGTGCCACTCATCCTGTGAGTGGGACCTTCTCATTGCATAGGAGTAGCTGCGCTCTGTGAGGGCTCTCAGCTTCCCTAGGCCCTTGCAGCACTAAAACCGTCAATGCCCCCATCCCTGGGAGGACCGACATTGCCCTAGGGACCCCCCTACGGTGTCATCTCACTGTGCAACCTTGAGCAGTTCGCTCAGCTAATTCACATTAGCAAGTGATCACTAAACTTTCTGCTGCTTTCCAACTCTGCCTTCTGGGACATCAAATTGGCCTAAAACTGGCCACGGTGGGCATATTTACACCATATTAAGCGGCAGCTGCTAGAAAGCAGGCTTCCCTCCACCTTCACTGGCTGCAAAATGTCTGCAACGCTGAGTGTGGTGTCACAGCAGGCGCTGCCTTGCAGGGCTGTTTGGGAACAAAATAAGGGGCTTTCTGCAAAACGCTAGCCTAGGGCCTGTAGCCAACTCTGTGCTTAGCAAATACTTTGCTAGCACATGAATGATGGTGAAGAATGGATTGCACAGAAACTCTACCTACGTGTGGCAGCTTCTGTGAAGGGCACAGACAGACCCAATTAGAAAAGCTTGTCACTTCCTTTCCAGGTTATGTTCCCATATCTAGAATTGCTACAGGGTCTAAGTGCATTTGCTTGGCAGCAGAAGAGAAAAACTGTGAGGTTTCCATTGTATTTTTAGAAGCCACATTGGACTTTGTAAACAGACCAATGACCCTGCCCTGAGTTCAGGCCTCACCCAGCTGCAGAGAGAAAGGGCAGCCCTGGTTTCTGCCAAGAGCAGAGGGTACCCGGGCTGCGGGGCCCACCCCCTCCAGGAAACCCAAATCTCTGGGGCAATGCTTGACCACAGAGCTGCCCTTGTCCCCCTGCCCTCCCACCCTGGATGTATGAATACTTCCTCCCTGGGTCCTGCTGCCAGGAACAGGCAGCAAATGGCCTCACCTGCATTCACAATTGTTCATGTGGGCCCTCAGTTCTGTGCTAAGACTCATGGGACTTGGTGTTCACTGTGGACAGCAAAGTCAGAGAGCACACTCCCACAGGCCCTGCAAGCCCCCTCTGGGTGTGCCCTGGGACAGGCATGTGCCTCTCTCCACCCCCCGGAGTCCACCTCGGCCTCTGCCTCTGTCCCGTAAACATAGCTCTGGCAGGAAGGCCACTGATGCACTGGCCGTGGGAAGCTGCCTGAGTGCTGTGATATTTCTGAACAAATGGACTGTCTGAAGCTTCTTTTGACCCAGTTCATCCCTGAGCAATATAAGGGTGGAAAATGATACGTTCCGCATTAGGTGGGACGAGGAGATGGGAGGCGATGTGGGAGGAAAGACGTGTTACATTCTAATGGACAAGTAAACCAAGGGAACCCAGCAGGGTGAGCATCTGTCGGCTCCCCGGCCCGGTGACAGCACCTTAAGGACACTGTGAGAGAGAGACCCCCTCCCCACCAGTGCCTACATCCTCACTGGACTGTCAATCAAGCTGCCCTGCCCTTGTGGGCGGGCTCTCAGCCATGGACCAGCTCTCCCCCTTGAATTTAAAGCTTGGACGCAACCACCCAGACCTTCTGGAGGAGGACAGCTGTGACAGTGACACGAGGTGACAGTGACGCATGAGGATGTTGCCCACTCCTTCCTGCTCAGCCCATCCATGCGCTGAGCCTTTGTCGGTCATCTTTCCTCTGAGTTTATGACTTCCCATAAATTTCTTTTCTGCTTCTGTTCTTTGCACCCAGTGAATTCCAAATAATCTCCTTCCAGGCCCCAGGACATCATTCAAATACACGTCTGGAAACCAGTCAACTAAAGATGTCCACAGAGCGGCCCTGGGAAAGCTACTTACCAGGCTTCTGGTACCATCCGAAGGGATAGGTGCGGACCTCGGTGTCGGGAGGGCCGCAGTCCCAGATGCGCCAGGTGCCTCCGTTTTCCTCACTGCAGGTCTGCAGTCCCAAGCTGTTCAGAGTTAGGCAGGTCACCTCTCCACCTGCAGCAAACAATAACCAAGACCAGGAAAGGGATCAGGACAGAGATTCTAACTGAAAGAGGGAAATTCTGCAAACTGTTCATTAGCAGGCATTGGGGGTTCACAACTAGTTGTATTCTAGGCATGACCTTAGCCACGGAGGAAAACCCTGGCGCCTTGATGATCCCTGGCCTGACAGCACAGGAATGAAGGTGACTAAGACTTAGGGAACACCACAGAGAGCCTGGGGCTGTGCGAGGGCTGTCCCATCGACCCCTGATGCTCACATGGCCCTGCAGGCAGGTCGCATTTTCATCCCTACTTACAGTGCAGGAGACTGAGGGTCAGAGATTCAGTGACCTTTCTGGGATCACACCACTAGCACGCTTTAAATACAGATCATGGAATGGACGAGAAGGCAGCCAGGTGGAGTGTGAAAGGCAGGCAGTTCGGATCGGGTAACAGGGTTTGGAGAGCTGACCGGGTACTGGACCAGCAGCCGTGTTCCAGGCATCACATGTATGAACCAGCTCCCTCTCCAAGCCCCCGCTTCCCACCTGCGAGTGAGGATTGCTCCTCCCCACCCACCACACACAGGTGCTGAGGACTAGATCAGATCACAGGCGCGAATGCGTTTCTGGACTGCCAAGTGCCCTGCGCAGGTGGGGGCGGGGGGTTGCTACCACTCTCACCTTTTGACTGGGAGACATTGAGAAAGCCAAAGCCAGTGCAGCAGGGGTCCAGGTCACACAGTCGTTCACACTCGAAGAACCTGGTGTGAGAAGAGAAAGGGCAGGCCTGAGGATTTCATTGGCAGCCCAGGACCTGGGACCTGGGACCTGGGACCTGGGACCAGTGCAGGGGGTTGTGGGGGTGGCTGCCTGCAGTCACTGCTACTTCTGGGGGCCTGCTGTCTTTACGACTACCTAACTTGGGGTTCCTCTGGCCAAGATGCACGAGTGGACTTCTGAGTCCCCCCTGCCCTGACCTGAGTTCTGGTTCAGATCACTCCTTCCTGACTCCTGAGAGCTCACTCCATCTGAGCTCTTCCATGTGGGGACCCCACTCATCCTTGGTGTTCTCCTCCCCTTTGTAGAAGCCCACTGAACACGAGTCATCCCGGTGGGTGAAGCCTCCACCTCCCCGGCAACCCCTCGGACTCCGGCTGCACCTGCGCCCTGCTGGCCCCCTCTCCCGGCGCCCTGCCCACCTGCCTCTCACCAGTTTACCTTTGTTGGAAGCTCCCTGCTAAGCCCCAGCCTGGATACTGTGCTTTCCCATCTGACCACCCTGCTCTGAGACCCCAGCCCTGGGCCCCACGCCAGGGTCAGGCTGAGCCCTGGTTCCAGCCCTCCTCCCCCTGCTGCCCTCCCCCACCCACACCAGCACAGGTAGAGCTCGGCCCACTCTGCGGAGAGTCTATCTCATCTCACTTCTTATCTCCATTCTCAAAAGATCTTAAAAGCCACATGACTTGGTTTTACAAATCGACAATCTGGTCCAGAGCAGCCCAATGACCCGCATCCTAGAACACTGCTACCTTTTCCAACCTCTGCTTTGGGTTTTGCAGTTTTTATGATGTCTGTGCCTTTAACGGACACTGTGCCACCTTCTATGTGCCGTTAGGTGGCTTCCTCACAAGCATCAGCTGCGGAGGGTGGGGGGCGGGGCAGCTTACCCATTGGAAATGGGCTTGGCAGACATGGGCACCTTGTTTCGGATGGAAATCCCCGTCAGCTTTCGGAATGGCAGGCGGGTGTAAAAATTCTTCACTTTATCTTGCAGCACAACTACTCGGGGGAAGAAGGAACTTGTATCATTCAGGGAGAAATTGGTTGTCTCCTCAGAAATAGGAGGCTGAAGGTGTATGAACCAGACCAAGAGCTTCCAATGACAGATGCATATTAAACTCCCACCACGATCTCCCTACAACAATAGTGAAGGGAACCCAGTAAAGCCATGCCTCACACACAGAGTCAAGGACAGGGGATGAAACGACACAATTTCCCAAGCCGAGGAAGCACCGAGAAGAGTACGAAATTCAGTTAACAGACCTGAAAACTTTTAGGTCTTTTCTGCAGGAGAAGCCAAGCAGCACCCCCTACACCTTCTGGAATCCCGAAAGGGCTACGTAGGGCAGTGAGAGGATGGGGGTGGGACGGGACAGGCGGGCACAGCGTCCCTGCAGAGAGCAATTAGGTCTCCAGACGCCTTCCCCTGCTTTCTGCGGGGGGGCAACAGCCCTGCCCAACCCACAAGTAGATCAAAGCCTTATTTTCTGAAGATGACCAAAGAGAGAGGGTGTCGTAGGTGCAGCAGGTACAGTTAATGGTGGGAGCGCCACACGGAAACTAGAGGATTCTTTCAGGTCAAGGTACGTGGTTTAAACACTGAGACCCTTTCTCCCGACCTTATTCAGAAGCCAAACCCACAGCCCCCAGCTTCGTGCCCCCAGGCCAGGGAAACCGGAAGTCAGCGAGCTCCCGCTGCACACTCTGGGGCTTCTGGATCAGCCGTAGGGCCCTCATCTCCCGTCTGAGTGGGAAACCAAGGGTCCCCAGGTGCCCGAGAAAGGTCTCCAGCAAAGACGGTAGAACAGAAAATGGAAGAAATGGAGACTGCATAGAGTGAAAAGATCCCCCTGCCCCAGCAAAATAATAGAGTCCTTAATGTCCTCGGAGAGAAAAATCCACTGTACGTTGCAGGGCCCCGGTCGGTGGGGTCTGCCGTGATCCGGTGGGTTCTAGCTGACCTGGCACTTGCGGCAGCTTTCTCTGAGGAATTATTCTCAGAATAATCCCAGGGCAGAATTAGCCCCGACAGTCAACCCGGTGAGTTTTCCAGTGGCTCCCCATCTTTACGACGAGCATGGATAACCTTATTTTCTGTCGAGAAGAGACGCTCTGCACACTTCTGCCCAGCGGTCGGGCCGCTGCCACCACGCGCTCACCTTTCTTCCGGAACAGGGCACTTGGCCGGTGGGGCAGGAGGAGTCTGCAGCCCATGGGACTTGACTCCAGGACGTCGTCACACTCCTGGGCCTCTGGGTAGAGGGTACAGGTGAAGTAGGAGGCGCTGTCCCTTATCTCCGCCAGCCGGCAGAAAGAGGACTCCTGGGCACAGCCTGCAGGCGAGAGGGCATGGGCTCAGGGCCCGGGAGGCCTGCAGGACACGGCTCCCTCCGAGGGGCTCCTGAGAAGCGGAGCCCTGGAGGATTCTTCCTGGGCGGGCCAGAGGCCTGGACCGCTGAGTATATCCAGGCTGGAGGGCCCGAGAGAACCCCTGGGGTTCCGAGAGCGGGAGTCCACGGGCTCAGAGAAAAGGCGGAGTCTCACAGGGAGGGGTGGGCGGTACAGGAGGAGAGAGGGTGCTCCTCCACTGGCTCTCCCCGGGACCGCCTCGGAGACGGTCCGGGCCTTCAGGCCAGAGGCCGCAGGACTGCAAAACCACTGTGAGCTTGGTGAGTGCCATCCCGGTTCCCATTCCTGTGCTGGGCTTCGCCTCGGGCAGGCGCGAGCCCTCTGACGGGCGTCTTTTCCCCAGGTTAAACACCGGGCCCAGAATATGGGTTCTATCTATTGGGTAAAGGGTGGACGAATGGCTGGCTGGGTGGGTGGGTCATCGGTGCTGGGCGCAGAGTAGAAATTAACTACACTATAAGCCTCTTGCAGGTGTGGGTTATGTCCTTTCTTTGTATCACCCATGGTACTAACCCTGAGGTGACCTGGGAGTTATGCCATTAACTTCGACCCTAAATGAGGCCTGTGGCACTGGACCAGCCTCGGATGAGGTGTTAGGACACTTACGAGACAGGCACCACAGGTTTGCCTGCTGCGGTGAAAATGGGGGTTTGAAAAGCCAGTGCCGCTGGCTGGGCAGGGGTCTGTCCCCACCGACAGCAACCGAGCTAAGGTCCACAGGCGCGAAGAGCTCTGCTGCCGCGTCTGAAACCAAAGGAAGGAGTCAACCGCTTTTGTCCTCACATGCACTGTCAAGCAGTGTCTCTCTCCTTCTCAAGTCAATGGAGCTGGGAGCCTGGACAGGCAAGGAAAGTTCAGAAGGCCCCAGAAAGTCCTAAAAGTCAAGTAGTGGCAAAAACCTCAGAATCTTGGTTTGGAAGAAACCTTGGGAGCCATCTGGATCAACTTTTCACCCAAGCAGGACTTTTTCCCATGCTATTTCTGGCCGCCGCCCCGCAGCCCGGCGCAGTGCGTCTGTGCCCTCCACCGCAGCAGCGCAGCCCGTTGTTAGGAAGCCGCGGGGTCCAATCAGACTCCAACTTTGAAGCTTTGATGCCACTCTGTCTTCGGAAGCCTCATGGGACTCCCATCCCCTCCCAAAGGGCAGCCTTCACCTGTGAGGACAGCGGTCAGTGCGGCTCAGCCCCCGACCTGGGAGTCCCAGCCCGTCCATCCCCCAGGCTTTTCTTGTGACTTCAGACACTGTGATCCACAAGTAAGGCTCCTCCTGAGCACCCTGCTTCCTGAAGGCCAAGTACAGGCTCTCCACCTTGGTCCGGGCTCTTCCGAATTTTGAGCCTCATCCCCGGAGCCTGACCTCACTTCCCGAAGCTGCAAACCCCGGTGGCCCCAGCTCGTCACCTTACGGCTGCGGCCACCGCCTGTGTCTGCCTGCACGCACACCTTCTTCCTCACCCGCCGGTCCTCCTGGGCTTCAGGGACCAGGCTGTCCCGTCCTGCTCTGATGGTCAGTGGCTCTACAAACAGGTTCTCCATGCCTGGGGGTGGAGGGATACCTGTGCACCCCAGAGGGACTTACATGGTGGGCATGAAGCAGGTCGAGGAGATGAGCTGGGGCCCAGTTAAACATCCCTGAGTGAATCACAACCCACACACACCCCACTGTGCCTTGGAGCTTCCTCACCAGCAACAGTCCCCAAAGGCAAGGGGGTTAAAAGGTTTATGAGCATCTGCCAAGGCGAGAAGTCTAGTGCTGGCTGACACCCCAGGGACCACGTGGCCAAGCTCTCCTCTAGGCCGCCCCAGCCCTGTGGGTCACTGCATCTCACGTTGCTGTATAGTGGCCTGTGGAACGAGGAAGGAAAAAAGAGGCAGCAGGCCCAGAGGCTCCCCTGAAGTTCCTTCCATCACACTCTGCTCTCAGAGCCTGTGCATAGGCTGTCCCCTGACCTGGGGCCCCTTCTCCCAGGTGCCCCCCAGAAACGTCTGGCAGATCCTTCCTGACCCCTTGAAGACACCTTTCCTGACTTCTTCAGATCGCTTAGCATCCTTCCTCCCCAGCACCCTCCCTTCGCCTGTCCCCACCTCAGCCCTCGTCACCGTGTGTGCAGTGGCTAGCACGTGGGACTCCTCCTAGTCTGTGGAAGCCCCCGTGGCACAGCAATGTGCTCTGGGGAGGTCTGGAGGTGACAGAGCGAACACTGAGCTACCCAGTGTCCCTGGTTTACACAACGTGGTAGGAAGAATCTGCTTTCTTCTAATTCTCTCAAACCTGGCACTCCCCGTGAAGGCAAGAAGGGTGCTCCCGTTACTGTCCCTGCGTGCCTCACTCAGCCTCACGGCAGTGCCCCTGAGCAGAGAGGGGCAAATTCCTCACTGGTTGTGAGTCTGAGAGGCCAGGTGAGCAAGTCCGCAGCCCATCACAGAGGAGCGTGTCCAAGGGCTTTCTGCTGCCGGGCCTTACCACTTCGGGTCCAGGAATGCAATCAGCCGAGAAGGGAAAATGAGCAGAGCTTTGTCTACTCACGCTGAATCCCTCCCAGGTCTGGGGTGGGAGGGGGCAGCTCCCCTTCTGGTGGGGCAGGGTGGGAAGGGGATCCTTCCTCTTGGAACCATGGGGTAGCTTTGTGGATTGTAGACGTGGCCCTGGCGTGGTGTGTAAGGATGGATTTACAGCATTCACGCTGACGTTGCCACATGTCATCTGCCCACCCTCATCGGCACCGCCGAGGCTGAGCTGCCAAACGCCTGGGCGGCAGGGGCGGCAGGACCGTGGGGTGCTGCGCGGGGCCAGGGTAAAGGGGAGGCCACACCCTGATGGAAGGGGCAGCCTGTCGCATCTCATAGGACTCTGGGTACCAGGCGGACATTTGAAGCCAGTGTTTCCAGGGCTTTTTCTGTTTTTGTCTACAGAAGCCGAAAATCTGAATTTTTACATAAAAATCACCCAATTTAAAAATACTGGCTTAAAGAAAAACAGCCAACCCTGCCGATCAAACAAAACCCTTCTGCCCTGCCAGCTCGGGAGTCCCCGGGGCTCGGCTCCCAAGCCCACCCTGTCTGTGCCGGGCGGGAGCAGCGGGTATTCTAGGAGGTCACCCAGGCTTTGGCGTCAGCCGCGCATGGTGTGCGTCCTGGTGCTGCAGCTTCGCTGGTGCCAGACCGGCTTCAACGGGGTGCCCCGGGGCACATACTTCCTAAGGCCTCACATTTCTCATTTGGAACGTGGGAAGACAGGGCCGACTGGCAGAGTTGCCATGACGTTGGCAAGATGATGCCTATAAAGCGCCAAAGGGCCCCCAGGCAGAGCAGGATTTGAACCCCGCTCTCCTGACCTGACAGCCCACACTCTACACCTGACACAATCTCAAGTCCCACAACTCCATGACTGCAGAATGAAGCCGTAAAAGCCAGGCAGCTTTGATGGATGAGCCCAGTTGGGGTGGTTTCTGCACACTGCCTCATCTGGTCTGCACAAAAGGCCCGGAAAAGGGAAGCTACCACTGTTTGGGGGGCACATGGTAAGTACCAGGCAATGCTCCAGGTGTTCTAGCTGGAATGCAACCTGTAACAGCGGGAGGAGAGAGCACGGTACATCCTACATGTGAGGAATCAAGGCCCCCTGTAGGTGAGCAAAGTACCCATGGCCAGTCTGTCTGCGGTGCAATGGGGCGTCTGGCCTGTGAGCCCTGCCTTCTCCCTGTGCCGGCAGACGGGCCTGCCTGCCCTGTCTTCCCCTCCTCTCTTCTCTTCCACCTCTTCCTCCTCCTCTTCATCTTCCTCCCTCCCCCTCTCTCTCTGAGTTTCAGCTCTACCTAAGGAGTAACAATTGTAGATGCTGGAGAAAGAGAAGTCTCGGGCATCACATACATTCTGCCCATTACTGCATGCATCGATACTTTCCACAGCACAGAACAACTCCCTCAAAGGGCTCTCCTAGGTAGCTCACCAGTTAACAATTCCACGGGGTTCACATTTCGCTTACACTCTTCAGGGCTCACCTAGGTAAAGCCAGTGACCCCAGTCGGATGAACCTTGCTTTTTAATGAATGTTGCTGGCTTTGTTCTTATGGCTGTTTTCTTCCCGGGAGCAGGGGTGCCTCTGGAATGATTTCACCCTACTTTCTGTGCCAGCTTCCCCTCGGAGGAGCTGTCCAGACTCAGGGTTGTATAATCGCCCATATCCCTGGGTCACAAGCCGCAGAGTGGAGCTGTGTTCATGGGTCCGCTCACTGATTAGACCCTTCGCATCACTGTCCTGTCTCCACAGCTATTCACCCAAGTTCATACAAAGGGTCTGGGGTTGGTACCTGTTTCTGTTGGCGATGTTGACCTTGGTTCCATGTCCCTTCTACATCCCACAGACTCAGGCCGAGACCCCACATCAGAATCTAGGAGAAGAAACAGAACTGCTGTTTCACTGTTGGGGAGAAAAAGAGGGTCAACCAATGGCACTGGCTGTGGGAGCAGTCCCCCTGGTCTGTGCCAGGTACCTGGGACAAGATCTGGGACCGATCCGGGGACACTGTCTGCACTCTCTGGCCTCATGGACCGTCAGCCAACCTCTCAGTATCAGAACTATTATTGTCCTCAGTAGTGAACTTAGTAACATTCGCAACCCCCTTTAAGGTTAAGGTACTATGGTCATAAATATCAGTCTTTACAACACCCTGCGAAGGTACGGGGCTAAGACTTCCACCTCACTCTCGAAGAAACCGAGACTCAGAGGGGTAAAGTAACTCATCCCAGACATGCCGGTGATAAGCAGACAAAACGGCCAGGTTGGCACAGGAAGTGGGGAGAGGGGGCATTAGACGGGTGGGAAGGGGAGCTTCTGTTTAGGAGGGAAATATCTTGGGGAGAAGCAATCTTGATTTTTCACTAGCCAGTGCGTCGTTTACCGGAACTTTCCGATAACTGGGAAGCACTGGACTTGGAAACAGGGCTCGGGCCCCGCCCCCAGACCACCTGTGCACATTTCACTCAGCATTCCAAGTTGCATTTTTCCTGGCTGGAAAATGAACAAAAATGTCACCCGGTCATGTACTGACCTCATCAGTAGGACTAAAGGAGAAAAGGAGCATACAATCTCATCATATCATTTTAAAATAAAAATAATGATGAGCACCATCTTCTTTCTTTTTCCTCCCCTTCCCTTTCTTCCCCTTCTTCCTTCTGTTCCTCACCATGCACCGCCACCCACCTTAGTCAGCATTTATCATGTGCCGGGCACAGTTCCACGGACTCTGCCCGCAGGCCTTGCCAATGCCCACGCAGCTCTGGGAGGTGAGCACTACTCTTATTGCTGAATTGCCTACAGGAGTCCAAGCTTAGAGAGGCTAACTGATACGCTCCAGGGCACATGGGCGCTAAACAATGGAACCAGAATTCATTCCCAGGCACGCTGAGTCCATTCTCTGGGCTCTTCACACCACAGAAAGAGGTCACTGGTTCTCTCTCTTAGGGGACTAGAGATTGGTAAGGAGGGACCATGGGAAAAGGAAGGGAGTGATACGGAGCCAGGGATGCTTTCCTCGTGCCTCTCACCCAGCGCCTAGGGCCGTGACGTGGACTGGTCTGCCCCTTGCCTGCTCCCCCCTGAGACCCGAAGCCTTATAGGTCCGGGCTGTGCCTCACCCACCCCTCTCATCCCACAGCCCTCAGCCTCACCCCAAATGCCTGCCCCAGTCCCTGGCTCTGAGTGGGCACGTGGTCAATGTTCAGTCAACTCCAAGGAGGACAAACACACAGAGGACACCAGACATGCACTTGGCCGAGCCTCCTCCTTTTACCCCCACCTGCTCAATACATCTGAGTAGCAGGAGCCCAAGGACCACCCACCTGGGGGCGTGTCCCCTCACCCTGACCTCAGGGATCAAGGCGCCTGCGGCCAGGTCCCCTGGGAGAAACGCCTCCTGCAGTTGGCCATGGCCTCAGAGCCCCCATCCAGGGAACAAGGGCAGCCTGTGGTCAGTGAACTGGACCTCACGGAACCAGGGCTTCCTTCCTCCATCCTTCCTTGGTTTCCACACTTTCAGACTCTGGTATGTTATCTGATGAGAGCTGAGGCCCTTCTGTTCCACCCAGAGCATGAACTTGGAAAGAAAATCTACTACTTTCTCTCCATGGGACAGAGAGCCCTGTGAGTGAGGGTTGGGGCCAGACAGGCTCGTGCCATCATCCCCGCCCCCCGGCCCCCACCCCCATGGAGCTTACCTTTCCAGAGGTAAACCTGCTGGAAACTGGTCCAGGAGTCCCGAGTCCCTTCCAGGGGCGAAAGACCTGCAAAAGAGGACGTTCATGGCTATGACCTTGAAAGGAACTGCTCTCACGGGGACCCACATGGCCACACTGCCTCGGTTCCCCCACACTGCCCTCCCCGGGGTGCACCCCTAGCGGCCTCCTGGAGCTCCCTTCCAGCCACCTACACAAAACCAGGGCTGCCAGAGCCCTGGTGTCTTGCTCAGGGCACCAAAGAGACTGTCATGGTGAAGGGTCATGGGCCTGTGACTGAGAGAATCACTTAAGGAACCAGAGATTGGCTTAAAAGAACACAACACCTAAGAAACTTGAGAACTCTCTTAATATTCTGTCACTTAAGTCCCCTGAGACTCTTGCTTCCTTGGACAATGGAGATGGTAATTCTGAGGAAGGGACCAACATGCAGACTGTTTTCTGCAATATTTGACATGCACCCTATTACTGGTCGCCGCCATTACTTAATTTATTTCTAATATTATCACGTTTTCTTTTCTGCCGAACTTCACTCCCCTGGATACTACCCTGGGTAAGACTGGATCTGCTGTGCCGTTTCCTGATGTCCGGTTGCCCCTCCCGTCTCTGTTTGGCCCTGAGATGCCGCCCACTCCCCCTACGGTCTTAAAGGCACAGGACAGAGCTCAGAAAGCACGGATTCTGGCGGCCAACCACCCACACATGGCAGGAGACCGCTGGCTCACAGCTTGAGACCATAAGAATGATCACGTGACCTTTAAGTATTAGTAAGAGCCGTGGATTACGGTAGCCACTGATTATTAGGAACCTTAGCCAGTGACCCAACACCTTAAGAAGCACCTTCCACGCACTGTCTGACTTCAGCCTCATAGGTCAGCATTTAATTTGCAGGTGGAGATCAACATGCTGGATCTCAAATCCCATCTCTCTGGCTCCAAATCCCATGCTCCAATCACCACGCTCAGGAGAAGGTAACATACTATTTTAGAATTCTGTCCATCTCAAATGGCAAACATCCAGAAAGGTTCTTGTGTTTAGAGAGGTGTGTGAGAAAGAGTGAAGAGTTTCAGTTTAACACTGAACTAAATGGAAGACTCAGGTATTAAAGTAATGAGTCCCCACTGCAAGGATGGCCGTACTCCAGGAGTGAGCCCCAAATATTGAGCTGTGCTTCCACTCAGTTTTGCTTCCGAAATGGAAATGAATGGTGATGCTGGAATTCCTCGGGCTGCCCGACACTGAGGCGGTCTCCCAAAAGGGCCCACTCGGAACTCCCAGTCTCCTCCGGGGTGCGGGAGTCAGTTACAAAAACGTGGGCAGTGAAAACCTATGGTGTCGGGGAGACGTGCCCCTGGACCTCTGAAGTTAGAGGACTTACTCCACACCCCACGTAGGAGACCACACCGCACACTCCTGTGACACCAACACAGAGCGGGCCATCTGCTCAGGTTGTGCCATTTCCACTATGAACTTGAGATAACATCTGTTTATTACAAAGGTCAGGCTAGGAGACCTTGAACCTCATCATAAGGGAAATTAAAGAATTTTAAAAATGTATGTTTTTATACCACAATCTATTTGGAATAACTCTTTCAAAACATTATAGACACATTTTTTTGGAAACATAGATATAAAATAAATAAAACTTCAGGCCATGCGTTATGATTCTTAGCCTGTAAAAGTTGGAGAAGTGACTTCTTATCTCTAGGGTACTTGATTGCTCTCGGATTTGAGACTGAAACCAGTAACCACTCTGAGACATAGTTGACCTTGGGGTAACTGAGCTGAGCATTAGATTATGGGCTTCCAACGACTATTCATTCAGATCCCCATGCCTGGCCCTGCCCACGAGCAGCAACCCTTTCGGGAATTCCGAGAGGAGGGCCCGCGCCACTCAGCAGTCCCCACATCTGATGCGGGTGAGTCTCTGAGCCTTGCACATGGTCCTGAGGTACTCGACTTTGTCTGGTAAATGCGACCTGCTTTACGTGGACTGGAAAAAAAATCCCACGTGCCCTCCACTGCCCAGCAGGCGCTCCACACAGAAGCAAGCAGGAATCAGGACCTACTCTGGCCCAGAACGCACTGCACTCTGTTGGGAAGCAGCCCTTGTCATGCCCTTCTGGTCCATCTCAAGACAGTGGAGCCCTGCTTCTTCCAGCCTGGTGAGCCTTAACCTCACCCTTGGTTTGGGCTCATTTCGACACAATTCAATCCAGCGGAGTTCAGTTAAATTCTGCACATGACTGTTAGCACCTTGGTAGAGACAGGGACCACCTGACCAGCATCCACAGCCTACTCAGGCCTGAGAAGCCTTTCCTAACTAAGTTGTGCTTCTGGAAGCTTGTTCTGAGCTCTGCTTAGTGCTGAGCACACAGAAACCCACCATCAATGAAAGCTACTGCACAGAACTGATAGGGTCACCCTGTTTGCAAGGACTCAGCAGACATCGAGTCCGGGGTGATCTGGCGACAATGAACATCGTGGATGCGATGTAAGTTTCTCCACCAAGTTCCCAGCAATGACAGTCACCAATGCAACACAGACGCCTGTGGCAGGGACACCAGCCTGGGCCTTGCCATTGCTCAGTAACAAGAAGCCTTTGCGACTCAGAATAAACCTGGAGTGGCTCCGCCTAGGCCTGTATTTCCTCTCGAATGTCAAGTCCCTAGGGGCGTCAGGGGACATTTAATCTGCCTATTTTTCACTCATTTACACTTCAAGACATTGCCAGAAATGAGACACATGAAATGAGAAAAGAAAGCTCTCAGTCCCAGAGCTTTCTCAGCCTTTTTTCTTAGAAATAGGACGGTCAGTCCAGCCAACACCTAATCCTCGAACACATCCAGAGACGCCCCCTGGAGGCTGAGGAGGCGTGGGCCCTTCGCAGATGCCTCTCAGGTCAACCCAGGCACAAAGGTCAGACAGAAAGGGGCGGGTGAGTGAGCCCCGCACTGACCCCCTCGCAGCTGCCCACGCAGCTCACACCTGGCCCAGCCCACCTGCCCCGTTTGTCCCTTCCTCCAGCCTCCAATCTGGGACATCACAGGTGTCGGCAGGCTGCCCGCTCCCCCATGACAGGACATGCCTCTTAAAGTTGTGACCGTACCCCACATGCATACTTACACACAGGACAGGAAAGAACCCCCAAACTTCAAAAGTCCCTTGGGAGTCGGCGCCCCCCAGGGAGGCCAGACGAGGGCACATTCTTCACGTCTTGGGCACGTGCCAAACACATGCTCCGTGTTAGGCAGTCCACAGCGGACCTATTGCCTGTGACCGTGTCACATGTCCTTCATCGAGTGCCTGTCTTCACCCTGGGCTACCACGCAGAGTGACGGATACCACGTGTTGGGATACCACGTGTTGAAGGTGCGCCACGTAAAAGACCTGCTTGCTCTTGTTCATCCCCAGGAGAAACTAAGTGTCTCGAGAGCACTTACCTGTGTTCTGTATTCTCTGTGCCAGGTTTTGTGCGCAATGGTGTAAATCAAAACATTAATGAGACGCAGTCCAGGTATAAAACACAACAAAAACAGTGACAGGTTTTTAAAAAGGTGACGGTGCCTCACATGGGCACTGTGCGCCGGCCACTCTGGGAGTCCTTCACGTAGGTCTCGGGCCAGTGCCCGAACAGAGACGTGGCTAAGAACGGCACCTGGGAGCCAGACCGCCTGCTGCCGGACCCCGGCCCTTCTACTGACGAGCTCTGGGACCTTGGGGAGACCTCCCTCCCGTGTGCCTCGTCTCTTCAGCTGCCAAACGGGACAGTGGTAATCAGAGCACCGCCTGGAAGCTATGCTGAGGATCTGTGAGTTGATAAAGGAGAGGCCTGAGGGCAGTGCCTGGCTCACAGTGAGCAGGGTGTGAGACGCTGCTGTTGTTATTGCTTTACGACTGTTATTGCTACACGGCTGTTACTGCTATACAACTGTTACTGCTATAAGATTGTTATTGCTTTACGATTGTTATTGCTATCACCCGTTATCGTTGTCATCTCCCTGCATCAGCACACAACACCACTGTGTGATGCGGACTGCCGTTGCCCCATTTTTACAGGCAAGCGATGGAGCCCCATTAACTCGCTCAAGGTCGCAGGCCGGTGTCCAAAGCTAGTGCTCAGCAACCCAGGCAGGCGCTCCGCTGGGCTAGTGAGGGACATGGACAGGCAAGGCCCAACCTCACTGCACTGGCCACTACCTCCCCGACAGAGTGACACTCGGAGCAGGCGCGAAGCTCCGTGAGCTGGCCTGGGAGGGCTCCCGGAGGCGGTGACCGTGAGTCCCCCACTGTGAGGACACTGAGAACTGCAGTCTTGGAAAGCCCTCTGGCAGGCAGGAGGTCGGGGTCTCCCCCAGCCCTCTGAGGGCTCCACCAAGCCTGCCCCTTGACCCCTCTCCAGCTTGTCTCCTCCCCGGGAGGTGTCACCTGCATGCGCGCTCACCCTCCCTCACTCAGAGGTGGAGCCATGGCCTCTCGTTCTGGGTTCAGGTGCTGGTGGGGAGACAACACAGAGAGGAGGTGAGATGAAGCCAGGTCACCCCCAACCTCACACTGGAACAGGAAGAGGCGTGTGGGCAGCTGGGCCCTGTTCTCGCCATATACACGCAGACTCCTCGGGTTGGAAGGAAATTTCCAGGCCTCTAGTCAGGGCTTCTCACACGTATCAGGTGTAGCCTTACCCAGACTGCTTGTTAGAACCAGTTCTAGGGTTCTGGGGTGGGGCCTAGGAGTCTGCATTTCTGACGCACCCCTGGAGACGCTGCACCTGCCGGTCCAGCCACACCGAGTAGCCCTGTGTGGTCAACTGCAGCTCAGGACAGGGCAGGGCCCACACTTCCCACACGGGGATCTGCTGAGAGGGCAGCACAGGGCTCGGGAGCCAAGCCCGGAGACCTGACTGCCCCCGGGCCTCAGTGCTAACGCCCCTGGACCTGTAAAATGAGGGGGTGGGCAAACGATCTCGGAGATGACTTTCGGCTCTAATGCTGAGATTGGGGGAAAGGCTGGAAGAGCCTCGAGAAGGAAGGGGGGAGGAGCAAGCTCAGTGGCTGTTGTGTTGACGGAGCCTGCGGAGTGGGGCCCACAATCCCTGTACCCTATGATTAGAATGGACAGTGAATTGTCACCACAGCGGCATAAGGTGCCCTGGGCATTGGCTTGGGAACAGATGGCATTTTGCCATCACACATTTTCCACAGACTGTGCAGTTCTGGCCACTAAAGGGCAAGTGTATTCCCTGCACCTGGACTTTCAGTCAGGCCACCTGCTCTGCCGTGGCCACTGCAGTCCGATCCAAGCCCAACATTCATGAACCTGGCGAGTCTTTCCTGGCCCTCTGCTCACTCCACCATCCACAGGTGAATGTGCTCATGCCGAAGAAAGATGAGAAACCGGGACGAGAACAGGGCCAGGCCCCTCCAGCCCCAGCCAGGCCCCTCCAGCCCTGGCCAGACCAGCCATCGGCCCCCAGGTACATGAGTGAGCCAGACTGAGGTCAGCAGCGTCGCCCGGCTGAGGCCCCTCCCTCCAGCCAGCCCGCAGCCTGGAGAGCCACCTCGGTGCCCCCTGTGCAACGCTGCTGAGATGCCGTGGGCATGTTTCCACCACGTCTGTGGCACAGCCTCTCTGCAGAAATGCAAACTGCTCAGGGCGTGGGGAGCGCTCCCAGGACAGCAGCAGAACACCTTGCCAGAGAGGAAAACTATTCCGAAGGACCACGGGCAGAAAGCAGGGACTTACTCTTGAACTCCTGGCCTCCCAGACGCAACATCACCTGGCGGCTCCCCTGGTCATATGTCACACCAGGACAGGTGGCATTCGCCTTGGCCTTGGAGGGGTCCCTCCAGTCTTTGATGTTGCAAAGCAGGATGTCGGGGGAGCCAAGCAGCCCACAGATGATGGGACCTGTAGGGTCACGAGAGGGCGGGGAGGTTGATATGATAGGAATAAGCAGAGTCCCCACAGAGACTGACCTCAGTGCCCCTATAGGCTGGGGACAGGAAACAGCTTCTTGGGATTGGACAGGGACCCTGGGGCTCAGGAGCCTGGTTTTAAACTGGGTTGTTCTTCCCTGAGAGTCTGGCTGCTGTCTTCCAGGCAAATTCCCAAAGGAAGGGCAGCCACTACGCCTGCTGACCCTTCTCTCCCTCATTAGAGCCATCCTCCACAGGTCACAGTGACCACGCCGTCTCGTGTGCCACCGTGCGTCTTTCTGCCAGAGCCCGCTGCCCCTGATTCCTACCCCCACCCAACAGCAATCTTGCTGAGACTTCAATGAGCTGACTGGCAGCTTCTCTCCCTCTCTCTCCCTCACCCCCCCCCACACACACACAGAGGATGGCAGTTTCTCTCCCTCTCTCTCCCTCACCCTCCCCCCACACACACACAGAGGAAATCATCCTCAAAGGGACTTAGAAAGGAGTATTCAGATTCAAAGTCAGGAACTATCCCAAATGCAGAACTATGCACCATTAGCACAAGCTCCCCTGGTGGGAAGCAAGCTCCTTGTCCCTGGAGGCATCCAAGCAGAGCCCATGTGCCTGCCTGCCTGGGACACATGGAGAGAAATCCACAACCAGGGGACTGCTTTCTCTCGAGTATGTCTTCCCATTTTGCATTTTCAAAACCTGCCCTAAAAGGACGACTTTGTCTGGTGTCAGGAGGGCCGTCCCCGGTCTGGCTGAATTCCACAGTGACTTTAGCTACATCTCTGCAATGTGCCAGTTGCTACGTATGTGCTTTAAGTGTGTTAATCCCCTTCATTCCTACTGACATTATTATTTCCATTTTCCTGATGAAAAAACAGTCTCATATAAGTTCATTGCCCAAATTTACATAGACCTAGAAATCAAATAATTTATAGATCTAATCAGATGCATAATCATCTTATGTGACTCAGTTGTTCAGATTCTTCTAGAAAAAAATATTTACCACTCCACAAGTCCTAGTCCCTTCCTCTCTTGGCTTATGTCCAAATCCAGATGCAGCTTTAGACCCATCTCTCACCAAAATGTGCCCAGAGTAGAAGACTCACGCACGCCTGGCTGGCAGATCGGACAGGAGTCTGCCCGCCTCCCTCTGGCCACTGCTCTGCTGCAGTCTTTAAAACTCACCAGCAGCAGCATCTCCATGTAAAAAAAAAAATCTACCTTAGAGTTCCTCTAACACAGTGGTTCTCAAGCCAGGGCACCTAGACTGCTACATAAAGAATGCTGGGAGAGTTTTGGAAATGCTCATTCTTTGGCCCCAGCCCCAGAGTTCCTGATACATCGTGGTGGGGAGCGCGGGGGGATTGGTGTTTGTAAATGGCACCACAGATACGGGTGCTTCTAGTACACAGACAGATGCCAAATCCCCTGACCTGCAGGGACCACTTCTCAGATAAGGAGACGGAGGCAGGAAAGGGAGGCGGTCTGGCTGGTGATGAGAACAGGAATGGCCAGCCAGCAGTGGTGTGTCCACCGGGCCCAGGCAGGGGGGCAGTCAGAGCCTGCTGAGGGCCCAGAGGACATCTGAGCACCCGGCCAGCCCGTGCCCCCAGCCAAAACACTCATGGAGTCAAGCAAGTGCGGGTGTACTGTCCCTCTGCTCCCAGACCTCGGGAGAGAAGCCCACGCAGCCTCTTCTCTAGGTGCAGGAGTATCGATGAGAACTCCATGTGTCTGAGAGGTGGGGCCAGCTGGACAGCAAAAGCCACTTTGCTGGTCACACTGCCAGCCCGTGACCCTGGGGCCACAGGAGTCCCTCTGAACCCCACTTCCAAGTAGTCTTGACTGAAACGTAGGTCTGGAAGCATCGTGAATGTTCTTGAATAACTGCCAGTAGAAATTAAGCCATTTAGGGGTTGGAGGTGGGAAGGGGTTGGAGGTGGGAAGAGGCTAGAGGGATTGGAGGGGAGAGGGGAAGAGGGGGAGTCCACCCGAAAGTTAAATGGCTTCCCAGACGGCAGGGGAAGGATGGAGCAGGACCCTGCCCCTGGTCATCAGCGGATCCAGACAAAGCTTTATAGTTAGAACGCCAAGCCCGCCCATTAGACGGGACTGGGAAAAACATCTGCCCAATGTTTTATGTCCGTCTCGGAAAGAGCTTAACTCACAGCTCGGTGAGGCTGCTGTCCCACTCCCCAGAACCCACAGATCACCAGTGACGCTTGCCGGGAAAAGTGATCAGGCCGCCGGCCAAAAGCGGCGTGGAAAAAGGGTTTTGTGGGCCTGCAGAACAAAATAACTCTTCCATATATGATCCTAAGGAAAATGAGCTCAGCCTTTCCACCTTGAAAAGTCATAGTCTGGTGAGTCATCAAACCTCTGGGGAGACTGGTGTCCGCAGAAGAGACATTTAGCTCAAAGGAGGCAGAAGGCTCCCTGGATTTGAAGTGCGGTGTCTCTAAATACATGTATACGTAAAGACGTGTGTACATACATGCATGCTACATACACATGCAAGCATTCGTGTGCATGTGTGTGCATGCATCCATCATCTATCTGTCCTCTGCTTATGTGAATACCAGCATGACGCTCACCATGTAATCACAGAGCACTAAACCTACAAGGAATGTTAGGACACCACTTACCCCCCTCCAGCTTCCCTCCCTACCACTCCCACACAACGTTCTCATTTCAGCCACCACTGACTGCTGTGAGATAAACTCTGCACTTTTCGGTGATCACCTTGGGCCGGGGATGGATGGCAATTTCATCCTGCCAGAAGTTATGATCCACCAGGGAGATGGACAGGTGAGCATGGATACAAAGAGAAGAGGCAGATGCTGTTTCGGGAGGAGAAATCATACAGACTGATACCAAGGGTGGGGAATCTAGCCTTGGGGTTGGGAACAATTAGGATAGTAACACAACTGGCAATAATAATAATAATAATAATAATAATAATAATACAGTCCAGATTCCAGACAGCAGAAGCGGGAGTGAACTTAATCTCCATCCCCAATGTAGTAAGGAAGCAGCAAGAAATGGGAGTGATGAATCAGTGCAGGGGAAGGAGGGGGAGGGACTCAGCATGATTCCCAGATTCTCGGCTGGCGTGCTCTGCCCCAAGACGGGATTTGTAACAGAAGCAGGTTGTTTAGGGTGGAAGCTATCCACCCCTGCAGAGATGTGCTGACTTTGAGACGCTGGCAGGACATCCCAGGTATCTGTGCAGACAGCAGACAAGTGTGGGCACCTGGACCTCTGCAGAGACCCAGGAGGGGTGAGGGCAGAGCTGGCTGATAGTTAAGCTCAAAGGAACGTGCTCAGGAGGCTGCACAAGACAGAGGGGATGAGTGAGAGAAGGATGCTGGGAAAGTCAGGAGAGGCGAGTTTTAAAGAGCTGGGAAGTGGTCAGTGGTGTCAACAGCTAGAGACAGCCAGGCCAAGGAGGATGGGCAGACAGAGCTCTAACTGGGGAGGAGCTACGGTAGGAAAGGAGAGAAACAGAACCAGAGCTGGAGGAAAGACCCAAGGTCAAGAGCTCTGTGATGTTGTGCTCCTTTCAGCTTTTAAGGAGGCTGAGGGTCTAAGAACCTTGGGCATGTGGCATGGGGGCTGGTAGAGGGGGTAGCTGAGGACAGGCGGGGTGGAGAACAGGACTGACAGAGGAGGAAACAGGCTCTCTAGCGCCCACCAAGCAGGGTTTGCTCTCTCAGGAGGAATGCTCTGCAGGCGCTGGATAGGTGCTGGCCTCATCACAGGTGCTACAGAAGGTAGGTGCTTTATGAATGTTTGCTGACTGAGAAGCCCAATGTCACGGTTAATATTCTCCCGAACACACAAAGTCTCCCTGCCTCTATCTCAGCTCGCACGAAGGCCTACCCTGGATCAGACTGTCTTTCTTCTCTCGCCATCTAAGCACTGCCTGACCCACAAAAAAATATCCCATGTGTCTCCTCTTCCAGGAAGCTTTCCCTGACTACCAAGTCCCATTGGTATCTCCCTCCTCTGCACTGCAAGGCTCTCATGGTCTCGACACTCCTGCTGCCTCATTAATCCAGTCTGGCACACAGCAGTGTGTGGTGCATGCTCCCTGGTGGTGGCGCAAACGCATGAGTGGGGGTCGTGGTCCTTTCACGGCACCCCTGTCTCCCCAACCAGGCTCTAAGCTCCTTTTGTCTATTTCCAACACCAAGTACACTGGACTTCGCATATATGGTGGTCACCGGAAGTGAGGTCATGGAAAGACATATAAAGGCTACTTCAAATTGGTTTTAATCTTCAGAATTCTCCATGAGGTTAATGCAACATCCCCATAGGTGGTATAGCTGCGTCCCTGTTACTAAATCCATAGCATACAAGGGGCCAGACCCACGTGGGGCCCGTTGTCTTTGTAACAGCAGTCCCGCAGGAACGATCACCATCTGTGTTATCATCTGTATTTCATGGGCAGGCGAAGTGTAACTTAGTTTAAGCCACTTGTCCAATGGTGCACAGCCAGCAAGCCACAGGGTGGTAAGTGCCTTCTTTACCACCAGTCTGCACAACCAGGAACACGGATTTATTTCTACAGATAGAGGTCCACCCCCACTGTTGAGAGATGACAGAAAGTCCCAGTCCCAGCGATCACAGAACCCGGCATTCTGTCAGCACTCAGCAGACAGCCCTTGAGTGAGTGACCAGGGTGGCCGGGGTGGCCGGCCCAGGCTCCAGACCGGCAGCGAGGCGCTGTCGAAGACACGCCTGGGCTCAGACCCCGGCTCTGTCCCGTGGCGAGCCCTGTGTCTAGGAGCAAATGGTTTAAATTCTGAGCCTCCGTTGCTTAGTCTGTAAAATGGAACTCGTAATACCTCCTCTGAAGACATCAATAAGAAAAAAAATGGTATTACAATGTAAAGGCATGTGCCATGTTGAGAGAGGCACCGTGTGTCCCTGACTTTGTGTGCGTGAATACCCCCTCGCACGTGAATGCGGTCACCTCATGCCCACCAAGTCTCCCTGTTGTACGTCCTGGCTTGTGTGACCCCGCGTTTCCCATCCTTGTCATCTACATTACCTTCGCGGACTTGCGTGAGGATGAAGCCGTCACAGCACGCGTCACGGTCACATGCAAGAAAGCAGAAGAGATGAGCCTCCGTCAGACTGGCCCCTGAGGCTGCGAACACCACGGGGCTGTACATTCCGGAGAGCGTGTTCTGGAAACCAGTTGGTTCGAAGATTTTCTGACTCCTTGTGGTGAATTCTTGGCCTGGGGAAAAGGCAGAAAAAAATGTTTAAAGATCTTAAACCAGTGCAGAGTTTTCTGTGCCATGAAACCTGGGGACATGTCTGTGCAGGCAGGGCGTGGAGCCAGCAGCCAGGACAAATGCCCATGACCCCTCAGAGGGTCTAAAGGTCATGTGTGGAGGGCTGGCACTTGTCACTCTCTGCAGGCTGACCCGCCAATGCTGAGCTCCAACCTTACCCACTGACGCCAGTGCCACGTGCCACGCGCCTCGCCTGCAGGACCTCACGTGCTTCATGCCCCGAGAGTTCCGTTCAACCTGCTCTGCGATCCCGTGTGTTTCAGTAACTCAGCTTCTCAAATACCCTGCGGGGCAGGAAGCCGGGCCCCCAAATGCTGGTTCAGCTACAGTTTTCCCAACACGTCACTGCCTCCTGCCCGCGACCAACAGTTGAAGGTGGAACAGCGGATGCAGAGAGATGGGCCCGGACATGATCCGCCCCAGTCTGCATTCTTCCTCTCGCCTCAGCCTGGCCACTGGCTCCGTCCCCAGTGTGACAACTGTGATTTCCCCTTTGTGCCTCTGGCCCCCGGCTCCATAACTCAGGTGTCCCTACCCTTCCCTGCACCTGCCCCCACCAAGCTACTTGCTTTTACGTTTCCTGAGGTGGGTTCAGTGTGTCTCTTTTTAAACCATAGACTTTTCATTTTCAGTGGAACTGTTACTATTTTCTTAGCCCTCTAGTTAGAGTTTCACAGCTGAGGTGCTGCCTGTCTCTGCCCGGACTCTACTTCTCCATCAGCCCTGTTATTTTCAGAGCATCACTGTGCAAATGTGAGATGATGCATCACGCTACAGCCAAAGTCTGTCCTGCTATTACATCCTTTGTGCATTTGGGGGAAGAGAGCCTCACCAGCTAATGGTGTTGCCTCGGTGCACACAGCTGGTGGGCGGCAGAGAGAATGCCCGAGCCCGGGCTCGTCACCACCCCGGCCTCCCACCACCCAGCATTCACCGTTCTTAACTGCCCCCTGCACCTGGAGCCAGCACAGAGTGTACAGAACGAGGCCCAAGCGCACAAGCTGTGGAACGAGGCAGACCTGAGTGGGAACTCCTACAGCACCCCACGCTAGCAAGTTCCTAATTCCTGAGAGCCTCAGCTTACCCAACTGCACAATGGGGGTGACCATGTGTAATCCTCATGGATATTGAGCAGATGAAAAGACAGGCTTATAGAAAAGGCTGAGCCATGAGCCCAGCCCTTAGTGGATGCTCGGCAGCTATCTTGCAGGTCTCCAAAGGGCCGGTGTCTACTCCCTGCGTGGGCTGGCTCACTCCTCCCTTCTCCCAGACTAGCCAGCACAGCCCCCGCTCATCCTTTACCAAAGCCCGGCTAACCCTAAAGGGTCCCTCCCTTTAAGTCTTGCCCTGAGGTCCTGGTTGCACATGATGCTCCCTCCTTCTGGACCTGCTCTGTGAACGAGGGGACGGGGCTACACAGTCTCTGAGGAGCCTTCGAGTACCGTCTTCTGATTCTGAATGATCTCAAGGCCACTCCCCACGGTCAAGGCTGCAGACTTGAAGTGCATGCAGACAGAGGATGGTCTGGTTCCAATACCAATTGAAGCTGCCTTGCCCTCTAGGTCAGTGACCCCCCCACCTTTCTGGCACCAGGGCCTGGTTTAGTGGAGGACAATTTTTCCGTGGACTAGGGTCAGAGGGATGGTGTGGGGATGATCCAAGCACATCACGATCCGCTCACCTCCTGCCGTGCGGCCCGGGTCCTAGCAGCCTGCACTGGTACTGGTCCATGGCCCAGAGGTTGGGGACCTCTGCTCTGAGCCACATGAGCTCAGCTATGTGAGTGAATGTGCATGTCTACCCACCCAGCTGCCACGGACTGTGCTGGGGACATGCAAAAATGTGTCCTTTCCCCTCAGCTGTGATAATTTATTCCCGTTGTGCAGAAAGACGAATTTAAAAGTGATCCCTAATCGGAGCAGGGGTCTGACCCCAGATCCAGTTTAACCCCCTTCCCTTCCTGCTACAATGGGGTCCAGGATGGCTGGGTCTCCACATTTTAAAAATAAAAAAATAGAAAATTTTTCTGCTTAAAAAATAGAAAAAATTTAAAAGCCAAAGACAAAAATAAAAAGAAACAAACAAAAAACAGTCCTGCCCTTGATTAGTTTGGCAGTGAGGAAGCTTTGCGGCTTCCTTTGCAATTTCCCCCACAGTATAAACATTCAGGGGAGGAGGAGGGGGAAACGGCAAACACTTAAAAAAACACATAATTGCATTTTCTTAAAAATGTGATAAAAGGCCAAGGTATAGTTTAAAGAAGAAAATGGAGAGGGGCTACTCACTGTATTTCTTTTCCTTTTTAGAAAATTGTCTCTATGCTTTGCTGTCTCTAAAGTGGAATAAACACTGGGCAGGAGTCCCAGGAGCCCAGGCCGCAGATCAGAGCCTGCGCTCTGCTGGACTCACTGTCCAGGGGAGCCACCTCCGACACAGGACGGGGGCAGGAGGAGGAAGAAGGACTGGGGACAAAAACACCAATGCGTGTACCCGCTGAGGACCGAGGTCAGATGAGGCTGTGGGCTGGGCAGTGGCACTGTCCCCACTTGCTGCAAGCTATTTTCGGCAAAAGTCTGAAGCTGCTGGGAGCCAGGCCTCCTGCCCTGAGGTACAGACCTAACAGAATGACATCCTGCCACCTCCTGTCTCAGCCTCCAAGTCCCTGTTCAGACCCCCTTGGTTGTCTTCCGGTCCCCAGCCTTAGCCCCGGGTCATCAGGAAACTTTTCCGCAAGAATGAAGACCAATGTAGAAATCTCCTGCACCTGCTATTTCCACGTACCAAACACTGCCTCTCATGACTAGTGACAGCTATCCTACTAGAGAAGAAACACAGAAGCCCAGAAAGTCCGGGAACGTGGCCCCAGATCTCAGGTCACATGGCTGGTGCATGGCAGAGTTGGCACGACCCGGGCAGGCAGCTCCAGCGTCCCCACCCTGACATCTAGCATCCCTGAGAAGTGGGGGAGGGCAGGATCCCGGCCCTGCCCTGAGGCATCCACAAGGACGGATGGTTTTACAAGCCCCCAGGCAGTGCTCGGGGGTGTGCAGCTGAAGGAGGTGCAGAGGCCTCTGGGTGAGGACAGAGGAAGGGCTTAGAGGTTTGGACCAGTTGTGGGAGCGTCCCACTGCTTCTGGGAGGTGGGGATGAAAGGTCAGGAGCCCCATGCCCAGACATCCCAGGTCACAGGCAGCCTCCCTGGGTCGTGCGGGGCACAGAGTCTGGACTCTGCACTGTAGCTTCTCCCTGGCAGAATGGCCCTCCCTGTGTGAGGCTCAAGCATGCGGGTACCAATGCGAACGACATGGAAGGTCCTTAGCAGTCAACTGTCTGAGGAGGGCAGCGGAGACGAGTCTGCCCAAAGAGCAAGGGAGAGAAGGGAGGGAAGTGGGTTCCGTGTGTGTGCAGGGGGCAGGGGGCGGTCTGGCTCCTCCCGGACGCGCCTGCTGGGAGGCAGCTCCTAACGTCAGCCAGGTAAAGCCACCGAGTCCAGAGCCGCCCATTTCTGCCCACTTACCCTTCTTCAGATACACAGCCAGCGAGTCCCAATCCTGGCGCCTCACTTTCACCCGGCAGCTGAGCCCGCCGAAGCCCGTGGCCTGCGAGTTCCCCAGTGCATCTTCCAGCTGGAGATGCGAAGAGGATGCGTTATCACATCCCGCGATAGCTAATCCAGCAAACATTTATTGACCCCAACCACGGCGAGGCCCTGGGCTGATGGAGGCAGCAGAGGAACAACCCTACCCACGGTTTCCTCCCGGTCCTGCTGGAGCACAGTCAGTGAGCCGACCATTCCAGCCCCAAGTCCTGGGTGTCAGCTGCAAAGCCAGGTGCCACTCAGGAGAGTGTGATGACAGAGGAGGGACAGATACATTCTACTGAGAACAGGGAGCTAGGACAGTGCTGACACTTAGGGGCCCACCCCCACCTGTGTGCCTCCAGGATGTCGCTCATGAAAACACACTCACGTAAGCACAGGTACAAGATAAAGAGCATGCCAGGTACTCCTGTCGATGGTGTTGCAAAACGGCTAACCAATGTCCTTAACGAATATAAGCCAAATTATCCACATCCATAGAAGGGACTGGTATGTGCCATTAAAAAGCACAAGGTTAATTATTAAGATACAAGAGACAAAAATACATATTGTACAATGTTAACATATAAACAAACAAACAAAAAAAGGTGTTTATAATGCACAGAAATTTCCTGGATGGATCCAGGAGCTGGGGAGCAAAATGCAGGTTTGTGTGGGTTGACGGCCCAGGGAGTTAGGAGACAGGAGCATGCGTGGCTTTGCTGCGATGCCTGCCTGCCCTAATTCTCAGGAACAATGAAACTGCCAGTATTCCACCAGCTTTGACTCACAGAAGCAGCCGTCTCACACAGTTCTAACTAAAATGTAGCTGTTTTTCTGTTCAAGCCATAGTCATACTTCTATGACGGGAAGGAGCGTCTGCCGGGGTCCAGGGCTCAGAGGGACCGTGGGCGCTCAGGGCTCTGGAAGACGGCCGGTAGGGCCCCGTGCCCAAGATGCCCCATGAGCAGGCTGGTGGGAGCAGAAGGGGCCACTTGCCCTTGACATTCCCTCTAGACCCCCATGTCAGGAGGCGACACTGCTCAGGGGAGTGTGCCTCGCGTCCGTGTCACCATGAGCCATCGCAGGTTTGCCACTGGCTCAATCTTCCAGAGTCTCATCGCTTTGAAGAAATGGAGGTAACGTGGGGTCCGCTATGGACAATCTCATCCCTTTGCCTGGTCGACCCAATGTGGATTCAGTCAGCACACGTCCGATGGGCAGAGGAGAGGCAGACGTGCCAGCTGCAGCCATGACTCACCTGACCAGAAGCTGTGCAGGCGATGCTGTCACTGGTCCAAGCATAGAAGTCACATGTGACATCTGGTCCCACCACGGACACCGTGAGGAAGCTGCAGGACTCATCTGAAGCACAGTCTGCAAGTACCAGGGGACTGTCATCCATCTGTCCCCAGGGCAACACAGGATGACAATGACTTTCCGTAGGTGACTACCGGGTTATGAACTACTCCTTACACAGACACGCACTCAATCAATAAACGGCAGCTGTCACTGCCCCTCTCTGGCCTCGCTGTTAAAACAGGCAGATGTAGCGCCCAAGTCGGACACGTAGCTCCCTAAGGAACCAGTGCCATCCATTCTGCTCCTGAATCTTTAGTGTCTTATTGTCCTTGGCCTACAGTGGATGCATTACAAACCCAGAAGTGAGATCATGCATTAAGTGTACCTTTGGGGGATCAGCTGACTGCAAAGTGTTTGGATAAAGTGTATTTTCCATGATAGTGTCAGCGGTTTTGTTCAATTTGCCTTGTAGATCAGCAGAACATATTTCAATACCACCCCCTGGTTGCCCACCTCCCCACACCCCTTACCTGCCAAGCACTGTGCCAGCGGGGATTCAGAACCAGGAACCTTGGACCTGACGCCCGTGGCCACGTCAGCACTGAACATCACCTTAGATCCGGGAACCTGCTCAAATTTCTGCATCACTGAAAGACAGTGTGAAACTCATGAAATCTGACACTGAAGCCTTGAAGCCAAGAAGAGTGCTAGGTCAAGAAGCCACCTTCCTGTCACAGCCCTTGGTCACACAGATGTCCCATGGGGAGAATTCCTTCTAAGTTCGGCCTAACATGCTGCTTCCTGTGTAACAATGAAAGGTATGACTTCTGTCTCCAGTTTTCTATCTCATTATCAGGAAATAAGGAGAAAATATAGTATTACATTAGTCCTTGCAACTCATCATTTCTCATGGGTAGTAATTTTCTATCCAAAGTGAGATTTCCCTGTCCTTATTTCTAGGTGCTAATTATATCTTATTTTTTAATGAAAATTTTCTTTTTAGTCCTGACTGGTGTGGCTCAGTGGACTGAGTGCTGGCCTGTGAACCAGAGGGTCACCAGGTTGATTCCCAGTCAGGGCATAAGCCTGGGTTGCAGGCCAGGTCCCTGGCAGGGGGCGTGCAAGAGGCAACCACACAGTGATGCTTCTCTCCCTCTTTTTTACCCTCCCTTCTGCTCTCTCCAAAAATAAATAAAATCTTTGAAAAAGATGAGAAAAAAGAAAACTTTCTTCCTATGGAACTACTTGACTTCTTTCTGGAAAGAGCTAAGTTGTTTTTAAAAAGACAAACAGAACACATGTACACGGGTTCGGGGAAATCTGAAAATGTGGCGTGTGGCTCGGGCACTTCTGTGACAGTGTTTGTTTAGATGGGACCTCACGTGTGTGTTCCTAGCCGTCCACACACACGAGGTCTGATCTGGGAGGACTCACACGGTCACATGCTCTTGGAACCAGACGGGGGGAGGAAAAAAGTACAATTTCTCAAGGCTATGAGACGTGGAACTCACGCTCCAAGTGAAAAAGGCATCGTGGCAACTCCTTGTTTCCAGGAACGAGCTTAATCTCATAAGCCAAAATGCCCAAGGATGCCAATATTTTGCCAAAAAACAAGCCCCAAAGCCCACAGGTACCAGTTTTTCGCAGATACACGAGTCGTTATAAGCATGTACACACGCACTCATTCTCATTCACATCTACTGCTTTACAAAAGTGATTGTGTCTGGGTTGGTTTTCATTACGTCAACAAATTAACTCAAGGTCACGCAAAGCCATCTCTCCTTGGCTTTCATAATAAGTGCAAGAAAAAATTGATTCCTTTTGGGATCAGGTTGGGAGAGGGGAGTGTTAATATAATAGAAATAACGTACTTTTCGTCTTCAAAATTGTTTGATATAGAAAGGCATTCTAATTGTACAGAGTGGCCCTCACACTGATCGCAGAAGCTGTCCATGCCTGTGCTCAACCCACACTCAGCCCCCGCTCTCCTCTGCCCTCTGTCTCTGCAATTTCTACACTCCTGTTACTGATCGCAGAGACTGCGATCACCGGTCCCGCAAACACCATGTTGCCTGTGCCCCTGGGTCCCTACAGCTTGACGGGTATAGACCAGAACCTCACAACCTTCTAGAAGACAAAATAAAATCGTAGAAGTCTTTCAGTTTTCAGTTAAAGTCTTTGCAGTCACCAAAAATGTGTGAACTGAGGACCTTGGTGAGATGGCCCCTGGCTTTCGGGACACGGACGCCTGGGTGACACAGAGCTTCACTCTGTGACGCTCTGCAAACAAGTGCATGGCCAAGCAGGACAGAAACTGTCTGTGAGCTGGGCTGCCAGTGGCTCCACGGAGTCTTGAGTTGGTCTCAGAGTGGTCACTCTGCTGCTGTAATTTCCCACGTGCCAGATTGCTACTTAGACCCTGACACATGCAGGGTCTTGGGGACAGGACAGAGGGTCACCATCGGAATGCATTTGATCATGATTCTCAGTATTTATGTGCCTGTTTCTTCCCAAGACAAGGACAATGTTCCAAAAATGTCTGAACCTCCATTGGCGAGGAGAGTGACAGGCATGTTAGTTTCCTGTCTATTGGACAGAAGGATGGATGGATAGAAGGGAGAGCAGACACACGAGCAGAACGATGACTGCCGAAATCCCCACACCAGGGAATCTGGAAGGCATGTTACGAAGGTGGTCTCTGAGCATCTCCATTCCCTGGTTGTGAGGATTAAGTGACACAGCATGGAGCACCCGACACACAGGAATGACTCACAGTGGGTGCCGGGTCCCCGTGCCGCCTGCAAGGGCACCTGCCTAAGTGCCAGGGCTTATAAAACTGTCTACAGGAATTCAAGTGATGGGAACAATTCATTTGTTCTGACAACAAGCACCATTGCCCTGGAACAGAACAAAAGGTGAGATACAGTTCTAGCCCCAAAGGTGAGTCCAGTCTAATGAGGCCGAGGCCAGAGCAGAGAGGCTGAGATGTGTGGCTTTACTATACTCCGGGAGCAACGCAGGACCTCGGAATAGTCTCAAGGGGCGTTGCATAAACAGAATTGCCTTTTAGAAAAACTGCACTGAATGCGTCCAGTAGAAAAATCACTGGAGGGGGCAAAACCGGCTCAGGATGGAGTTTGGAAGCTATGGCCGCATTCCCTCTGGGTGCTAACCCAGGCCTGAACTACGTGGGGAGCAGGGGGCTGGGTGAAGAGGGGGCACTTCCTCTCGGGTAGAGACCTGCTTGGGAAGTTATACGACTACTAAATTCCACGTCCTTTGCTTTTTCAAGAGGACAAAACTGAGACTGCCATTTCACTTCCAAAGAGACCGTTCTCTCAAAGGCAAGCGAGAGGATTCTGAAGAGAAGCTTACAGACGCCCCAGCGGGGGCCCAACTCCTTCACAGTGAAATCCTGCCGCACATTCGAAGAGAAGCTGCTAAGCCCCGAGCTTTGCCCACTAACCCGAGGTGTGGAGGCTCTATCTGCGGGCTCTTCCTAAGCCCCAGATGAACACAGGGCAGAACGAGAGATGCCTGACAAAGCACACGCTGCCATCCGTGGACGTGAAGGGGGCCGACGTTGAGACGCAAGCACTTCAGGGATGATCCCAGAATGGCCAGGAGTCACCGGGCCCTCGGTTGTGAAGGACGGCAGAGACCTGCCGGCCTGACCCCTTAAAGCCTTCCAGCTCTCACTCCCCCAGTTGCTGTATCTGCCCAAGAGGAGAAACACTGGAAAAAACTAATGACGTCCGTTGGACCTGCAGATCTACCCACGGGGACTGATACACACAGATCCCTGGGATTCTGCGGCGCTTTGCTAGAGAAATGACTGGTCTGGGCATTAGAAAATGAAATGTTCTCACTTGCGTTTCCAGGTGTTTTAAGTTATCAGCTGCACCAGCTTCCCTAGAGAGCAGTGTGGCATGTGCACAAGGGCGCATGTCTTGTGTGTGTGCAAGTGTGCACGTGCTAGTGTGTCTAATAAGGAAACAGATAAATCCAGGCAGGAGCAGATGTGCAACGAAAGGAATGGATTTAAGGGCCATACACCCATTCAAAAGTATCTGAAACACTCTGCCTCACTGTCCTCAACTAAATGGTGGGGCTGACGACATCTGCCCCTTGCCCCCTCACCACACGAGCTTCCACGTGATGGCCTAGAGAAACCACCTGGCACGGGCCTGGCTCCCCGAGAGCCCACGCGGGCCCTCCCTCTCCTTCCACAGACAGCTGAGCGGCACCGGCAGCCAGGGCTTGCTCCCTCGAGTGCAAAGGCAAGCCATGGCCTCCAAGCAGCAGAAGGGGACTGCAGAAAGGTGGAGCAGAGTTCTGAAGGCAGGAGGGTGGGATGAGAGGCCCTTGCAGAATGTCTCAGCCTGCTCCCTGGTTAGCAGATGCGGAGACAAGGCAACCAGTACTGAGACCGCTAGTCATTCTGAGACATGTATTACCAGTTAACGCACTCCATTGCTAACACACTCAGTTCCCCAGCGGGTGGCCTTCATATTCCCACTTACAGGTGAGAAAACTGCGGAAGGCAAGTGCCTTGCCCAAGAGGACACAGCCGGCCATTCGAATTAAACTAGTTCCAACCCCACTCCCATCACTCTGCGTGCCGTAGGAGGTTTCCCGGCCTGCCAGGACTTTCCCACCCATCATCCCCTTGCAGGCTTGTGCCCTGACACTGCTCAGTGAGTGCTGTCTTCACGGGATGCTTTGGCCTGCTCAGTGTCTCAGGGGGACGCTGCGGGGCCTATGGACCAGAGAAGTTGAGCAACCTGCCCCGGGACGCCCAGCAGTAAATTACGGAACCAGGCCTGGCCCTCAAGCCTTTCCACAACATCCCACTGAAGGAAAAAGTGCTGACCAGCTCTTCGGAGGCAAGCTGCCCACAAAAAAGGGAAGCCTCAGAAGGTTAATTTTTAAATTCTTTTCTCATGCATTTGCATGTATTTTGGGGACTGTTTTATGATGTCTAAACCTTACTTTCCAATGATTATAAATAAAACAGAACAAAAAAGCAAAATACTAATGATTGGTGGATCTAGGTGATAGGTATTTGTCCATCCTATTACTATTCTTTCAACTTCTACATAGATTAATATTTTTTACATAAAAATTGGAGACAAATGCCTCTCACCTGTCCGTCCCTTTCTAGGAAGCCCTGGAGACCACCCCGTTCCCCGGCAACGTGGCTGGTCTCAGGGCCTGCACGTACTCAGACACTGGGCATCCGTGAGCGGGGCCTCTGTTTCTGACCACGGCAGCCTCCGCCCCTCGTCGTCCACACAGAAGGCCTTCCCACTGTCCCTGTCCCTCTGACTGGCTTGGTACTGGCCATCTTGGTCACACTGCAGGCCCATCTCATTCCTCTGACAGTCGGTGACACCTGGAACCAAGACATGGACATAGCAATCAGCGATCGATGACAGGCCTCTGGGGTCCCGCCCCTCAGGCTCCCGGGCGCCCAATCACTAGTCAGACCTGCAAGTCACAGGTCTGAGCCAAGACACTCTCTAGCTTAAAACTCATTGGTGACTCTACCCTGACCACGTATGGCATCCATTACACTATACTGTACTTAAATACAAAAATGTTTTCTTTTTTCTATCAGACCCTTAACACCTGAGGACAGGGAAGGCATCTCTACTCATTTTGATTTTCCAGGACGTACTTGGCACAAGGAAAGAGTGTGAATGGTCAGAAGGGAAGGCCTGGACGGGCCTCAGGGCTGCGAGGTCAGTGGAAGGTGCCCTTTCCCGGCAGCCCAGAGACTTGGCTACAGTCCGATTCTCCACCTCTTAACACTGTTAGTCACGTGACTAACCGCTGACTGATAACGATGTGTTTTGAAAAGAGATACAAAGGCTCCTTTTTAAATGACATGCTTTATATGCCATACGTGCTATACATGAATTAATTTATCACTCAGTCAATAGCTACTTGGTTGTTAACAGAACCTCAGAAATCATCCAGTGGACCTGCAAGGTTAGAAAACAGGAGAAAAATGTTTTTAAGTGAGAATTATAATGTAGAGAAACTGAAATCCTAAAAGCTACCCCAAGAGAAAAGGAAGGCCATGAAATACGATCTGCTGACATCATTTAAAGCCTGGCAGACTCTCCTGCCCTGTGCTGCTCCTTAACACAACTCCCTCTACGAACACGGACCAGGTGATGTAGCAGGCAGAGGGGCAGAGTTCAGGAGCCCTGGGGAAGCTCCCAGGTGTGAACAGGACACTCAGCACAGGCCCCGCCCCTGGCTCTGGAGACCCACCCATCGCTGAAATCCTCTAGGACTCTAGTCCTCTGGGAGTGTGATCACGTGACAGCCGATCACATGGTGGGATGGGGGTGAGTGCTCACTGTTCCGCAAGCATATTAATGGATTCCATCTCGCGGTGAACTAAATGTTTGCCTCCAGTTCACAGGTTGAAGCCATTAACCACAGTGGTGACGGTATTTGGAGATGGGACCTTAGAGAGGTCACGAGGTTGAGTGAGGTCATCAGGGTGGAATCCCCATGACAGAGTTGGCACCCCGATGGAAGGGGAAGACCCAGGAGGCCCCTCACTCTGCACACACACACACCAAGAACCTAACCACACTGGCACGCAGGTCTGGGACCTCTGAAACCGTGAGCAACCAGCGTTGGTTGCTGAAGGCACACGACCCATGGTAATGTGGGTACAGCAACTTGAACTTGAGAAAGACATGTTTTATAACCACCCTATGAATGTCACACCACTGGCCTCATGTAACAAACGAGGAAGCTGACCTTCAGAGAAGAGAGGCGACTCAGCCTGCGTGCCAGAACCAGGAGGGAGGGAGGGAGGAAATGAGAGGATCTGCCTGGGACCTCGCCTTGGCCCCTTTCTCTGGCCCGTCATGCTGGTAGCACCCCTCCATCAGCAAGGCTCAGTGAGGTACACCAACCCCTTAAGATCACCTTCCTCTAACAGTGTGACAGCCCCTGACGCTACCCCAAACCACAGAGGCCAGGGTTGCCATGGACACACGGGGGCGATGCCCCAATGTCAAGGGCAGAGCACACCTGCTGAGGACTGTCTCTCCAGGAGGAAGGTCAGACTCCTGGCCCCCAAACTCCTCTTACTTTCTCACAATTACCACCCTGATTCCATGCTCTCCTGACCAAGGAAATTGCCTTTATCAGAGAACATGACTTGATCTCTTTCAATTAATTATTTTCAAATTCTAGGCACTCTTCCATTTTTAAACAATAACAGTTTTCCTCTTGTTGACACAATTTCAGGCTAACATGGAAAAAAAAATGCCCAAGGCAGGTCATGAGTCCCGGGCAGGAAAAACCCAGCAATACCCAGGTGACTGTCACGTAAGGAGGACAGACGAAATCACGTGACATATGGGAAACCTGCGAGTGCACGCAGTCCCGATGAAACAGCAGGGCGACAGGCCTGTGAGCCACACGGTGGCGAGGCCAGGAGGTGGCAACTGTCTTTCACTTCTCGATCTGATAAGGCCGACACGAAAATCAGAGGTTTCAGAAGCAGACGACGCCCAGACCGAAGGCCAGCCATGCTGCTTACTAGCCGAGTGCCTTCAGCTAAACTGCTTCTCTGAGCCCGAAGCGTCTTACCTGTGAAAGGCCAGCTCACGCTATTTCCCTGGAAGGGAGAACTGAGCGAGACGGCGCGAGGAAAACACCCGGCCCAGCCCCTGGTGGGCACGGGTGTGCGCAGTCGGTGCGGCAGAGACCCCTCTGACGCTTGGCTGTGTGCCTGCGGTTTGCAATGGTGGGCGATGCTGTCCCCATGAAGCCACTCTGGCACTGTCCGGGGGCACATCCAGTTGTCATTAGAACTTGGTGGGGCAGAGGTACGCCTCTGCCATCTAACAGGTAAGGGCCAGTGACGCTGCCAAATCCACACCCTGTCATACAAGGGACAGCCCCCTCAAATGAAGAATCATCTGCCCCAGATGTCGATGGTGCCAAGGCTGAGACCTTCCCCTGCGGCCCCAGTGCACCACGGGGTCTGTGTTTCCCAGCGGGACCCTGCAGGACTCACAGTGGGTCTGAAGGAAAGCTCCGGCCAAAACGGTCGTTCTGCCCCTGGGACATGGGACACAGGTCAGGCTCCCCGCCCACTCCTGGTAGAACCCCACAGGACAGGGAACGCACTGCTCCTCCTGAAAATGGCTTCCTTCGGGGCACTTGACTAGAAAAGACAAACAGGGAAACGATGTTAAAGATGAGGCACTGTCTTTACGGTGAAAGCCTCACGACACGCAGGGCCTGCACGCGGAACCCCCAGGTCGGTGCCAGACCTCACTCCTTTAACACACATGCGTGGGGAACCCGCTGCAAGCCAGGCCTGGGGGCCAAGGGTGAGCTGTGAGGAAGGCAGACAGGGCCCTGCCCCACAGGAGGTGACAGGCCAGTGGGATGGGAGGGTGTCAGACAAGAATTTCAGAGACGGGTGAGATGAGGCAGGGAGGGGGCTTGCTAGTGAGCAAGGCCCCGCTGACCAGTGATGCTTGAGACGAATGATGAGAGACACCCCAGGCAGAGGTCTCGGAGAGGGACTTCCGGCCAGTGCACAAGTGCCGAGGTAGGCGTGAGTTTGGATCACTCACGGAATGGGAAGGAGAAAAGCCACACAACACTAGCTGCGGAGGGGAAGCTTAGCAGACAAAGGGAAGAGGCGACAGTGGAGAGCAACGTGAAAGGTGAGGTGCAACCGTAAGGTGCCACGGGAACATGTCCCGAAGTGAAGGGCACAGTGCAGCACAGCGTGGGGGAACAAATGACTTCGGATCTGGGCCCCACGGTCTCCAAACCGAAGCATCTTCTCCATCCCCCAATTCAAACAACTTCCTTTGACCGAGTAGTCAGCACTGACATGTGAGGCAAGCCAGGATGGAGCCAATGCTGACTTCACCACTTCCATCGGCGTACGCACTCACCCCGGCATTTCTGAGTAAACCAGAAACCCGAGATGCACCCTGGAAACTGAACCTGTGCTTTCCGGCCTGTTCTGAGCAGTTATCAGCCTCACGTAGAGACTGTGGTTTCGTTCCTCCTATGAGTCAGGCTGTTGATCGTCCCTAGTGTCTTAACCCCAGTGCTGGGGCTGTTTTTCCAAGCGGTCTCCAAATTCATGGCTGAAGGAAAACAAAACCTCTGCGGCCCGCCTGAGCCACCGGCCTCCAGGTCCGAGGTGCAGTTGAAAGGGCTGCACACTCAGTCAGTCGCAGGCCTCTGGGCGATGCTCGGGGACTTGTATTCTGTTCCTCTGCATCTTGGACATCAGCAGTCTTGTCCACCCGAAGGAGGCCTTGTGTAAGCCAGAATGAGGCAGTGGCTGCACTATCGTCCTCCCTCCCACGGCAGGTGGGCCCTCTCACAGACCCCCAAGTCCACGGCAACCACGGGGCATTTGCCCTTCAGTTAACCCCTGTGAGTCACCGGAAGCCCCCTGCGGCCTCCATTCCCTAGTCCACAAAACCAGACGACATGGCCTATTTGTGTTTGCAAGTTTCACAAAGCGTTTGATCACACCGGCTCGGTCCCATTATCCTGCAACCATGATGACCAAGTGTCTGCTGCAGGAAGTGTCCATGAGGAACCTTAATGGTTCTCCACCCCCCAGCCTGCCCCACCAATGCCATGCCTGGCGCCGCCACTTCCGGACTTAAAGCTCGTCCATGATGCTTCCCCACTGGTCTCAGCCCCTGGTTATGCCCCAAGGCCCCCTGACTCTGGTCCCTGCCTGTCTCTCTGCCCCCCCTCCTGCCACGTTTCCTGCGCACCCCATTCTCCAGCCACGTAAGTCACATGTAGTGTCCCCATAAAGCCACACCACTTCATGACTCCCTGCTCTTGCACAAATCTCCATTTCTGGGATGTCTTCAGCAGCCTCCACACAGATGGGTGCGTGTACACACACAAGCACGTGTACGCACACAAAACATGTGCTCAGACACATCCTTGCTTGTCCCCTCTTGTCGAGCAGCAGTTGTAACTCACCCTCCAAGTTCACGCCAGCCTTGTTCCCCCAACAAGCCGTCCCCAACTGCCCTGCCTGGGGGGACAGAGCTCTTTCACGGGATGTTTTAGCTCTTTTCATTTACTTCTCTCCGACAAGACCATCAGTTCCTTGAAAGCAGAGCTGCGATTCTGCTTCCCTGCGTATGTAACATGGCATCTGACACAATTACACTTTGAAAGCTTGAATGGACGGCTGAATGCACAGAAGGAAGAGGAAGGAAAGGGTAGACAGAAGGAATGAGGACTTACTTCTACAGAAAAATCCCACAGAGAACTAGCTCCATATAAGAACCTGTAGTGACTAAATAAAATTTAATGTTCTCCGGAATGGAAGATGGAAAACCCAGACGATTTCTCTGGGATCCTCTTTAACAGGCCAGCCTGGCACGCAGGCTGCCAGCCAGTAATTCCACGGAAACCACAGGACTGGCCTTGAGACCAAAGGGTGAACGTAACTGACCCTCCAGGGCTACAAACAAAGCCCCAGGCCCCCGCAGTCTCCAGTCCCTGGACTAAGGCCACCAGGCCTACGGGAGTCATGGAGTGGCTATTCCCACCGCCCTCCAAGGGGATCACCCAGATGAGCCCCCTGAGGCGGTCACAGAAACCCGGCTTCATCTCCCCAGGACAGTGTTCTGCTTGTGGCCTCACAGCTGTGCTCCAGATGTGCTTCAGAAGGAAAGAGAGCCAACAAGAGTAGGGAGAAGAACCGCCGTGTGATCTCACTGAGGAACCCCCGGTTGAGTCAGGAGACACTCGGTGCAGAGGACGGGACAAGGACTTTGGGATCAGAGGCGCTGAGTTTAAATCTCAGCACAGCCTACCTGGCCCTTTAGAGGAAAAGATCGCCAACCCCTGCGCTAGAGCTGGTTAGCGTAGCCCAGAAAAAACCTCCCATTCACCCTCCCCTGACCCCCCACTGTGGCTCCCACTCTCTTCTGAAGCCGTCGCCCTGGGGCCAGTTCCGGCCAGTTCTGACTGACATACATGCAGGTGTCGCCCTTCAGGAAACAGTCTCGGCTTCCCTCCTCACCTCCCAGCTGAGCTGGGGGACCCGTCCTGGCAGACAGGAACTAAAAACCTAATAATCCAGTTCCCAATCCGTAAAGCTTGGGATCAGACCTCCAGTCTAGCTCCGTTATCGTACAGGACATGGGTCCCTACCGCCCACCCCCCTCCCCTCCTCCCCCAGCCCTGCCAGCATCCCCCCGAGGAATGGGACTTGCTTAGAGGCACGGGCAGAACAGGTGCCTTGACCTGACCCCTCACTGGCACCATGTCCTCCACCTCCTACTGCTCCACACTTAAGAGGGCACACCTGAGTCAGTGAGCCTCAGAGTGGGGCTCCCAGACCCCTCTGCCAGCTCTCCCTGGAGTGACTAGAAAAGCAGCTCTGGCCTCACACGCCCGCCCACCCACCCCTCCAACTCAGAGACGGGCCGTGGAGCCCAGGGCTCCCCGTGGAGAGTTAGAGGACACAGCGGCAGGCGCTAGAACGCACCTGCATCCCTGTGACCCCATTTCTCCCACCCCAGCAGGTGGTGCCATCCACTCCCTCTGCCAGTTCTTGTCCTGTGTCCGGCTGCTCTGGTGTCCCAGAGGACCTGGGGTCACTCACCCTCGGACCTTCCGTTTCAGGAACCTGAGTCCCTCCTCTGAGCCACCCCTGCTCTGGGCTCCACACGGGCATGACCTCGTTTCATGGGAGCCTCAACCTCTTCCTCTGCCACATGGGGACATTCCCTGCCACATGTCCCTGCTTTGGGAGAGTGGAATACTCGTGAAGGTGTGCTCAAACGCAAACCCTCTGTAAACGCCGGCGTGAAGCGGCTGTGTCGCTGGTGTCCGGGTTAAGGTTCGGCCGAATCTGAAGCTCACGTGGAGTTCAGAACTTGGCGTGGATTTCATGACAGAATAGGAAGGCCAAGGAGCTTTTGTGCCACAACCAATATAAACAAATAATGAAGAAGCATCTCCCTCAGTAACAATAAAAATGCCTCTGTGTCTCACGTCACGTGGGAGGAAGGCTTTTCTTCATGAGACCTTGGAAGTTTCTGTAGCAGACTGAACAATGGCACCCAAGCCTCATCCATGGGACCCGAGACTGTGTTCAGTGACACGACAAAGGGAAGGTAAAGTTGCAGACAGAATTAAGGTTGCTCATCAATTGCCCTTGTAACAGGGGGAGTGTCCTGGGTCATCAGCTGTCTTTAATTTCAAGGGCTGAGAAATGACAGGCAGAATCCAAGGGAGCCGTGGCCATGGAAGAGTGTCAGAGGGCCGTGACGCCACTGGTTCTGAAGGTCAAGAAAGGAAGCCATGAGCCCAGACATGTGGGCAACATCTTGAAGCTGAAAAAGTCAAGGGCGGCCTAAGGCTTCCAGTAGGAGGGCCGCCCAGCTGACACCTTGATATCAGCCCAGTGAGACCCAGGTCAGAGTAGAAACCTGCAGAACTATAAAATCGTGAAAGCATGTTGTTTGAAGCCACTAAGTTTGTGGTGGTTTGAAGTGGTAGCAACAGGAAATTCACACATCTCCCATTCAAGGAATTTGCAGCTGCATTCTAGCGAAGACAGCTTCCAAGGCTACTGACATGCAAGGCCAAGGACAACCCTCGTCAGCTTCCACCAGGAGCAGTCTCCTGAGTGGTCAAGTTCAGGGCTCATCGATGGCCCTCTGGGGGTGGTAGTGAGCAATACGTTGCCACAACCAGACTAAGAAATCTCATGGAGCACACAGGGTTAGGCCCTGCCTTTGCCACAAAGACGGCACAGCCCAGACCCCAGGGTCCAGGCTGATCATGAACCAAGGGGAAGGGATCACTTCAGTCATCGGGTCCTTCCTTCTGTCCTGCCATCTGCACCTCTAGTCTCAGCTGCTGCCTACGGGGTGGTGACAACCTGCCCACGTGTGGCGGAGGACTGAACAACTTTCAAACACATAAATGAACAATCCTCCCCTCTGTCTGCCCACACTCTGAGAGCCCCAGTGGCCTTTCCCACGGACTCACACGGCTCAACAACAGCGGTCCAGGGAGGAGGGTGGACCTACCGCACCCCAGTGGGTCCTGAGTAGCATTGCTGGTGGCTGAGAGGAGGTGGAATCCTTCCAAGCACCCATATTGTGCCCTGGGAGAGGTGCCAAAGCCGTCCCCTTGGAGGAAGCGAACGGAGGTGTCTGCGGGGAACGTCTTGGAATCCAGATGGAGCTGGAACATCCCACTTTGGATCAGGTCTGCGAAGCGCCCAGCCAGAGCCTTGCCCACTAAGGCTTCCTCTGAAAGACACAGGGTGGGCAGCAGTGTCATCTCACTGTTCTCTGCAGGGGCCCAGGAGGACGCAGGGACAGAGCCACCCGGAGCATGCACACCAAGAGGAGACACAGGCATCATCCAGTGCTCCACTGCACAGAAGGGGAAACTGAGGCCCACAGAAAAGGACGACTGGCACGAGGTCACACAGAGCCAGAAGCCCGACTAGCCCTCCAACTCGCATGTGCCATGTGATCCCTACTGGCACAGGACATCACGACTTCAGTCACTAATCTAAGGCGCACCATCTCTGAGCCTCCTTCCCTCAGCGCCAAGATGGAAACGCCCCCCTCGCTGTTGTTGACAGTGACAAGAGAGAACCTGTGACGGGGCCACCCAGGAGAGGACGGAGCCTTCCGTCCGTGTTTGCTGAGCCGGCCTCCAGCCGCCTCACGGCAGGGGCTTCCCAGGAAGAGGGAGCATGAGCCCCACGGCTGGGGCTGGGAGGGCCCCAGCCTGCAAGGAGCATTCGCAGCAGGCTGAGCCAGGCCTGACTAGCAGGCAACACCTCTGCCCTTTGAAGCTCCAAACAAACCCAAGTTACCCGGACTCTTTGCAGAGGAAGACAAGGGAACCCTTAATTCCTCATGCTTGGGGGTGGGGCGGCGGACGCAATCGACCTTCAGGTGACCCCCTGGCCACCTTTTCCAGGAGCTCCCCTCACGGGACAAAGGTGAGCTCCAGCTAGTCCGACCCTCGGGTACCACAAACTCCACCCGGCTTCTCCGCAGACCTTTCTCCTCCCTCGGTTTGTCTGTATCGCAGCCGCCCTGCTTGGGCAGCGAGGTCAGTGGTGAGAGCGGTCACAGAGGGTTCACCACCCAATGTGGGCAGGACATGGGCGACGACCAGCAGATACTCTTCCCCACCATCCCCTCCCTCCCACCCTTTCTTCACACCTACACCCCTCTCTGTGCCCCGAAAATCAGGAGGGGAATTAGAAGACATCCACAGAAACACAATCAGGCCACGTGATTTAACTCTAGTGAGCTGTCCACCAGAAATCTGCTGGCTTTTGCAGACTGCCCCGTACTGCGCTCCCCCCGAGGGCCAGGTGGGTAACCCTCAGCAGACGCTCACAGGAAGGCATCATGCGTTCGCCGGCCCCACCTGCCTGAAGAGGAAACTGGACTCAGGGACCCTACGTAGCTTCTGTAGGGCAGCAAGGCAGGACACATACCAACGTCGTGCAGATCAGGCAGAGAGGCTGATGGGACATCCTCCAATCGCAATTTCCACGTGACGTTCACTCCTAAACGCTCCCTGGTCAGACATTCCACCCTCACCGCAGAGTCGTCGCAGACGGGAATGGAAATGGGGGTCCCGAAAGTCGGCACCTGCGGGGACAGCTGCCTTCAGTTCAGGAACACGGGAGGGAGCCAGCTTTCCTGAGCCCGTGGCAGACCCCAGACTCCATTCACGCTGCTGCTGGAGGAGGTCATCGAGAGGGCGTGACCGTGGGGCCACCTGCCAGCTGCACCCAGACCATCAGAGGCTCCACACCCCTCCCCCAGCCTTGGGACGTGCGCTCTGCCCGCCGTCCCCACAGGGGAGGCTGTTTCAAGGACGCAGCCTTGAGGTGGACGAGACTGACCCCATGAAGGTCTCTGCATAAACTGAAGATTCTGGCGGGAGGTATGGAGGCCTACCCATCTTGCTGCCGCCCCAGACAAGCCAGGTACGTGAGTCCCCTGCTAATGGACACCATCACCTCCCAACCCGGAGCAGCCTCACTCTCTTCCCCTGTCCTTGCCCTCTCTCCTTGCCTTCCGCATGGGGGCCAGTCTGTCAACTAACCGGCACTTCCTTTAGTCCTCCCTGCCTGCGACCCCCTCAGGGCATGAAGCATTATTAACCCTCTTTACCCCACCTGAAAAACACGAGGCTCAGAGAAGGTGAATAACCTGCCTTGGTCACACAGCTTACAGACATCAGTAGAGTGAGAACTGAGTGCCCTGTGCTTCAAAAGCCCGGAAGCTCCAAATACGTGGTACCATAGTTCAAGGACGAAACAACGTCAGCCAACTTGGCAAACATCCTCACGACAGGTACACCCAGCGGGAGGGACACAGCCCGTCCTCCTCACATGCCGTAGCACCCACGGGCTCTTCTGCTGTGGCCATCCAGCCTGGCTTCTCCTCCCAACCTGGGTGTGGCCACCTCCAGTGCCCGAGTGTCTGTCACAGCAAGGCTCCCTCGGGACGGGCAGGTGGGTGGGTGGCGATGGGCCCAGAGTGCCACACCAGCTCACCCTGGAGAGGGGGCGCTCTGGGCACCTGGCGACGGCTCTGGGGGGCAGCCTGTGCTTCAGGACATCCTCGGCACGGCGCACCACGCCCAGACTGGCACCACGTGGGCCATACTCCCTGCCACATGCCACACCACACCCAGGACGAAGGTGACGTTCACGCCGTCATTCCCTGGATGGGAGACGGCTAAGCGCCTGCCTGGCAATGGGCTCCGTCCTGAGCATTCTCCGTCAGTCAGCCCCGGTCGGAGTGCTTTGAACACATGAGCTAGTTTAGTCTCTGAGACGATCCGCGGCATCAGGAGTATCATCGCTGCCCACTACAGATGAGGAACTGCCAACAGGCACACAGCCAACAGATGGTGCAGCTGGGATTCGAACTCCTGCTAACCCAGAACCTGTGACCTCAACCTCTCGGCGGAGTGTACCAAGCAAGGGCTTTGCCTGCCCGTAGTATCTCACTTAATCCGACCTCCAGGGTAGGTAGGTGCTCCTGGCCTCACTGCACAGGCGGCTGACGTGATGGTCAGCAAGGCCACTCAAGGCCCCGGTCACACAGGAAGGAAGTGGGGGAACCAGACTCTGAACCAGACCCATCCGACCTGAAAGCCTGTGCATCATCTCTGGCCTCTGAGTAACACCTGCCCTGACCTGAGAGGCCCTCTGTCTCACTGTCACACGCTGACACCTGTCTCTGGAAGCCCCCGCCACCCGGCCCCTGCCCCGCTGCCTTCTCACCCATGTCCTCAGCGGGCTCCTCTGTCAGGTCTGGGGATTCCGGGGTATGTCGCCCCTCGCTGGGCGGGGTTTAATTTCCTCATCCCGGTAAATGGCAGCACCGTGTCGACACCCAGCCCTGGAGCCCAAGCCCTACTTCCCCTGATGTTCCCTTTCCCCACAGTGCAGTGTCTACTAAGTAAGCCATCCAGGCAGCCCTGGTGTGTCCCGATGTGTCCCCCCACCTCCCCGATGTGTCCCAAGTCTTTCTGCTTCTCATCCGGTGTCAAAGAGCCTGGACGGACCTGGACGGACTGAGCAACGTGTGATCTTGGGCGACACTCTCTACGGCCTTCAGTGAACTCTGTAGACACGGGGACAGTGGTGCCCACTGAACTGCGCACTGGACCGATGAGAGATAAGGAAAGTACAGTCCCCCACACACCACCCCCCTGCTGGGCTCAGTGATCAAGGGGAGCGCCAGGATGGGTGCCAAGTGCATTTCTTTGGAGCAAAGGGGACAATATATGTTTCTGTTTGTTTTAGAATCAACACTCTCCAGCTTGCTTGTGTGAAAATGTATGTTCTGCAAAATTCTTAGCATTGGGTGCTGAGCACGAGTTGCTCCAGTGAATTAGCAAACTGTGAGCAGAATGAGGAATCACTGAGTTGAGTGACTTTTGAACACTCGCTCTGTGAATTCTGGCAGCTTCAAACCACCCGTGCCTGTTACACAGCGAAAAGCCTGACGTGCACTGTTTGTGGTTCCACGTCTTCCCAGCTGGCGTGCGCCGACCTCTGCACTGGGAGGGCCCCGGGTGCCTTCTCACGGGTCCGCCAAGAAACGTGTCTGTCCTGGCGGCACAGAGAGTGGGCACCTCTAGCGCCCTGCCCCGCGTTCCCAGGCTCTTTTTCCATGGGCGGTGGCTGCACTCTGTGGCATCACAGCTCTGCCATTTCCCAGCCCTCTGCCCCTGGACAATCACTTAACCCTCTCGCCTTCACTCCCCCGATCCACAAAGCAGCAATAACAGGGTCACTCTGAAGCCCGCGTGAACCCATCCATGCCAAGGGGCGCACAGTGCCTGGCACACAAGAAGTGCGTAGCACACATCTAGTTTGACATCTTCATGTAGCAAGAATGGCCGGGGATGAGATGGCTTCAGACTCCACCTCTGCCACTGCACAGTTGGCCTTGGCCGAGCTACTTTCTCATCCTGGGCCTCAGTTTGTCCACTGGTGAAATGAACGGGTATCGAACTCTAGGTTCATTTGAGCACTGAGGGTTTCTGACACCACGCCCCTGAGCTGAGGCCCAGCGCCCGCCATGGGGAACGCCAGGCACCTACCTGGATCTGGCAGAAGCCTCGGGCTGTGAGCTCATCTAGGATGAAGACCTGGAACGCCAACAGCAAGCCCGCATAGTCCGCACTGCACATCTTGCCCGGCGGGAGCCGGAGCTGGAACTGTGCCTGGGTCTGCAGGGCCTGCCACAGCTGCAGCCCTGCGGGGAGTGTCAGATGTCAGCAGGCACAGGTGACAGCCCTGCGGGACCCTTTGCTGTTCCTTGTTTGTTTTTTTCCCCTGCAAAAATGACCCTCCTTCATTTAGTTTGGAACACGCAAGCACTGCCATGTTGCACTGTCATCCTCGGAGCCTGACAGCTGGTTCTGAAATTTCTCAGCACTCACAGCCAGCGCAGCCCGCCTCAGTCTCCAGACAGGCTGCTTTCCATACTGGGGGTCCTGGCATTCTTCTGGGAAAAGCTTCCATACTGTCTTGCATTCCAACAGTGCAAGGCTGTGTGGTTTTGCCAGTTAAGAGCAGACACCACAGCCCGTAGGAAAGGCCTGCCGGGGTTGTTCAGTGCCCCCCGCACCTGTTCCGAGCAGCCCTGCCCTCGGCTTTTGGGGTTTGAGACCCACACCTTCTCCTCCCAAGTCCCTTGCTCTAATGAAAGTCTACTTGTGACCAGCCTGCTCTGGATTTCGGCGCAGGCCATTCTGTCATAGTCAGGGCGACAACCCACTTTATGTGTCCACATCACATTTGGATTTTTTCTGGATAGCCTTCTCTATCCCAGAATGCTTTGCAACAAACAGTGTCCTTTGACACTCTGACAGCCACTCAGAGCTGTGAGCCAGCCCCAGCGCCCGCCCCTGCCTTGCCTGGCTGAGTCACGATGCCAGCCTTTGCCCAGGCAGACGCAGTCGGAGCCCGGGGCTGCCTCCCAGCCAGTGCACGTGGACATGTGCTGTGGCGGGGCAGGAGCCCTGCCGATATTCAAACAGGGCACAGGCCCACAGCTCTGCCAGGCACCAGCCCCGGAGCTCCAGATGCACCTGGGGGAGGGAGCAGCTTGTGTGGAAGAGTCACACTCAAATGCCAGGCAAGCGGCTTGGAGCCTGTCAACACCAGAATAACTAATACGGCCACTGGAGCACCTGCCTGTGAACACAGTCCTCTGTCCAAGACATCCCAGCGGTACATGAAATGATGGCAGTTCTCCAAGGAGCAGGCGGCTGCAGAGAAGCTGCAAAGGGGTCTGCGAAGCACACCGGCTCCTTCTAGAAATGCTCTACCAGGCCCTCTCTCCTGCCCCAGAGGCCACCCAGCCCACATGGAAAGGCTATACAGGTATGGGAAATGCAAGGCCACTCACGCTGGCAGGCCCGGGGATGAGGCGGTTGGGACAGCCAGCGTCTCCTCTCGGGGCTACACACCAGTGGCCCTGCTGGGAACACACTCTGGGAGCCCTGGCGGCACAGCAGCTGGCACAGCTGGACGGCAGCCCCTTCTGGGCCGGAGGCTCGCTCACACAGGACCACTCCATCAGCCACGTCCGATGCATTGAACGGCAGCGGGCACTGCGGGCCTGGAGGAAGGAGCGAGGGCCGGCTGTGGGCCTCTGCCCAGCGCGGGGGGCTGAGCACCCCTTTCTCTGTCCTCCTCTTCCCTACCCACAGACATGAAGGGCTCCTCAGAACCTGGCCTGGGCCTGCTCCCTCCCTCCCTGCCCTCTTCTTGGAGGAGCCCATCCTCACTCAGCTTCAACACACCCTGCATCAAGGGTGACTCTCAGATCTTATCTGCGGCTCAGACCTCTCAGCTTCTTCTCATCTCAGATCCAATCACCAACCAGTCCTCTCCACCTCAAGGACAACAAGTCACAACTCACTGCTGCCCCCCCCCCACGCCTGCCCCTGCTTCAGTATCTGGCACTCAATGCACATACAGCCCCGCCCACCACCTAGCTGTCCCAGGCCAGAAACACCACAGCCCTCTTGGACAGTCCCCTCTGCCCGGGCACCAGCAGACACTGTGGCTGCCCGGTTCTCAACTTCTCTGCATCTCCACTGCACTCCCTTCACCTTTTCTTTGGACCATTGGGTACCTTCCTCGTCCAATCAGGCTCCCACTCCCAGCAGAGGAATTGTAGCGAAGCTGGACGTCAACCCTCCGTGCCCCGGGTGCCGGCTGACCTGGCCTTCTCTCCCTGCTCCCCTGTGTCCCGGGCCCCTCTGCCCCCAGGAATGGCTGTCTTTCCCCGAACAGCTCTTCGCTGCACACCTCATGCGCCTCCCTCTGCCTGCTCATCTGCATAGAGGATGCTTTGTGGATCCTGTTATCAGCCAGATACCCCCAGCTTTCTAACACCTTCTGGGGTTCTCCTAGGCCTTCCTCGGTCTCCCTTCTCCAAGCTCTCCAGCCAGCCGGCATCACTCTCCACGTTGTCAATGAGTCAAGAGTCCAATCACTGCCCACAGTCTCCCCACTGCACAGAGCCACAGAGAGAAGAGGGTGGCTTTCCCCTGCTCACCCAGACCACAGCATAATGCAGACCGTGAATGTGGGTGAAACAAGCGGATGAATGGGTAAATTAAAGAGGAGACACACTCAGCAGGATGATGTCTCACCTGACTAGAGGTTCAGTTAATTATCTGACTCTGGGGCACAGCCTCCCTGCCTGTTTATGTCTGACCCTGTGATCTGAAACTCACATGTGATTCACAGGGACTTGGGGGCCTCAAAGATGGATAATGACTCAGTTTGAACTCCAAGGTGCAGCCTTGACTTCTTTCTAATGAGAACGATAGCCTCTGGCCGAGAGTTTGCATTGTGATTTGCAGGGGGCTGAGTTGGTTCTTACACAGAGTCAACCGTGGGGCCTGGGGCCAGTCTGCCAGGCTTTGAATCCTGGCTCAATCATGTACCAGCTGAGAGCCCTAGAGCAAGTTAATTAACTTCTCTGTGACTCAGTTTCCTCACCCCGAAAACGGTGAGGATAGCGAGAATGCCTACCTCCTAAGAATGGAGTGACTCAAAATTAATTAAGGCATGCAGGGAACTTAGAAGAGTTGCTGAAACATAATAAATACCCAATAAATGTCAGTTGTCATCATTATTATTAACAACAAAGGGAGAATGCATTGTTGCCCACAGTGACAATTTTAGGATGTGGGTGTTTGTGTAGTTGCCCTTGGAGGAGACCCCTTGTCCCACAGACTCAGGCGCTGAAGCACGAGAGGCTACTTCCTCTGCCCCACGGCCCACAGCAGCAAGTGGAGAACCACGGGTGACCCCAGACAGAGGCTGTGTGCGGTGCCACTGGGCTGTGCAGTTTACAGAGACTGTCTGAGTCCACCCTAACAGTGACTCTAAGAAATCGCTATGATCCCGCATGCTCATTTCACAGAGTGGGGAACTGAGATCCAGAGAGGTTAAGGGACTCATCCGAGGCCACTCAGTAGGAAGGAGGAGAGCTGACATCCCAGTCTGGCTGGCTGGCTCCCACCTCTGAGCTGTCTCCACCACACTCGGCAGGAGGCCCGAAGGAGGAGCCTTGGGGGGGCTCATGTTAATGCTGGCTGCTCCTAGCTGTGTGCCTTGGGACATGCACGTGAGCCTCTAAGCCCCAGGTCTGCCATCTGTAAAACCATGGGACTGTCCTATCCACTTACCTGCATGGGATCAGGGATGGGAAAAGCACCTGCTGGCAGGTGAATCTCTGCACCCGTGAGCTATGATCATGGCACCCTGCAGGACCAGCCACACAGGGGCTGACCGGCCCCTGAAAGAGCTGCGCTCCCAGGCCTGCTCCTGAAGGAGACATATCAGTCTGCTCTCGGGGGCCCTGGGAATTGAGCAATGGACTGTTTCCATCCCGGGGCTGGTACCACTTCCCTCGGAAGCACACGGCAGGGAGTCCCTCTCGTAAACACCCACCGAGCACCTGCTGTGTGCCCTGCATGGTGGCAGCTGCCAAGGGCACAGAGGTGAGCGTGACAGGGTCCTGCCCTGACCGTGGCCCCGCACAGAAGGGGGCAAAGCAGGGCTTGGGAGAAAAGCTGGGCCGTGAGACTGCGGGCACGTCACAGGCTGGGGGGGCGGGGGGGTGAGGCAGGTGGACTGGAGGGAGAAGCACCCCCACCAAGACTTGCACTTTGTCTTTACAAACACAAATGCAAGTTTACGAATACAGGAGATTCTCTCTCCACGTATAAATCACTAGACTTAATCAGCTGTCTCTGCAGTTCCAAAAGGTTGACCTGAGGAGGATGGCAAAATTTAAGAACCATGATGAGCACAAGAGCAACAGAAGCAGGCTGCTTCCGACAGAGCCAGAATCACTTCATTTAGCAGCTCTCAACACCGCCAGACCCAACACCCCGATTTGTAGGAAATGCTCTGCAATGTCCTTATTTACATCCTGAAAGGAAATTCGGAGTCTACCCTGCTCGCTCAGATGAATTTTTAAATGATTATAAGGCCCTGTGACTTGAGTAGATAGAAATAAAAAGCCAGTAACTGATCGTTAAATAATAGATTTGAACACATAATAATCTATTTCAATATTCTAATACATACTCCTAGGACACAGTTTAATATTTGATATCCAAATAGTTTTTAAACTAGAAATAAGAATAAACAAGTCAACACCTGCCCAAATTCCCACAGCCCAGGCTGACATAGACACCTCCCCACTGAGAATGTGCTCTCGGGCCCCTCCTTCCCCCTTGACATTGGGAGACCAGGACCTGGAAGCCCCCGGCAGACCAGCCTGAGCTTCCTGGGTGCCAGCTTGGGGATACCCACAGGGCCTCTCCTCAGTTTCAGCTCCAGGGCTGAGCTCTTGCAGGAAGAAGACACCAGTTTCAACCTCGTTGGAATCATCCCGTCCCCCACCCCACTGTCCTGCTCTGTGGAGTCCCACCCCCCGCACCCCACACCCCCAGCCTGAGTGAAGGAACAGATGAGCAGGGCCCATGGCTTACTCTCACAGGCCGGCTGGCTCCCAGCCACGCGGGTCCCAGGCACCTCCTCTCCGCTGCCCAGGACACACCAGCAGCTGCCCTGGGCCGGATCACACTGCACAGGGTAAAGGCCTCCGTCCCCTGCCCCACAGGCCAGGGTGTCGCCTGGACCAACTCTCCTGGAGAGGACACCGGTCTGGAGTGAGTCGCAGAGGCCCAGGCCTGGACACAAAGAGAAGCCCGATGGAGTCTTTGCCCACTGAGGCCCCAGAGCCCCCACCCCCCACAGGCACCACCCACCGCCACCTGCGTGCAGGGTCCTCCTGGGTCTGCGCTGCCTCCCGCTGGGGTGCTGACCTCAGGCAGGGCAAAGGGTGGGCCTCACTCTGCTGTGCACCCCACCACACACACACACACACACACACGCACAGCCTGCCCTCAAGGAGCTCAGAATCTGCAGGGAGATTTAACATGTGAGCAACCGGAAGCATTTGAGATCTTGCTTCCCAGAGCACGTCATCAGTTCAGCACAAATAAACTCATTAAAAAAAAAATATATATATATATATATATATATATATATATATATATATATATATATATATATATATATATATATATAAACAAATAAGCGAGCAACTATAGTTTGGAGTGATAAGAGCAACAAATGCAGTTTAAGGGCCCATAGGAAGGCCCCAAACTCAGGACAAGAGGCCTGCGGGGACTAAGAATCAGCCAGGGAGGGTGGGGAGGGGTGGAAAGATTGCAGGGGCAGAACCACAATACAAGAAGGCCCAGGAAGAAGAGTGTCGCCCTCCTAAAAAGCCTGACTAGAGCTTATCACCCCCGGATCCTGAACGGTGAGAGAAGAGACAGGAGATACGGGAGCCACGCACGCACAGAAGGTAGTGAGCAGCGTGGGCCTGGCCCTCGGGACCACGGGGCGTGGGGCCGGCTCTCAGGCAGAGGACAGACATCAGCACATTTGCACTTGAAGGACAGCATCTGGATGGCACCGTGGAAACCAGACTGCAGGGCCAGGCTTGGAGCTGAAGGACCTGGCAGGGGCCTTCTGTGTCACCAGTGCTGTTCATCTGGTCACCCAGCAAAGGCACATCCCAGAGTGCACATCTTAACTGGGGCCAGCACCAGCTTGTGCTTCTAGGTTACAAGCACTTCCTGGCTCCCTGCCATGTGCACTTCTCCCAAGAACCCACTGAGGCTGGGGAATATTGCTCCTGTTTTACAGATGAGAAGACTGAGGCACAGTGAGGGCAGAAGCTGCCACAGCTCTGGAAGTGGCAGAGCTGGGACAGGCAGCCATCTCCTGGGACGCCACACCCAGGCCCCGTGCACGGGAGGAGCCAGGGGCACAGGGGGAGGGGCGACTACTCACACTGGGCACTGCCGTTTGTGCTGGGCACGGTGCCCTCCCCAGAGGCCTGGTCCACACACCAGACGCCAGCCTCCGACACCTGCAGCCTGGCAAACTCTCCTGTCTGGGACAAAGCCAAGGTCGAGTCACCCTGGGGAAGGTGCTGGTGCTGCCCCCAGGCCGGTGAGCAGATGGCAAGAATGTCCCTTCCAAAACTACCAGTGACAGAATATTCCTTCCGGATAAACTTCTGCACACAGCTGGAGGCGGTGTGGGGGAGGCTCGACCCTAATCCAGACCCTCTCTACACATTACCGGCACTGACGGTGGAACAAGCCTGTGAGGTGGGGCCACGGGTACCCAGTTCTAGGGACCTCGCCTGGCTTCATAAAGCCCCTGGGGGCTGGGCAGAGCAGGCGGTGCTGCTCCTACCAGACTGTTTTAGGGTGAGGAAACAGGCCCAGGGGCTTTACTCGGCACGTCAGTGGTTCAGAGTCCAGCATGATTCCTTTCTCTAGGAGCTTTCTCTCCCAAAATACGCTCCTGCCCTGAATTATTACAGTCGCTCAGGGAGCTGAGGAGGGCCATATAGTAACATCTTCCATGGATGTTGAGAAACTGAGATATAATGTGCATTCGACTTTGCCAGAAAACAATTTTTCTGAGTCTTCATGACCGGTACTTCCTTGGGCCCTCAAAACAATCCCAGCACCAGGCAGGGTGAAAATGTGGTCTGATCACACGATTTCTAGAAAACGGACGCGCAGAGAAGATAAGTAAATTGTCCCAGGTCACTCGGCAGACTCTGCCAGGACTAAGACAAAAATCCAGACCTGGTCCCTGTGAGTTTTTAACAAAAACAAATTTACTGAATAGAAAATTCATCCTTGCCCCACGGGGAGCAAGTTCTGACTCCCTCCACAGCCTGCCTGGGCCTCCAGGGCCTTACCTCCAGGCAGGCTGGGATGAAGAGGTCTCTTGGCGAAGGATCTCCTTGGGATCCAGCCTGTTTCCAACCGGAAAGCAGCGCGCTAGCTCGAGATCTCTCACAGGTGGTGGGGCCTATGGAAGAGACAGAGAGAGACGCTCTTAGCAGCCTAGCGTAGGTCCAAGGCAGAGCGGAGAGCCGGGCTGGCTGAGAGTCCGAGCCGTGCCTCTGGGTGGATGGAGGTGCCCTCACGGAGCGCTGGAACCTCCTGGGAGAAGCGGGCTGAGGTTCAGGACAACAATCCCTATGAATGCATCACCCGTGAGATGCAAAGTAGGTGGCCTATTTCCTGCGTCAGAAACCAGGGAGAGGCCCCGCTGTAGAACAGAGGTGAGCGGTGGGTGGAACCGCAGGAGGGGATGGAACTGCCCAGGAATGGAGTCTGTAGGGAAGCCCAGGGCCCGTCCACTCCCCTTGCTCTCCCCCCCCACCCCAGAAACTAGGAAGGACCAAGGTCTGTGAGGGGTCTTCCAGGCCTGGGGACGTGGGAAAGCGTGGTCTGGCTGCACAAGGCGGGGGCCCACGGAGCCTCCACTGGTTGGGTAACAACAGTGGGCACCACCAGCCCTGAGTGCCCTCCACCGGGCCTGGGGGGGGGGGTCTGTATCACTTACACTTCGGGGCCTCGGGGGAGCGGGCTGTCAGCGAGGCGGGGACGTACTGCCCCTTCCCATCCACACACCAGCAGTACCCTAGAAAAGAACCACGGCCAGAGTTCGGGACGTGCACAGGGCTCATCCCCTGGTGTCCCACAAACCACTATCCATCTTCGAATTCCTAGCAGGACCGGAACAGTCCCCCACCTGTCCCCCTGGCCGACACTGCTCAGTCACAGGCCTTAGCACCCCAAGCCCCCCAGTAATCATCCACTTGACCTGCAGGCTGGTAGAAGGTCACTGCTCCCCTTATACAGGTGAGCCACCCAGAGGCCAGAGAAACTAGGGGATCTGCTACCGGCTACCAAACAGGGCCCTGAAGTCCAGCTCCCTTGCCCTAGTGCAGGGCTCTTTCCACTAAATGAAAAGGGGGCGCAACCCCCGGCCTCCCACGGGTGCCCAGCCCCCTCACCAGTCCCCGCGTGGCACTGTACGGGCTCCCAGCCTCCAGAGGCGTCGCACCGGGGCACATAGGGGCTGGGCCGAGGAAGGGACACTGGAGAGGAGTCCCCCGGGGAGAGGCGGCGGCTCTCATAGAAGTCGAAGGCTGCAGTCGGAGACAGAGGGGCAGAGGTGAGCCCCTGACGGGGACAGCTCCACGGCACGGGCTGCGCCACCGAGAAGAGTCACACACACCCCTGCACCGGCACGCAGAGGTGACACAGACGCTTCCACCCAAAAAGAGACAGCGGTGCCTCGAGCAGTGGCCAGGCACTCACCAGGCTGTCCCCGAAACTAGAAATGTGGGCTGAAGTTTGAGGGCGTGGCAGCCCTCTCTCTGTGACTCCCACATGAAGTCACTCAGATCAATGGCACGCCTTCAGTACATGAGGTCACAGCAGCGACAGACATGACTCTTTAACATGCACGATGTCCAGGCCCAACTGAAGCTCCTGAGCCCTCACAACCACGCCCCGAGAGAAGCGGCATCTCCCCATTTCATGGGTGAGAGCGGCTTCCCCGCGGTCTCACCGCCCAGAGGGGTGGGGGGTCACACACGGAACACAGAAGCACGTCTGTGTGCACCGCCCTCTTGCCCTCCGCCAAACTCTTCTAAATTGGGTCTTTGCCCCCCTCAGACTTGGTTCTCCGTGACACCTTCTCTTCCTCAATCAGCTCCCTGAGGTTGGAACCTGCACCCCAAGGTGAGGGAACGGGCTCAGTGAGGAACCTTCACAATTTGCAGAGAGTCACCCAGCTGATCGCCATGCCCTGTCCTCGTCCCCACATCCCCCGGTCCTGCTGGCTTCCCCCCACAGCGTCCTCCACTGGGGACACACTGGACATCGTGTCTGCCATTTTGTTCCGGCCTGTCTCTTCCATGGCAGCCTTTACACCCTTTGGTGCAAAGATTCAAGTTTATTTTGCACATGGAGTAGTGTCTGCCTGGTTGTAGAAATACTTGGTGAGCAAAAGGAAAGATGTGCTTGCATGAGAGCAGGGCAAGGGGAACGGCCACATCCCAGGCAGCCCCGCCTCACACGGGGGGCTCTCCCACCTCGCCCCCTTTCGGCAATAAGCCTCATGGCTCCCGGAGCAGAGAGCTCACCAAGCTCAGAACCCCCGCCGCCCTGGTCACTGCCCATTGGAGGAGACCAGGGCCCGCTGGGCCCAGGGGACAGGACTCAGGAGTCCCACAAGCTTCTGCCCGATTCCTGGCACAGCATCTCTTGGCTCTGTGATCGTGAGCAATTTGCCAACCTCTCTGAGCCCAAGATTCCCCATCTGTGAAGTGGGTCTAACACTTAACAGGGTAAGTGTGTGTTTATATCAAAAAAGCTAAGCACCAAGCCCATGCCAGGTACAGCTATGGACGTTTCCGCCCACACCCGCCTCACCCGGGGACACTGCTACCATGTTCTGTTGGCCAAAGACACTTTGGTCCCTCAGTCCCTCCTTGTCCTGGGGCTCCAGTCCTCAGACTCCCAGGGACCTGGAGGTCTACACCCAAAGATTCCTCTCCTCTGCAACAGAAGAGACGCCGCTCCCCATCCTGAGGGATCCTGGGAAAATGAGCCATTCTGCTCCTTTTCGGCAGACACTTCTTCTTGGTCTACAGCACCACGCGTGGCAACTCAGGCACGCGGCTAAGTGAAGGGGAGCGCCCTTAGCTCGACTTCGGTGGAAAATGCCATCACCGCCACTCAACGAATAAATCTCTGTGGCTCCAACAGCTTCCCGTCCCCTTCCCTACATGCCCCCCAGTAACCAAAGTGGTCACAGCTCCCAGGGCAAAATCCCACCCTTTATAAACATCAAATCCTGTCCATGCACCCAATGCAAAAGAACTGGTTTCTCGCCCAAAGCGAAAGTCCTCAGGCCTTCAAGGAGCAGAGAAAGAAAGAGGGGAGGGCGGAAGCAGGACAGATGGCAAAGCAACATTTGCTGGGCTCCTGCGGTCTGCCAGGCCCAGGATAACCAGATGAATAAGACAAGGCGCAATGCTTTGTCCTCCAAAAGTGATGACAGGTGATGGGGGGAGCAGGGCACAGAGCTGGCACATGGGAGGCATTCACCTTGGGTGGGGTTAAGGGAGCGAAGGGAATGGACCCACCCCCATGGCAGCAGACCTCTCAGGACGGGGCGAGCGGGGTGTGCCAGCCCACAGCTGTCTGTCTTGGCTCAGACAGTGCCAGAGGTGACTGCTTTGCTGTCTGTCACCTAAGACCAGAAAACTCCAGACAAGAAGTCAGCTGAGATCATTTGAAAAAGGATGGGGACTTCAGGCAGACAGGGATCTTTTGTCCCTCTCAAGTTGGCACGGGTTCCCGGGCCAGAGCAGCTGCAGGCAGCAGAGCACAAGCAGGGGCTCTGGGGTGAGACAGGTCTCGGCTGGGCAGTGGCCGGGCAGGGCACAGAGGCTCAGGGCAGACCACGCTGCACGACCAGGCTATGCTAGCTACTCACTGGGTCAGCCTGGGCCCGAGACTTAACCTGTTTCCGTGTTTTGAGAAGAAGCACAGACGGCGATTATAGCATCGCTCCCAGGTAACCGTTGGGCAGTCAGATCCACTTAGCTTAGTCAGCGCCCGGCCAGGGGTGGGAAGGTGCCTGGCGACCTGGAGCTGCCACTGCGGGCAAGAGCACCGCGGGCTCTCTGAGCAGCTTCTCTGCCCCACGCAGGTACGGGCTGGTCTTTTGGAGTCGGTATCAGCTCTAGGTGAGCTCACAGGTGGGAGGCGCCCCGAACCAGTAACGTCTCAGTATGGAGGGTTCCTCTGCTCCCCACCCCCACGGGGTGCTCCTAAACCCTTAGAAATGGATGGAAGCTTTGGAACTGGCTGTGAGGGGAGTATGAGCCTTGGGGCTAGAGCGCCTCACATGTTAACAAGCATGTCTGGCTTCATGGGGGGGCCACAGGTGCCCTCTGTGATGGAGACTTGCCCCCAGTGGCTCTACCGGAGGGCTGGGGGGCATCTTGAAGAGCCATGCATGCCCCAGCTTGGACTGGCCCTACAAAACCTCGGCCTTTTCTTCCCGGGAACCCACCGGCCTGGGGAAACCGAGGCAGCAAAGCCCTGAGGGTGACAGAAGGGCAGCCGCCCCGGCTCCTGCTCCCGGGAGAGATGGGGGGAGACACGGACTCGCGAGACACTCACTGGACTGGGCTGCCAGACGCCAGGCGTAGTCGCCCCCACTCAGAAACCGCTCCACGAAGGTGTCCCGGGGTGGGGAGAGTGGAGGAAGGGCAAGCTCCTCATTGGTCAGCCGGACGCCCTTGGCCGCTAGGAAACTCTCCCCCAGAGGGAACGAAGAGTTGTCGGAAGCCGAGACCACCTCTTCTGCGTCCTTAAGGAACCGCAGGGCCCGAAGCCTCGCTTCTTCACAAGAGCCAGGACCTGGGGGCGTAAAGACACCGCAGACGGGTGCATCAGCACACGTGGCTCCCCGGCCCCTTCGAAGCGTGCACACGTGTGCACACATGCACACACAGACGTGTCTGCCTCAGCCGTTTCCTTCCCACCCAGACTGCTCTTCCTGTTCTGCCTCCACAATTTCATTCACTCGAGATTCACGGAGGACCGACCCCTGGAAGAGGATGGGTAATTGCGAATGTCCACTCCACAGCAGGCACTGCCCGAAGCACATTCACTCAGACAATGTGATCTAACCCCTGCAACAGCCGACATCTGTGTGCTGACTTTGGGGGTAGCCTCTTTCTGGAACTTGCCATCTTAATGGAGAATCCAGTGGAGGGGTCTGTAGGCCACTCCAAACGCCCAGGGCATGGCAGCTCCTGTTGCACATTCGTGTTACCAAACATTCTAAAAACCCTGGCTGTTAAAGCCTAAACTCCAGCTAATGCTGAAACTGTCTGATTAATTTTAACATTATCCAGAAAGGTGTGGGCGATGCTGAACATTGCCATGAATGGATGGGGAGATTTCAATGGACCGGTAACAATACCTGTAATACTAGCTGTGCTGGCTCGGGGCAGTCTGAGCTGATAACCGTGTGGAATCTGGCTGCCTGTGGTTTGACACTGCGGTGGGTGTCCACTTGGTAAGGAGGCATTTTGATTTGACACCATCTGTCTCATCTGTTTATGCCTCGTACACCGCAGCTCTCCTTCAAGTCCACTGTCACAGACCTGAACTTGCAGACCTCCTCCAGCACCTCTCTTCCCACTCCCTCATTAGTTCCCCCCAAGCAAAATAAAGGCAACACAGAGGCAGGAGCACTTCCTGAGGGTCCCAGGCACCTGGCGGCAGTCTTGTAAGTAACAAGACCATCGCATCAGGTGCTGGTTAACTAAACCGTGCACCCGATTTCTGAGAGAGACTGACGCGTTAGCCATAGAGGGTACGAGCCGGGCCATATTCCCCCGAGAGCCCTCACCAGGCCTAAGAGAATGCTTTGTAATCAGAAGTCATCCAGTTAACATTTGAGGCCCTGGTATGAATAATTACATGAAAATATAAAACAGAACTCCATTAGCTTCATCAATCCCTGTCTGCGCAGACGTGGGGAAATGGCTTCCCTTCTATGACCCTCAGGGTTATGGGCGAATGTTTGTGTGCCCCCAAAACATATGTGTCATGAAGCTCCAACCCCCAGTGTCATAGTATTTGAAGGCAGGAGCTTTGGGAGGTGACTAGGTTAAGATGAGGTCACGCGGGTGGGTACACAGAGATGAAGAGACCAGAGCTCTTTCTCTCCCTGCCATGAGGCTACACAGCAAGCCAGTGGCTACCTGCAAGCCGGAACAAGGGCTGGCACCAGCAACCCAATCTGCCAGCACCTTGGTCTTGGACTTCCGCCCTCCAGAACTGTGAGGAATAAACGTCTGTGGGATCAGCCACCCAGTCCATGGTATTTGTTTTTAGCAGCCCAAGCTGGCATGCATTTGGTTTGCTCCGCCATACATGCTGAAGGGATGAACCTGGCCACTACTAGACTCCCGTCCGGCTTTGGCACTCAGTACCCTGCCACCAGACACCCTTCCTTCAAGAGCACAAATTCCATTCTTCACACGGTTTAACTTACACGCTGGGACCTTGCTTGGCTCCGTCCGGGTTCCTTCCAGCTCCTGACCAGCTTCGTCCACACACCAGCAGGTCCGAAGGTCAAAGTGTGCCAGAGGGGCGCTGAAGTCTGAGTAGGGCCCTGGGTACCGGCTGAGCTGGCCGCTGAGCATCTGCCAGAAGAGGTAGGGCTCCAGGAAGACACCCCCTCCGGGCTGCGTCCGGTTCCCTTCCAACACTGCCAGCGGGACATCTTGGAGAGAAGGGTATCTCGCCAACTCCGGGAAGATGCCCTGCTGGCCCGCCTCATACAGACTTTGAAGAAAGAGATGGAAGCCTTTGGAAGCTGCCTCTCGGTAGCTCGTGAGCTTCATGAGCAGTTCGGTACCGGCCGGCTCCTGGCTGGCACTGTTGTGAGCCCTCCACCGTTCGTACCACTCGAAGGCCTGCTCCGGGGGTCCGTCGCATTGCACCTGGCGCCACTGCCCGCGGGCACCGCACTGGGGGGTGTAGATATCGGAGAGGGCGGAGGGCTTGCTGGAATTGGAGGCCAGGGCCCGCACGGCCCGGAGGAAGGCTTGCTCGGCCTGCAACTGACAGGGTGTGGGGCCTGCGGGGGAACAGTGAATGCGCGAGTCAGGTCAGGGCGTTTAAAAGCACAGAAGAACAAGATGGAAGCTCTTGATGGCCCAAAGGCCACCCGACACCCTATGCAGCCACAGAGGCCACCCGGTCAGCACGGGGAGCCTCCCATCCCTGAGCGGGTGCTGCCACTGAGACCCACTGTTGTCACCACGGCAGACATGCACACGCCAAAGCCCAGAGCCTGCATACATCTGCCTATTCACCCCTTAAAATGGTTAACCTGACTGAGACCTCTCTGGGCAATTCTTAAATTAACCAGAACATTTTGCCATGAATAGAAGTTTGAAATCTAGCTATGACTGAATGCCTTGCTCTCTGTGATGCCTTGTGTTCCCCAAAGAGAATCCGAGTTAGTAGGTCGAATACCCAGCAGACTCACATTGCATGGCTTGCCCAGGTCCACTCTGAGTTCCGGGGATGGCCTGGCCCTCGGTGTCCACACAGTAGCACATGGAGTCGAAGCACTGGACAGGCAAGAAGTTCCCCTGGCTGGTACAAGAAGGCACAAACAGGCTGGACCCCACAGGCTGGCTGCGCGAGAGGCTCTGCATCCGAGCCCTTTGCTTTTCACACTCCGTGGGGCACCTGGGCCGCCCGCCTCTGACCCTCGAGCCGGGCAGCTCCCTGCCCCAGGAGTCCACACACCAGCACTCCCCGGCATAACACTGGACGTCCTCGTAGCTTCCCTCTGCCGTGCAGGACGGGACAAAAAGGCTGCCAGGCACCTGCTCACAGCCCTGGGAGCTGAGCACCATTTCCACCACGTCGCCTAAATCCCTGGCTGTGTCTTCAGGCACAGAAATCGCATGTCGCAGGAAGAGGAGGAACTCAGGAAGGTCCAGGAGAGTAGCAAGGGATCTCAGGGCATTTTGGTTCTCTTGTAAGTCAACTTCAAAGCCAAAGCTGCCCACAACTGGCTTATTCATAGCACCACCCTCCTGAGTGGCTCCAGGGGTCTCCGGGGCAGAACTCAAATCCAACCCCACAGGGAGGGGTGTGGCCCAATCAACAAGTCCTCCCCGGTTCCGGAAGCCTGGGAGACCAAGTTGCTGGAAAAACTGACTGAAGTTAAAGGTGCCTCTTGTGCCAAGGGCTCCAGACAAGTTAAACTGGCCAACATTCACCAAAAACTCCCCTCCAAAGAGGTTTTGCTGGAGTCGCTTCGGGTTGGTGGTGAACTGAAGGGCGAGACGAGCCAGCTCGCGGGAGGGAAAAAGCATTCGGATGGCTTCTTTGAGGAGAGTCCCTGAGGCCGGGAACTGCTGATTCTGCCCTTGGACCAGGGGGCGGAGGACCCCAGAGTCCACGAAGAGCTCCTGGATCCAGGGTGGGCAGGGCGTGGCCAGGCCAGCTGCTCCCCGAGAGGCCTGCCTTTCCCCAGGAGCCCGGGGGAAGCTGCGTGGGCCAATGGAGCCCGACGGCCCGAAGTGGAGTCGGGACAGGGCCTGCCGCCGCTCCAAGGTGCATGATTGGTCCCCAGCTGTGCCGGACAGAACAAACAGGAAAACGGGGTTTAATGTCACAAGCAGCCCTGAGACAGCCTCTCGGGTCTGTCTGGTAGTAAGACATCAAAAAACCCTCCCCCCCTTTTTTTTTTCATTTAGCTTTCACTTGGAGCCATGTCCTCAGAGGCCACTTTGGGGAATGAGTTTTCCAGTGGACATGACTGCCTGTCCTAGCTTTCACTAGTGCTGCCCCCGTCCAAGGCCATGGTCATCGACATCGGCCCCTTTCTGAACACCTGACCACACACAGCACTGACCTTGCAGTTCACTGGTGTGTCCCCCCCACCCATACCCCGCCCCTGCCCGCTACTCATGTCCACTGGAACTTCGGAATGAGACCTGAGTTGGACATCGGGTCTTGGCGGATGTGATTAGTTGAGGTGAGGTCCTATTGGATTAGAGTGAACCCTGCCCCCACTGACTGGTGTCCTGACTGGTGTCCATCCAGGGCCATGGATGACATGGAGAGGCAGACAGGGAGGAAGCCACAGGAGGGCACAGGCTGGGGGATAAGGAAGCGCCGGCGACCACCAGGACTGGGACAGAGCGAGAAAGCGTCTTCCCGAGTCTGCAGAGAGTGCGCAGCCCTGCCAACACGCTGGTTTCAGACTTGCAGCCCCTAGAACTCGGAGAGGAGCCATCTCGGCCATTTCCTGCCACCCAGTGTGTGGCCGCGCCTCACCGCAGCTTTAGGAGACCGGGACACCCACAGTCCCTGTTCGTTAATGCAGTGTGGCTTCCCCGCATTCTCCTGTTGGGATTCTCAAGGGCCTTTCGTGCTTCATTATATGCCGTTTGTGTGGCTGCCTAAGTCTTCCTTGTGGGTTGTCTGGTCTTGGCTAACTAGTTTATAGTCTCTTTGGGGATCAAAAGCATACTTCCAATGCTTTTAGTATTCCCTATAATAAATATTGTTCTATGCTATAATATGTAATGTTATTATCTACCATAGGAAATATGATATTTCCTATAATATAATGATACACATTTGGCAAACACACTTAGCATATTCTTCCAGGCTTGACCTTTCCCTGAAACTACTAATTAAATAGCGATCAACTCAGCTCCCAACATGGTTCGGTTATTCTATCCGAATACCCCAGGAGAACTGTAGTCACATGAAGAAAAATTATCTTAAATTCAAATTCCAGCATCCCAGTTCATAGGCGAAAGTAAATAAGCTCCATTTCTCTCTGTGGGCCGTAACTATTGGAGGTTTTCGACCGCCCGCCACCCCACCTTCTTAGAGTAATTCTCTCCCTCGGTCCACATGGATGCCAAACAGGAAGTCAGCCAACTTCCTCTGTAACCAGGCAACATGGAAAGAACGGGAACGTGTGGTCAGAGGGAGGGAGAAAGGGCCGCACCAGAACACATCACACACGCCTCCGCGAGGCCAGGCCCCCTTCAGAGGCCACTACGGGAGGGCCTGGAAGAGCCGCAGGGCGCTGCCTTCCCAAAGCAGGGCAGACCCCTCCCACTCGTGCACAGTGTCACTCAGGAAAAAACCCAGCTACTGGTGCCATGTGGCATTTGTTCCCACAGACACAGGACTCATGTACCAGAGAGAAAAAGTAGACATGCGTGATCCGCACAGGTGGGCGCTCTCTTCGTTTCAATTTGGAAGCCTGTGGCTTTTCATGTCCACCTGAGAATTGGAGGGTACAATATTCCGTAGGTTCTAATAGAACTACAACGCGATTGTAAACACCTTCAAGACAGAACTTCACATTTTTCTCTTCCTATATCCGCACACTTAGCAGAGAGATACTAGCAAACGGTGCAGAATACCCAACACGTTAGGTTGGGGAAATCATGTGACTTAAGGATTTGTTGACTGAATACCTGTGCCTACCTATGTTGAGGCTATAAACGGACCTGCATTCCCCACTGGTTCCAAGGCTTGCTGCCCCACTCCCAGGTTGCCCCAGAAGGAAGCCTGCAGGGCCCCTGGATTCCGTCCTGCGAATCTTACTGGTAGGACCACATCGAGTCCTGTGGGAACGCCTAGCACCATTTCTCAAGCCCACACCCTCTCCTCAGCCCACCGCTTTTTCCTCAGCATGTGCTCCCTATACTGGGTTAAAGAGTGTCTCCCCAAATTCCTGCCCTTCCTGGACCTCAGAATGTGACTTCCTTTGGAAATGGGGTCATTGTAGATGCAATTAGATAAGATGAGCTCACACTAGAGTAGAGCGGGCTCCTAATCCTATCTAATGGGAGTCGCCGTAGGAAGAGCAGAGACACAGAGGCAGACACAGATGATGGAGGCAAAGCTTGGAGGGATGCGGCCACAAGCCAAGGAGTGTCAAAGGCTGTCGGCAGCCACCGCAAGCTAGAAAGAGGCTGGGAAGGAACATCCCCTCAAGGCTTCATCAGAGGGAGCCTGGCTCTACGAACACCTTGATTTTGGACTTGTAGGCCTCAGGACATGGAGGAAATACATTTCTGGGGTCCTGAGCCATTCCTTTTGTGTCACCTTATTACGGCAGGAAGGTCACATGATCCCTGAGCCCAGTTCAGGACATTGCACTGACCTTCAATGCTCCTTTGAATCTTCCCGCCAAACTCACTCACAAAACCCATCACAGGGCTCACCAGCTTAAATCCCCTCAACATCCTCACCTGCCCCCAGGACGAGGCCCCTAAGCCTTCGCTTTCATGTGAAAGACCTCAATGTCTTAGTCTTGCCTTCCCCCCACCCATGTTCAAGTTCAGAGCCCCAGCCTGAGTTTGCCCCAGCAGTTTTTCCCTCTATTCTTCTCGCAGACCCAGTGACCATTAGCCAATCAATGTAGTCTACTGTCAACATCCTAAAAACGTCGTTCCTCCTGCTCTCTAGAGAGCTCACCTACCCTTATTTTTCTCCTCCAGGAAACGTCTTTGTTTCAGAACACTAATCAAGCATGGCCTCTTCCACGAAGCCCTCCCGAATATGCCCTCTTCATACACTCCAGGAGGCAGAATCCACCCCCCTTGCTTTGGGCCGCACTTCTCTCGGGGCACATCGAAACCTAACCCTCCTTGCTTTTTCTTTGTCTGCAAGGCCCTGGATAGTGGCTGAGCTCCCTGAGGAAGAAACTATGTCTGACACAGGACAAAATACATGCTAGAAGTTAACGATGAGAAGTGTGTTCTCCATCGTGACCAGCTCGAAGGGCCTGTGGAGTGTCAGAGTTCCCAGGTCCCGGAGTGAGAGTCCCGACAGAAGACCCACCGCAGGATGGCGGCTGGTCCTGCCGCCGAGTTCCGGCGACCTCCTTTCCCTGCGCATCCACACACCAGCACGGCCCCTCCCTCTGGCACTGCGCAGCCTCATAGTCCCCGCTTCGGAGGCAGCTGGGAACGTGGGGGTGGCCGAAGTTGGTTGCTGCAAACCGTTCCACTTCACATTTTGTGGGGCCTGTGGGAAACCCATGCAGCAAAGAGAAGTCAATCACTCCCGCTGTGCTCCCAGCCGGCATTGTTTGCTGGGAGCACTTACTTACGTCCCCGGCCCCCACCCCATACCCTTGGCTGGAACAGCCCCGCAGAGCCCATGGCGACTCTAAAACCCAAATGCTTTTCTCCTGGCAGAGGTGCACACACGTGCTGTCGACTTATTACTCACATCGGAACCTGCCAGAAAGCACTAGCTGAACTGCCAGGAACCGTCTCTGCAATATCCGGTACAGGGTGGTTTCGGCGAAGGTGGAAGCGAGGTCCAGGCCAGCGAAAATGGTGTCGTAAATTTCATCGAGCAACAGCTCCACACCTGAGCGAAGACAGCAAGGGTTTCAAGGCACGGCCTCGCTCTGAAAGGAAGTCCTCATCTTTCCGCTTTAATGGGTATCAAGAGGGGCGGGGCCTCCACCTGCGTCACTACACATTGGGTCTGAACGAGGCTTGCAAGGTACCCTGAGTCAGGGCTGCCCTGTACGGCTGCCCAGGGTGCTCACAGCACAAGCAGCACTGACGAGAGTGAGGACTCGAGAATCCAACCTGTCTTCCACCTGCCAACTCAGAGCTGCCTCTGCCAGAAGGGGGCGCCTCTCCCCCTTGTGTGCAACAAGGCTCCACCTGGGCCAGAGCAGCCCCATTCAAGCACCATAGATGGAAGGAAGCGGGCTAGCCACGCCTCTTGGACACCCACACTGCCACCTCTGCCCGCAGGTGACGAGGCTGAAGCTCTCGGGCCAGGCGCGTGCCACTCCTCCCCTCAGCCTGGGCTCACCTGTCTCAGCCAGTTCACGCCCCTGGCTGTCGGCACAGTGGCAGTACCCAGACACCTCGGGGAACCTTCTCCGGAAGGCCCTGAACGTCACGAACGCATCTGGAAACCTGAAAGGGGAGACTGGTGGTCACCATGTCCTAACGGGCAACTGCTCACATGTTCTCCCCGTGGAAATACATGAACGTGGCACCATCTCCTCTGGAGAAAAGGAGGGTCTGATTCTTCAACTCCTGCCATTCGCCCCAGGCTTCCCGTGGTAAGTGCCTCCTTTCCTACACTGGTTTTAACTGGCTGGAGCTAGGCTGGCCCTGTACAAAGACAGCTGTGCTCTGTTGCCCTGAACTAATTAGCTATTTTCCTCATTCTTGGCCTTTGACCGACGTATACCCAAGCACATGTCTCCTAGGATCAGACAGAAGACAGATGATGAACATGGCCTTCCCTGGTCCCCGTACTAGAATAGGACTAGAGACTAAGGCCAAGTTTGCCTCTCAACCGCACGGCACATCCCAGATGCCCTCATTCGGGAGATCAAACAACTTCTGAGCCCTTTACAACTGTTCAGGAGTTTGAAAAGGAGCCAGACTCCACCACAGCAGGACATTTCCCAGTTCCACAGTCTGAAAGACACACAAAATCGGCATGACGTGACTCGCCAGGGCCACGCGGCCTTTCCAAAAGTTCAGGAGAAGCGTACCTGACTTCTCAGGTCTGACCTGTGATGGCCCTGGGGAGCTCCTCGGGGGAGGGGGCGCTCCCCAGCCTGGAGTCAATGTGAGATGAGGTGATCTAAAGCCACCGAAAGGAGTTCTTCCCATGGGCAGCGGTTTAGCAGCCAGAGGAAAGTTTTTCAGCTTTGTATTTACAACATCGGGAGGTTTGTTTTTCTGTCCTACGCAGCCAGGTCAGGAGACCCAAGCCTCACGTGTCTCCACCTCTACGTGGAAACACACCCCAAACAGTAAGTTAGAGAGGCAACAGCTCCCCACACAAAGACGCCTGGCACTGTGGAATCTAGTCTAGCAAACTACCGAGCGACATCTGTGTCCGACGACAGGAAAACTCAGAAGTGAATTACAGTGCATCCCCTAAGTGATGTGTACCTAACACTACCTATAAAGGACAGATGCAAGTGCAAAACAGCCCAAACACCCCACGCACTGCCACAACCATTATGTAAATGAGCCAGCTGAGAGGCAACACATCCTGCAGACTCCGCTGCTCAGAGACCAAACACACAGCACAACAAGCAGGCATGAACTTGAATGCAAATGAATATGCAAAAAAGCCTAGGAAAGCGCTACAGAATTGGGGATTTTTCCCACGTTGTTGGTCTATTACTGCGTGTACGTGAGTTAAATACAAAAGAATGTTATAGTAAGTGAGTCATGCTTGGCAGAAACTAAAATCTCACTTTGCTCAAGTTGCCATAGATTGGAGGTATATGATAAACGTTCATTAATTGGAACCTGGGATAATTCAATTCTAAAAGTACTTTTAATGCTGTAAGAATTACTTGCATTTATTCAGCCACTACTTTGCAAAATGTTTGATATGCATTGACTTGTTTAATTCAACTGAACACTCCTAAAAGGCAGGTGGTACTTTTCCATCCCCATTTTCGAGGGCATCCTGAAATAGAGGTGGAAGCTAGGGCTCAAATTCTGGTCTTGGGCTCCAGGACACGCCTGTGCCTGCCCCCGGTGCTACCCCTGGTGTGTTGGGCTGCACCTGGCTCCTGCCCCACAGCCTCTGATCCGTTGACGCTCCTCTCTGTATGCCTGACACCCAGCTTTCCCTGGCTCCCAAAGGATGAAGACATACATGCCGGGTAAAGGCACAGATGGGTCACCTGGCTGGCTGGAGGTTCTGAAACCCACTGCAGCACGAGGCACAGGAAGTTTAAATCATCCCATGTGCTGCTCACTCCACCCACAGGCCCGGCTCCACATCCCGTCCCAGGGCCAAGGGGCCAGCAGGGTCTCAGAGCCATCTTTATCCCATTGCCCTAGCGTCAGAGTCCCTCTCTCTGGGTGTCTGGCCTTGTAAGCTGCCCTGCACCAGGCCCTCCCGTGCCCTTCCTGTGGGCATACCCCCTTCTTGTATACTGGAGAACACCAAGGCTTTGGCTAGAGGAAGGGTCTTCCCATCCTCCTGGGAAGACCATCTTAAGGCCACCCACTGCTGCCTGCCCCCTCTTCGGGCTGGCCTCCACGCCCTCTGGGGCAGACCCTCTGCGCCATCATCTTTAAGCCCTCCTTGCCATTCTGTGCGTGGTGAAGAGAGCAAAGAATGCAGAGTCAGGCACGCCAGCATTGTGGTCCTGGCCTGACCAGCCTGAGTTCAAGCTCAGATCATGGCTGGCCTGGAGGCAGAGAAGTCACCAATGAGGCTGCATGGCATGTAACGTGTCGAGGCCAGCGAGCACTGTAGGCCTGCCCATTGCCTCAGGCAGCTGATAGCTGCCCCTCCCACCCCAGGGTCAGATTCTCCAAGTCCTCCACGGATAGTCCCCCCAGAAATCTAACCATCAATTAATAAATTAGCAATGTATTTGCTTCCCTCCTATACCAGAGCAGCTCTCCTTACGACAGGAGCTGGTGCCTGGTGCACAGACCCTCGCACTGTCTTGTGGGAGGGCCACCCGATGACCCGTCTAGGAGGACCTCTCCCCTTGGTCACTCACATTCAGGTTACGAGCCCCTCACCCTTCTCACTGACGTATCTGGATAGCAGGGCTGCCAAGGCACTGGAGGTGAGACTGGCTACCAGGGAGGTTTGAGTGAGCCCAGTCACTAAGGACAAGGGCTGCTTTTTTAAAAAGCCCAATGAACTGAATTTAAATTCGGATGGTGAAGGCCTTGGTAATGGCACTAGCTCTTAACACCCTTACCTACCATCTGCTCAGCCAGAATACATTTTCCTAATTTCAGTGTTTGGGCGAGAGCCCATGAAAGAGGGGGAAGAGTCAGAACTGGCAAAGCTTATTCCACAACACGGCAGGGTTTTTTTAAAGTCACCAGCCAAATATAGGTGGGGTTAGCAGAAGCCTTCTTCCAGAGGCAAAACAACCTCCTTGGTTGGCAATAGGCAAACACTATGGCCAAGTTCAGGTGCAAATCATCATCTATAAGAGGTTGGCCAATGAGCTGCCCACAGGCTTCCATCCTCCCTGTGAGCCCCTGGAAAAAAGTCAACTGCCTGACACCACTTCTGCACTTGAATTTCCTGCCAGAACCCCCTCGGATTCAATATTCCAAAGTCAAATGTGAGACTCCTCCTTTCCAAACCCCTTGGCTACCCTCCATCTAGAAACCAGACCTCAGAGTCACCCCAGACTCTTCCTCTCCCACATGCTCCCCTCTGTCCCTTAGCCAAGGCCTGTGGATTTCACCTGCCTCTCCACCTCCTCTCCAGTCCAAGTCACCCCCTCTCACCTGGACGGGCCCAGTAGCCTCCGCACGCCCAGAGTCGCCTCCCAGCACCCACTCCGCTTTTCTCAATCCCAGTCCATTCTTTTCTAAATCTAAGTAGAATTGAGTATTAAGATTTTCCCAACCCCCACCCCAGGCTTCAGATTCTTGGTGCAGTCATGGGGAGGGACACACTTATACTAAAGGAATCATTCCTTGCTTATCAGAATTCAGATATAACTGGCCATCCTGTTTTTTTTTTTTTTTTTTTCAATCTGGCAGCCCCAGGTGCTGAGTCTAGACTTCCCACACGGCCTCCACCGCAGCCCGAGCTGCCGGGTGGTAGAGTCCCTGGGCCTGGCATAGCCCAGGTCTGCTTATCAGAAAACTCCCCAATATTGCTGGGCTTCCAGGAACCAGCTACCTGACCCTTCCCAGGACCTTCCTAAATCAAAACCCAGTCTGAGGCATGCTTGCTTACAAAAAAGGGAAAGGATCCCATTTCAGAAGTAAATTTTTTTGTTGGCCTTGAACAATGCATGCTTAGTCCCGAACTTTTGCATTTAACTCGACTGCCCTCTTGTGGAAGGAGCTGTGAATTGCGTCTCAACCTGGCACCCGCACAGTTCTTTGATGTTTGGATACAAGCATTAATTGTAGGCCTACTGTGTGCAAAGGTTCTGTGCTATGCACTGTAGGGGAAACAGAGGAATCAAGGTTGTGCAGGATATTAGAAGACACCAGACAGCTCTAGCACCCACTGAGTGCCCTTCTTAGGGTGAGTTCCTTAACCTCTTGTGTTTCAGATTCCTCATCTGTATGCTAGAGACCATAATTATCCACCCAGTTATTTTTCTAAGTATTAACATGGGCTGAAGGATGTTAAATTCCCTGTCTGTAGAAGCACTCACTTGAACTTAAATTGAACATCAAAGAGCACCAGTTAATCAGACTATTTGGAGATTTGTATGTGCTGGAAGACAGGCCATTTTCTGGGCCTGGGGGTGGAGGTGGGGGCATCTAACCTGCATTTGCTAAAGCTGGATTATGCATAATAATTCCCTACCAACGCATAACGATTTAAATATGTCACAGTGGTCTCTAGAGAGGTTTCATCAGATCTGCACCTGCCCTAACAAGCAGAGGGTGGTCTGCACTTTACAGATGGGGGTGCCAAGGCCCCAAGAAGGCAAGTGACCAGGTCCCTTTGCCAAGCAGTGTCACAGCTGGAAAGGGACCGGGCAGATGGATGGAGCAAACCAGACTCATAGAGCCACAGGCCCGGCGGACCCCCAGCCCTGGCAGGTATGCAGGGCATCCCAAACGAACAGTTCCTCGGTGCTAGGGGGAATGCACACAGCCTCCCACCTGGTTGTTTAGAATGGGAATTCCCGGTTTTGCACGTCACGGTGAACAGACGAAACTGCTGGTGTTCACAGCCCTAAGAACCCCCCTCACACACAGGAAAGAAACTGGCTATTTAGGAAGCCAGTTTCCAAAGGCACAGGTTCCCCAAGAGAATTCCCGTCAGTGTTCTCAGCCTAATAGTCTTACTTTTGTCATGGTCCCCCTTACCCTTGGGGGACACATTCCAAGAACCCCAGTGGATGCCCGAAACCATGGAGAGTGGCAAACCCTATGGATACAGACTGTTTTTCCTACCCATACACACCAATGATGAAGTTTAATTTACAAATTAAGCACAGTAAGAGACTAACACCAATGACTAAGAAAGTATAACAGTTATGATATACTGAAATAAAACGTACGCGAATATGGTGTCGCTCTCGATATCTTACTGGACTATACTTATGTTTTCAGTTAAAGGAAGTACTTGACGGCTTCTCCACGGCATATCCGAATTGCCAGCATCACTATTCTTGCGCTTTTTGACAATAAATAAATAAAACCAGGGGGACTGGAACACAAGCACGGCGACACCGCGACAGCGCACGGATCTGCTCACCAAGCCCGCTCCCACGAGACTACGGACGGCCCGCAGTGTGGAGACGCAGGGACGCTGGGCGAAGGGGTGATCGCGTCCGAGCAGGTCTCGCGAGATTTCGTCACGACTTAGACCGTCAAGCAATTTAAAGTTATTTCAGGAATTTTGCATTTAATACTTTTGAACTAAGGTGGACCTTGGGTCGCCGAAGTCACAGAAGGTAAAACTGCGGATAAGGAGGGGCGGGTGTGCTCTGGACGCTTCCCTTCTCCCCACCCGCCCCCACGGGCCCTTTATGGAGCCAAAGCAGCCATCCTGATACCCAGGCTAATCTGATTACTTGGGCGGAGACCCATCCTGCACCTCCCCTTTGATCCTTGTTATCTAAATCCTTAAACTTGTTTCTATGTGCGTGCATACTCACGGTTTACCAAAAACAAGCATAGATATGATCATAGCCATGCTTTTTACAGCACCGACTGTTTCCTTTTCTGCTGATTTCCTTCTCCTCAGCAGCCCTGACCCCTGCCAGTGCCCGGGACGACACCCAGCCTGTGCTTAGTGATCCCTCTTTGCACTCGCCTAGCTCTGGGCAGGCACCAGCATGGGCATATACTCAGGGATGCACATACGGGGTCCACCGGCTTGTTTGTTTCCTAAAATTTACATCACATCCTACTGTCTGGGCCATGCATCCTATATCATGTCCTCAGGCGAGGGGGCTGAACCCTCTCCCAGTCCACTGGTGCGATTCTAATGCATTGTGTTTAGCGCTGCATAAATATTTATGGTGGGTATTTCACGCGACTCAGTCACTCTGTTTCCAGTTTTCCCCTACTGTGAAAACCAGCCCAGTAGATGCCCCAGTGCACATGTCCGCGCTTTCTGGCTGGGCCTGAGGGCTCCTGTGTCTGTAATTCGCATAGCTATTGCCAGCTTGCTTTGTTTAAAATGCCACTGCCCTTCAGCTTGTGAGAGTCAGGCCTCTGTCAGTTCCCTCCCCACCAGCCCACATATGTGACACGTCACAGCACCCAGCCCTGAGGTGGATGCGAGCTAAGACAGGCCAGTGACGGGCATGCCCCGAGGCTGGCTCGCCTCACCTGTTGTAGCTGTTCACCAGGTCGAAAACCATCATGTCCGTGGTATTGACGAACTTGCACTGTACGGGCAGGAACCCGCCGTCCGGAGAGCACTGGGGTGGCGACTTGTCCCCCACCCCGTGGAGAAGGCGGCGGTTTCTTATCTCACAGCTTCTTGGACCTAAACATTTCCAAGGACAAGCGTTCCCTTCGTACCCATGAACCGGCGCAGATGCTTCTGCAGTCTGCAGGCACGCGTCCCTGCTGCACACGGGTCAGCTCAACACCCAAATAGGGACGAAGGTCATTGAAATCCTGCATATGCTTCTAAGAATCAGCCAGCGAACAGTCCCCCACACCCACCCCATGGAAATGATACAAGTGCTAAGATCTTCCTTCAAGGCTTGGATCTCTGGGTCAGGTCCCCCACCTTGTGGTTGTGGTGGGGAATGCTGCACCCCCCTCCTCCCTGGGGAGCTGGTGCCCGGTAACACTTACACCTTGTGGGCCTCCCCAGCTGGCGGGTGCCATACACCTCCATCCCTTCCGTGTCCACACACCAGCACTGCTCCCGCCACACGTCACACTGCACGGGCGCGTACGCCCCCGAATCCTGACACTGAGGGAGGTAGGAGGCAGCCGTGCCATTGAGGTAGCCACTCAGCAAGACTTGCTGCTTCTGAAGCTGGCAGAAGGACAGACCTAAGGGTGTGAGGAGCAGCATCAGGTCTCAGCCCAGGGGAGCTCAGCCACCTCCCTGGACGGGGGCGGTGGCCCCTTCCACAGGGGAGAGTTGCCACCAGGGCATGGACTCGCAGTGAGCAGGAGGCAGGCTCGGGGCCAGCCTTCTGACTGAACGTCTACCTTTATCCCAGGAAGGCCAGCTTTCATCCCGCCCCACCAGCCTCCAGGATGCCCCACTGCCCCGCTGCTGCCGAGGTGGGCGTGAACGGAGTCAGGCCAGGCTGTCAACAGAGCTTGTCTGAGTCCGATTTTCCCCATGTGCTCGCTGTGCAACCTGGGGGAAGTTGCTTCACCACTCTGTGCCTCACTCTCCTCCTCTATAGAACTGAAAATACAACTGCCCTCTTCAGCTACATGAGGGTTAGCGACATTAACAATACTGCCCCTATTGAATAGCCGCCGTGTACCTGGTGTTTCACATGTGTGTTAATCTCTCACGCACCCTGTGAGGCCGATCCTGTGATCCTGTTACAGATGAGGAGCCACAGCACAGTGGGGGCGTGTGAACTGGCCAGCGTCCGTCAGCCGGAGTGCCAGGAACCCCGACCGGGATAAACCAGAGCCCGGAACCAGCCTTTCCCCACTGAAGGCTTGCTCGGTTCTAGGCCCAATTTCACTGTTCAGAGGTGGCCGGCTTAGCTATGCCATACTCTAAATGGGGACTGTGTTCCTTTGACCACTCACATAACCATCATGTGAACAGGAAAGTTCTAGATCTCGGGGGAGAACACACATGGTGTGTACCCAGCAGCTCCCTGCTCAGAGGCCTTGGCTGTCTACTCACTGCGGTGTCCTCGGCACCAGGCCCAGCCCCTGGCATGTGGAGGGCTCAGCAGCTATTTGCTGAACAGGTGACTTGACTGTCCCACTAGATTTCACAGGAGTCCAGCAGGACACAGGCCTTGGCCACGGGACAGCCAGCCTAACCCGGGGGGAGAGCCGGGGGCCTAGAGCGGCACTTGCCCACTCACGTGCCAAGCCCAGTGCTCTCTCCCAGATGTGTGCGGTCCTAGCAAGTCCCAGGGACAGCCCTGTCCCCCCCTTTTATACTTACACGCCACAGGCCGCCCAGGCTGCCTGCTGCCAGGCACCTCCCTGCCATCGGCATCCACACACCAGCAGGAGCGGCCGTCACTCCTGCACTGGATGGTCCTGAGGGCGGGAGAGACACAGCATTTGGACAGGGCTAGGGGCTCCCGAGGCCACTGCTCAGGTTGCCTTCCCTCTATCCCTCCAGTCTCCCAAGTTTTAACTCATGTACATTAGGGAGGGGTTGGAGCGGAGGGGGCAGGACTTGGGAAAGAAAGAGGACTTCTTTTCTGTCATGCCGACCCCCAGCAGCCCTGGTCATTCGCTCCCCAGATCCATCCGCAAGCCCTGCAGCAAACGCCTGTCCTGGTGTGTGATGTTCCAGCCATGCGGAGGCTGCAGGCAGTAGAGTTGGGGTCCTCCTTCATGGAGGTGGGGACACCAGGTGGGGGGTCAGAGAGCAGGGCCTGGGTTACAGTGACCCAGGGAAGCACATGCCTGGGGGTTCCCAGGGGGTCTCCCTGGGGCAGCGATGGCTGCTCTGAGCCAGGGAGTGATCAGGTGTTATTATAAGAGGAGTTTCAGGTGAAGAGAGTAGGGTGGGCTTGAAACGACAAGCGGCTAGAACCAGGGAAACGCCGCATAAATAAGACCAGCAACCATGAGCCATCCTGACTTTTCCACTGCCCCAGAATCCACAGGGGGCAGAGCCTGTCCCGAGGGACAAGGAGCATCACCCGCCTCTGGGGCGCATGCGCGAATGTTGATAAGCGCATTTGGGTGCCTGTAAAATGGAGCAGGGAGGGCTGTTCTACATTCTGTCCCAGATGGCAGCCCTACAGAGGAAGCCCCCCAAGTTCAAGGTGACTGGGAGAGCCTGGGAAGATCTATTGTATTTCAGACAAAAGGCTCCTGTGTATTCCGCGGTGGTCACTCCACTCTACGGGGAAAGTCCGGAACCCAAGTTCATGATAGGGCAGCAGAAAAGCCCTTTCAGGGGGAGCTCACTGGGGACCCAGCAGCCACCCGCCTGAAGTCCAGGTGGCTTCAGTTCCCTCCACCTCTGGCTTCTCAAGAGGGTAAGAGGGGGAGGGGAGGCACCAAGGGAATTATGGTAAAAGTTTTGGCAGAAAAGGGAGGGATGCCCTGGTTCTGGCTGGGAAGAACCTGGCTGGGTTGGGGCGCTCTGGGCCAGCCCCTCCAGGGCTGATTAGCCCAGAACAGAGAGGCGCCCCTCCTCATGACAGTGCCCACATTTTAGTGCAGGGAGGAGGGGGAAGGGCACAGCCCTGGGGCAGGGGAAATGAGATGTTTTTATGAGGCCTCTCAAGACCCCGATGTAACCCTTACTGGAAGTTGCCGTCTTCGGCACACTGGGGAACGTAGTCCGCTCGCTTCTGAAAGGCTCTGTCCCTCTGCAGCTCGCAGGGACGAAGGGGCTGGGCGTCCACTTGGTATTCTACCAAAAGACAAGGGACTTGTCAGAGAAGGCTGTGGCCCGGAGTCCAGGAACAAAGACGGGGTCCCTTAAGCACAAACACTCTTTCGGGCTCTTGTTTCTAGCATCATCACCCACCGTTGGGTTCCCACTTGCACTTCTGCAACTATTCACATTTTTCCAAGTGTGACATTAGCTCATTTAATTCTCAACACACCCAGTGGATGGGGGCAGAGGGGGCGTGTTGGTCCATGTGACACTGAGGCGGGGACAGTGAAAGTAACCTGCTACTGGCCACCCTGCTGGCAATGGAAGGATTTAGAACAAACCCCTGGGTGGCCGCTCTCGCCCCCACCCCCACAGGCTGTGGCTGGGTCGGGTCAGAACACCTTCTAAAGGGGCTGTTCCTGAATTTATCATCCCTCCCTGCGCACAGAGCAGCGCCTGGCACACAGTAGAAATACACATTAATTAGTGCGCCTCACGTGTCTCGTTTTCACTGAGAACTCGAGAAACGGGCGGGGCCTGCTCAGAAGTCGCAGCCACGCCAGCTCGGCGTCGTCTGCTGCCTTTTCCAGGGAGGACGCGGGAGCTCAGGCCCATCCAAAGTCACGCAGTAAGCAGCTGCGCCAACCCAAACACAGGCCCACAGGCAGGTTTGTTCTTTCCCTACCTGCTGACCATTCAAATACCTCTCCTGAATAACCTGGACCTTGAGATAGCTAGGGAAATTTTTATAAAAAGTCATTGTCAAAAACTTGCTAATAGTGTGGGGCGTGAGGAGTTAGGATCAAACGAGGAGGATCTAATTTCCCATCTTCTGTCCACCAAGCACTAGCCGTGACCTCAGACAACTTAGTCCCTTCCTCTGCAAAGAAAAGAGCAAAACACCCCCGAGGGGACATTCGGGGATTAAATGAGATCGCCGGTGTTCGCAGGCCCTAGGACGGAGCCTGGCTGGCTGATTTCAGGGCTCAGGCCTGAGGGCTCCCTCCTCCTCCCGCTCCACTGCTTGGGCTGAGGACTCACCGAAGATGTTGGCCGACACCACGTAAGCAGAGTCCAGCAGAAGGAAAACCCACAGGGCCAGCGCCATTCTTCTGGGCCCTCCCAGGGGTGAAGGGATGGACGCTGTCCTGCCCCAGGGCTCTGGTCAGGGAGGCTTTATGGAGCTGCGGTGCCCACTCCCCCCGCCCCTGCCCCCGCTCTCAGGGAAGCAGCACCGCCCTGTTCTCTCCGCTGGTCACAAGGGCCCCTCCGCCTGCCCTGCTTCCCGAGGACACTCGTGTGGCCAGTGGGGGATAAAAATCTTGCTGCAGAGATTGGGGGGCGGGGGCAGGCAGAATTCGGTTGGGTGGCTTCAAAATTCATCTTTGTGTAAAAAAGTCGGAGCTCTGAGGCTTTGTGGGCAACAGGCTCAGGCCCGTCAGGAGACAAGCAATCCCTCCTTTTCCTCCCTCCTTCCCTCCATCCCTCCTTCCCTTCCATCTCTCCCCCCTTCCTTCTGCCACTATTTATTTAGAGCCCAACAGTAGCAGACGCTGTTCTAGGCAGTGAGGGTATGGCAGAGAACAAAGGCAGAATCAATAACACAGAATGGAATACTATGCAACAGAAAGAAAGAAGAAACTCCTACCCTTTGTGAGTGTGGGTAGAACTGGAGAGCATTACACTCAGTGAAATAACCCAGTCAACGAAAGACATATACCTTATGACCTCACTTATAACTGGAATCTAATGAATAAAATAAACTAACGAGCAAAATAGAGCCAGAGACATAGAAATAGCTGGGCGGGGGCGGGTAGTGGAAGGAAGGGGAAAGAACTAGTCAAAGAACACGAATGAGTGACCCATGGACATGGACAATGGAGCGGGGATGGACTGCGGGAGGGGTGGGCTGGGTGGAGGAGGGGCAAAAGGGCAAAAACAAATTGGGACATCTGTAATGGAAGGAACAATGTAAAAATGTAGGTTTTTCTCACTGGAAGAAAAGCACAGAACGTAAGAACTGTGTGAGCAGAGCCAGGTGTGCACACGCCCATTCCCGTCCCTCCCCTGCTGCCCCTGCCCCGGACCTCAGACGCCACCAGCCTCCCACAGGGCACGGGAGCTGCGTCTCCTGCGCAAAGTCTCTCCTGCAGCGTGCTTTCTCTTAGCAAAGCCAGCTTGCTCCCTTCACTCCTGCCCCCTCGTACCCTGGCGAGATCACCCTGTGCCCCAGAGCCCCAGCCTCCTTCTTGAGAAAACGGAAACGAAAGGAGAACAATAATGGGTGCCTACTTGTGAGGGAGGCCGCAAGAGAATACATGAGACATTGGTGCGTATGTGCCCAAGAAAGGCTTGTTGTTACTATTGATTTTCTCATTTGCAAATGACCCTGTGCCAGGGAATGACAGGTACATATGCAGAAGAACCTAGCCAGGCCCGGGGTGGGGGGGGGGGGAGCGACAGGTCAGAACAGGCAGGGGATGGTGGCCAAGCCAAGAGTCTGTGGCACTTGAGGGGAGACAAAGGGCAACAGAGAATCTGGAGGGACATTGTTCAGGGAAGAGGGGAGGGCAGGGGACAGGCCGGGAGGTGGGGCCCGCTCCACTCCAGGGAGAACAATGAGGGAGACGTAACCGCAGGACAGAGGACTGCACCATGGAAGAGGGCTGCTTAGGCGTTGCAAGAGTTAACATTGGTAAGGCGCTTGAAACAGTGCCGTATGTAAGTATGCAGTATTGGTCACTGTCTCATTTTTGAGTGCGTGATACAAACTACAGGAAGTAAAACTCAATAGTTATTTTAACTGACAGGTATAGGATTAAAATCGGGTGAGAAGCCTGCTCTGCACACCCTTCCTGCAGAATCACACCAGCCCGCGGCTCCAACATCTCCAGTTCTGGCTCCATCACCAGCTCCAGCACCAGCTAGACTTCTCTGCCTGGATGCTTCACAGACATTTCAAATTCAGTGCATTCCAAGTGGGACTTCCCAACACTTGTAACCTTAATGATACTGCTGTCTCTAAGAGTAAACCTGACTCTGCCATCTTAGACCTCTGCCCCCCATCTCACCAGCTTCAAAATCCTACCAGCAAGCACACCCCTTGGGCATGGGCCCTCCTCTGCAGCCTCACCGCCCCTGCCTCCTCCAGGCCCCCACCTCCAGACTAGGTGACAAGCACAGCCTCCTGCCCGGCCACCCTGCCTCCCACCCCGGCCCTTGCCAAGCTGCTTCTCCAGCTGTAGGGGCGGGAATGGAGACACACGTCTCTGGTGTTCGGGAGGAAGCACGGGCAGGTCTTGGCGCCCATGTAGCCGTGGGGAGGAGGCACGACTGAGAATGAGACTTGGATTTAGGTGGTTTGAGATGTGCTGGCGTGTGCTGGTAGAGAAGACACGAGAGGCAGGGCTCCCTCCGCCCTTCCTTCCCTGCCCCGCCTCCCCCTGCGCCCGAGCTACACAGGCCAAGTTGCACCCCACGCTATGGAGAGCCAGCAGCCTGCCTTCACTGCTGCAACATAAGGATCAGAGGCTGTGTAACAAGCCCGCCCGAAGTGCATGCACAGGCTGGCGCAGGCCGGCCTGTGCTGAATCATCGTCGCTGGCCCAGGAAGTAACAGAAGGGCAGCAGCAGCTCCTGACCAGCTGTGCCAGGGGTGGGGGGCTCCGCTCCACTGGGTTTGGGGCTTTGAGGACACGGGATTCATAGCCCTGGGGTGAAGAGAGCTGTGAGGTCACGGAACTGCAGAGGGTGAGCTGTCTGCACTTCAGACTGTGCCTGGAGGAGGGCAGAGCCCAGACGGCTGGGCAGGGAGCGCGCTCAGTGGGCCAGAACTGCAGGCGCAGGGGGCCAACCAGCACCCAGAGCCCCGGGGAGAGGTGCTTGTCTCCGCGCAAGCAGCAGAGCGATGAGCTTAGAGAGCGCCGGGCCTCCTCACCACGGAACTGAGCTCTCATCGTGACTCAGCAGCTGGTCATGCTCTCGCCATGGAGCCACTGAGCTGGGAGGATGAGCAGGCTCCCATGGTAACCTGGGTGGCAATGCCCTGGTCTGGTCCACTCCGGGCTCAGGCCTCCATCACTCTCGCAGGCTCCTCATCCCTGGCCCGCCACCTTCCCCCTCTCCTTGGCCCCAAACACAATCACATAACCTCCTCTTTCATCCCCTTCCTTCTCGAAGACCAGTGTGCCGTGTATAATGCACACTTGCTGAAGATTTGAGGGAAATGGAGAGTGAACGGGATTCAAGGCAGGAAACTGCTTCAGAACATCACGTTTCTGGTATCCCTGTGGCTGCTCACCACAGGGAACCGCCTCTGCCTTAACCAGGCCAAGCCCCCATCGCCCGCACCAGGAACTCAAAAGCCACACCTCTCCTTCCCCTGGGTTGCCAGAGGAATAATCCAGATTTCTGGTACTTGACTTCTGCTTTCAGAAAGGTGGACAGACACAGACATACTTTCCCTGCTCCTCCTGCTAAGCACAGCTGCAAACCCTGGACATTACAGATAAACAGACACAGCGCACCAAAAGGTGGGCAGGGAAGACAGCCAGCCAGCAACCTCAGGACCAGGGAGCAGTGTGGCAGGAAGTTGCCTGGGCTGAATTTTGCCTGGTGTATCTGATTAGGCATTGGAGACGCCACAATCTAGAAAGTTCCAAAGAACTCAGACCCTGCCCCCCCAACAAAGCCTCTGGAGCCAAACATCCAGGGAAGGACCCCACAGACCTAACTGCAGCCCCACTACCCCCTTGCTAGCGGCGGTGGACTGGGGAGAAGGGTGGTCTCCCCTTGGCAAGGGATAGGAGGAGGTTCCACCAGGCCCGGAGCCGGGGGACCTGTGAGCAGCCAGGGTCTTGGCAGCAGCTGGGCAGTAACAGCCCTTCTCACCGGGGGGTCAGCAGAGACCCGTGGGGCGCCTGAACTCCCACCCCCGCCCAGGGTCTCTCCTTTCTGATGGTGGGGTCAGAAGGGGCCTGATAGAAAGGCAGCGCTGTCACCACTGCCCAGCAGCAGCTAAGCCATCTCCTGGTGGCGTCCCCAGAGGTCACCTGGGAAGCAATAAGGAGGCACCGCACACCCTCCAGCCAGCACAGGCCTAGTGGGGAGCCTATAACCCCACCCCAACCAGCGGGAGCCTGGGTTTCTGTCCCCACCACAGCGAGGTCAGCTGAGTTCTAACAAGGGAAGTTTAAAGGCGACCCACAGTTTCTTAGACAATATCCAGCTGCCCCAGTTCTGACCAGAAATCACTGGTCACCAAGAACCATCAAAACACGAACCTGAAAGGTCGGCTACATCAGACTGCGCCCAGTGTGCACGACTCCTGGTACTGAGCAGGCCCCCGGGCAGGGAACCCTCTGGCCGGGCCGTGGAGGTTTCACTGATGAGCACGCACACGAGGTTAGAATCCCAGCAGAGATGGTGCCAGCACACGATCCTCGTGAGCAGCGGGGCGCTGCCAGTGGGAGAAGCAGGAGGCACTGTCTGCCCTGAGGACCCCACACGTGTGCCAATGGGAAAGTGTGAACACGTGGGTGTCAGGGGGGCCCTCGGAGTGATGCTGTCCCCAGAGAGGAAGTCCCCAGGAGACCCAGGTGGCCAGAGGGGAAATGGGGGCTCTGCTGTGAACATGTGGAACATGAACATCTGAGAGGAAGTCAGTCCGTCGAAATGGGTGTTAGGAAGGAAAGCAGGCGTTACCTGAAATGATGAGAATAACCATGTTCCTGAAAAGAGGGCTTTGCCCTTACGTTTGAAAATAATAATTCACTGGTCTGGCTCAGTGGATTGAGCGCAGGCCTGCAAACCCAAGGGTCGCTGGTTCAATTCCCAGTCAGGGCGCATGTCTGGGTTACAGGCCAGGTCCCCAGTAGGGGATGCAAGAGAGGCAACCACACACTGATGTTTCTCTCCCTCTTTCTCCCTCCCTTCCCTTCTAAAAAATAATTAAATCTTTAAAAAAAAACCCACAAAAGAAAATAATTCAGTAGAACCACACACCAGTAAGAAGAAGTGCAAATTACATTAATCAGTAACACACAGAGAATGATCGCTCCTCACCAATGTCTGGGTAGCAAGAAAGAGTTACCTTTTCAAGGAACACCCTCTTCTAGTTTATTGCTTATACGTAAATATATATCCTTGTGGGTTTTTTAAAATATTTTTTTAATCCTCACCCAAGGATATATTTATTGACTTGATAGAAACATCAATGTGAGAAACATCGACTGGTTTTCCCTGACACCCACCCGGACCAGGGATCGAACCTGCAACCTTCAGGTGCACAGGGTGCACTGCAACCAGCTGAGCCACCTGGCCGGGCACTCGAGGCTTTCAAAGGAAGACTAAGCGGAAAGGAAAGCGGCTCATCTGAAACCTCTCACAGTAAGACTTACACTCTCTTAAATAAGGAATGCTTGGCCCACTAGTTGCTCGAAGCCTTCAATCCTTGATACATTCTACATAAAATGGATGTGTACACACAGACAGTCTGACTTAGGTAAGAGCTCACACTTCCAACCCATACACATAGGAGCGAGTGAAACCCTCAGCGAGCCGCTCCTCTGAAGCTTCCCCTCTGCTGCCTGCTGACAGACACCGTGACCCAGCTGGAAGGGCGAACGTGCCCTGACCCAACCAGGCGCCAGGGGCTGAGACGGCGCCGGCTCCCAGGTACAGAGGGGCTTCTTCAGATGTGACAAGGGTCTATGCACTGCCACTGTCAGGCTGTAAGTTCAAGTCCAGGGTTTAACCACAAGAGGGAAGAGCGCAGAGCTACTTTTCAAAACACGAAGGAAAGATACAGTATCGGTCTCGAGACGGACGTTAGCAACTACTCCACACGTGGAATACAGGCACTCTGTTTACTTTAATAGGAAAATTTAAGCAACTATCCCAAAATATCACCTCTACTAGAGCTTTTCATTTCTCAGTAAGATCTTTGACAAAGTTCATGTATCACAAGTAAAGAAAGACAGGACTGTATTTGATGTCTATTGCTCTTTGGCACATTTGTCAAATCAAAGAATCTCAAAAGGCAAGAAAAACTTTTAATGACTGTTTTGCACATTCTTTTAATCATCTTTACATCAAAATATAAGGCCGCAAAAAGGCAAGCTGAAATTTTAAGATATGTGGAATAGTTTTAATCAAGAGTTTTACGTACAGTACCTTACATATAGAACAGTGTTTGCAAATTTAAATAGTATCTGAATGTACAGTGGTATGTATTCCTATCACAGATAAATCCGCATTTACTGTCTGCCAGTTCTCAAACGCATTTATACAGACCGCTCGAACTGACGCACAGGACGAGGCATAAAATATTCAAGTGTCAAATGCCATCAAACAGCCTCCTCCTAAGTCTCTTCCCCCCTTTTTAAAAGAGTTTCAAAACCTGTACATACATTATTTTTAAAAACAGTCTGTTAAAAGGTAACATTTCATGTTAACCACCAATGCTTATAGTCTATAGTAAGAAAACTAGATATGTGTGGATATAAATACGTGGAGGCCAAGCACATACGCACGCCGAGCGTGGGTCTCAAGCACGCACCCACGTGTCTGCACCCCCGCCCGAGAAGCGCGGGCGCACGACCTCAAGGGCCCCACAGACGGCGGGACTGGGCTCCGAGTCCAGCAAGAGCTAACACAGCAACTTAGTTGCCTTTGGTTTCAGAAACGTGTCCATTTGTGATCAAAGCTAAAAGTTTTGAGTGCGCATGAATTTTTTAAAAAATAAAATTCATCTTCAGAAATGAAGCTTTTCCAGTTTTCCACTACAGCAGTCTAGAAACCCGCCGCCACGGACCCTTCGGGCAGTTCCGTCACTCCTCACCCCAGAGGAGGTGCTTGCACTTTCTTCTGAAAGCAAACTCTCTTCATACTCAGGGCCAAACGAGCGCCACGAGCAACCCCGTGTCACATGCTGCATCTGTGACACCTACACGTCGGAGGGACTGACGGCACCGTGTGAAACCTGGGGGAGAGCTCCCCTCACACCGAAAACCCTCGTCCCGGCGCTGTCACCCCAGTTTGGCACAATGACCCTCTGCAACCCATTTTGTTTGCCATGAGCTCAATGCCCACAGCAAATTCCAATTATTTGGTGTTTGTTTTTAGAAGGTATTCGTAGTGAAATAAGAACTCCAAACAGTTCCCCCAGAAGTGAGACTGCTACAGTCAGTTTTCAGATTAAGGACATCCGTCACCTAGGAAACAGCCACGACCCTGTGGAAGTTCCCGCCCCTGCACCGCTGTGCAGCTGGAGCAGCTGCAGAGGAGACAGTTCTTACACTGTCTTCTTCAGCCCGTCGACCCCTCCAGAACTCAGGTTTCCTCTACAACTGTGTGTCTGGCCAAGTGCTGGTGTATGAACGAGGGTCTTCCTATGAAAAACTACGTAAATATACCGGATGTCTTTCTGCAGGTGCCTCGAGCTTCATGTAATCAACTACTCAAAAACCCTGCCGACTCAACTCCCTTAGCATAGATTATATTCTACTTTCACCCTGGCATATAATACAGTATCATTTGTAGCTTGCTCATAAATTCTTTTTCCTATTCACTTCCTTGATAAAGCTGTTCTTCACTTTCTTTTTCAAGGTACCACCCTACTGATGTCACAAGTCAGTAAGTGACCAAACATCACCATGCTTGTCAACTACCCACCCAGCAGGCACATGGGTAACAGAAGCTATTTGGCTGCGAGAGCCGCCCCTCCCTGTGGGATTTCACAGCTGTCATACAGAGCACAGAGTCGCTATCTGCTGCACTTTGCCCATGTCCATCAGAAGCTGCTTGATGTGGCGTTTAAGTTGGGGCAATCTTGTAAGAGGGTCCGGTGGCTCCAGCTCCCCCGTGAAATCCAGCCAGCTTTCCAGAACTAAAAGAGAGAACACACAAGTTCAAGTGGACACTAGAAGAACAGTCACAAAATGGTATTAATTAGAAGACTAGGCCCTGGCTGGTGTGGCTCAGTGGACTGAGTGCTGGCCTGCGTCACCTAACAAATGTGACGAAGGGTCACCAGCAGTTCAATTCTCAGTCAGGGCACATGCCTGGGTCGTGGGCCAGGTCCCCGTTGCAGGGCATGCAAGAGGCAACCACATACTGATGTTTCTCTCCCTCTCTTTCTTCCTCCCTTCTCAACAAAAATAAATAAAAATTTTTTTTGAAAGTTGGAAAGGTAATGGAGACAAGAGTTCCCCTCTGATTTTCTAGAAAGCCAACACGCACGGCCCTTTAGCTCCCTTTGTATCTTATCTCACAAGGGTTCTACTCCCCCTTGGTAACCTCATGTGTTGTCATTTTAGATCATTTTTCCCTGTATAAATAAGTAAGTTCACTTCATTTTGAATGTTCCGGTTTACACTCTTCTGGACTAGAAAGCCACAGCACCCTGAGCCCACTCAAGCTTTCCACTAATTAGGCTTAAACCATCTTTAAGTGAAACTTTAAATGAAACTTTGCACTTTAAATGAAACTTAGCTACTCGAACTATTTTTGTTTTAAATCCAGAAGTTCGTTTTAACAAAGTAAAGTAGGTAGCAATTTCTCAGTGTCCTTTTCGATTCCATTATTATCATTACCTTTTAAAAACATGCAAGCATATTAGAAGTCTAAGCAGAATGCAATTAATTTATATTCTCCACTTTTTACTAATAACAGGGGATGTCAAGTCGCATTTTTTCTTTACAGATCAACTCAAAACATTAAACTAACTCTACAGTTAGCTTATAACCAAATGGAAGATGCTTCTGAAATGAGCCTCCACTTCCTCTTCTCCCAGGAGAAACGAAGTGGCAGGAGCTCCCGCTCAGTCTAAGGGGAAAGCAGCACATCCTTCTGAGACAAAACAAGGGGGGATGCAACCTACGAGATTCGGCGGGAGAGGAGTCAGAGCAGAGGGAAAACAGCGGGCCAGGAACCGAGAAACTGAAACTGCTCTGCTCTCTCAACTGCGAAGTGGGGATGCTGTCTTTCCCATCCACTCTGCAGGCACCGGTGCAGAATCCTTAAAAATACATGTTTTTAAAAAACTACCTAAAAAATCTGTTTGCAGATGTAGGTTTACCTACTTAACCTTGCAGGAATTTTTTGTCGTTGTTAATTTCACCTAACAAATGTGACCAGTGTGAAAACAAAACTTCAAAATGCTTTCTCCCAGATTTCCAATATGCCTGAAGTCCTTAGTTTAACTACAACAAAAATACCCTGTATGTGCTCTATTTTGAGCTTGGCAGATGGGCAACATTCAACTACCTTAAAAAAAAACAACTAAGATTATCCAGCTGCACGGTCACGAACTTCAAAGACCCCGCCCCCTGCCAGCCACAGCATGTCGAGCACCAAGTCCTCTGCGGTCCCCACCCCGCACTTGAAAAAGCATCGAGTGACTACACACAGGAGAGCAACCACGCCTCGCTCGCCCACAGATTACCGTCAACTTCCTTCTCGATGAGGTCCATCCTGCTGGCGACCTCGTTCTGCACGTCCTCTATGTGTGCGAGGAGGTTGAGCTGCCACTGGAGGTGCGCGTCCCCCGGGGCCTCGGTGCCCTTGTTGTCATGACACCCAGACACAGCGCTCCTTTCGGCCGGGCTCTTCTCCAGGAAACCAACGGAGAAAACAGAGTGGGATGAAATGTGCCATCATAAGGAAAAAGATACATCAAAGTCTCATCACCCGTAAGGATTGGTGAAATCCAATCAAACTCCTAGGACACTTTCAAAGGAAGTTTAGCCCATAATCAAATTACATCTGATGGTTCAAGAGCAAACCTTTCCACTGTGTCTCTCCTACAATGCCAAGCAGCAAAGTGACACACAGGGTCAAGTGCAATGGCTAAAACATGCTAGTAAATGAAGTCACTAGCGATGCTCTATAATTAGAATGTCCAGCTGATTTAGACTGACCCCTTCCTCAGTTCATCTAAACCAGGGACATAAGCAGATGAAAGGGAAAAACAATGATGCCAAAAAATCGGGAAAGTTGGCAAAGACCAGTAATAAAGTCCAATCAACTGCAAACCAGCCCACGCTGATGCAGTTACATCAACAAGGCAAGAGGAAGATAAAAATCTTTCAAAAACATAAAAAGTGCAAACTGCTTAATGCACACACACATCAAATCTAAACTGAGAAATTACCCATTTAATAAAAGGGATATTATTGACAACATAATTTACAACAAGTTTTATGAAATACAAGCTTCCCAAATTCAGTCAAATACTTATTTATAGTGATTACTTGATAAAGGAAGCCAGACGAATAAATAACTAATAACCAATTTTAAAGTAGCATTGCTAATCAAAACTAAATTTTTAAACAAAGGCACATCTCTAAGACAATCCCAGTGAACAGGAAATAAGTTCATAAATATTTATTGTACAGAGCTCTAAGAATTCAACTTAACTGCATAATGGGATTGATATGTATATACAAATATGCTAATATATTTTTTAAAAGATTAAAGTACCACCTTTTATCTAAAATACATTTAAAATGACAGATTATATTAAAATATAAACACACCCATATGCATGTTCATGTTCTCACAGACACTTTCATTTGGAATAAAATGCGGATCAAGTTTTTTATGGGCATCTAGGTATGCTTATAAAATTGAACCTTCTGAGCCCTGGCTGGTGTAGCTCAGTGGATTGAGCGCGGGCCTGCGAACCACACGATCGCGGTTCGATTCCCAGTCAGGGCACATGCCTGGGTTGCAGGTTGGTTCCCTGCAGGCCAGTTCCCAGCAGGGGACACACAAAAGGCAACCATACATTGATGTTTCTCTCCCTCTCTCCTTCCCCATTCCCCTCTAAAGATAAATAAGTAAAATCTTAAAAAAATAAAAATAAAATAAAAAATTAAAAAAAAAAAAAAAAATTGAACCTTCTGTTAGGACCAAAGCTCACTGAGTTACTGCACTTTTGAACTAGGGAAAAGTTCAGTGTCCAAACTGCCAGTGCTAAACTGTCTTCATCCTAACAAGCCACCAGTGACCTTGGAAACAGAACAAGCCACCTGTGACCTTGGAAACAGAAACCCGGGAACTCAGTGTGAGCTGCCAGCATGGCCTTTGCTGGTCTAGCGCGCCCCGAACAGACAAACCAACCAGCCAGACCTTGGCGGGCGCTCCCTCTTCTCTTCCTGAGCACCGCCAGTGGCTCTTCTTCCTCATGCAGAGCTCTCCTTCCTCCTCGGAGCCACTGCCCTCGCCGTCATCCGAGCTCCCGGGCCCCACCGGAGGTCTGCGGTCCTGATGGCAGTTCTGCGGCTTCTGGTAGCTGTGCTCACTGGTTATGTAGGTTCCTTCCGTTTTCGGGGGCACGCGACGTGCTTCCATGTGGTTCTGCACGTGGTACTTCTTTTCTTCCAGATTAACTGTGTCTGGCACCGTGATTTTCTTCTCTGCCCCAGCAATGATTTGATCTTGTTTTTTTCGCTTCCCAGAACAGGCCCAGAGATGAAGGTCAGGATGGTGTTTATTCCTTAAAACAAAGTCAGAGAAGCAGCAATTTAAAAAAAACAACCTTGCAACAAGCTGGCACTGAGTTTCTCAGCATCAACTTCTGCAGCTAGCGCTTGGCTCCACCTGCCTTTTGGTCACTGAGCGGAGCTTGCCTGACTCAGGCCCTCTGCCCAGACTCTCCAGTGAGGACCCAGCCTCCCGCCCAGGGAACCAGGTTTGGAGAAGAGCAGAGACGCCAGACAAAAGGAAAGATAGTCCTTAGGTTAACCTGCCTCAGAATTTCACCCAAAATTGGAATTCTCACAATTTTATAGAAATGGTTCTCAGAGGGAAGAGCGATAATGAATTTAATTGTTGATATTTTTCACTATTGGATATATGCACTTCTTTTTCTACCAAATTTTCACTATCTTTTTTAATTGTACAACGTGAAAAACCTTTATGTGAGCATACTTTAAAATTTTCATTCAGTGAGAAAGCGATACTCATGACAAAAAATTCCAACTACGACATGTACTAAGTGAAGAGCTCTCTGCTACGCCAACCCTAATACCTGAGTGTGACCTTGGAGACTCTCCCAACACGTGCGAAACTCTTTTCACAACGGGCAGGCATACACTTTTCTTTGTACACAAGTGCAGTGCCCACACAGTCTGCGTCCTTCACATGTGACGCATGTGGGTGTCAGTGCGCAGAGCGACAGAAGGCCTCCTTAGTGCCACGGTCTAATCATCCGGCCAATTCCCCGCTGACGAATGTGTGTGTCTTTGCACACAAGTGACAGTAAGTCAGATAAATGTCTATAACATGGACCTGCTGACTACCATAGGCACATTTTTATTTTGATAGGCACTGCCCATGTGACCTCCAAGAAGGTTATTCTAGGGCGAATAAAGGCCTGGAGCTAAGGGGTTGCACTCTGGCCGGGCTGGACCTTTGGGGACAGAGGCGAGGGAAGCCGTGGCAGTGGAACGGCAGACGGTGCGGGAGTCAGGCAGGACTCCATGCACACACAGAAGGGCTCCCGCCTTGTTCGCGGAGCCTGGGGAAGGCATGGCAGCATCTCTATGGAAAGAGAACAAGTTCCTAGTTGTTTAACTGAGACCACAGCGGCCAGTGCGTGGGGACTGGACTGGAAGAGGGCAAGATGGGCACTGCAGAGGCTGGAAGAGGGACGGTGCCCGCCCCCAGGAGGAGGGCAGCCTGGGCTGAGACGCAGCTGGTGAGCGGACGGAGCCAAGCACGGACCACACACACCAGGGGCGCCTCAGGCACCAAGTCCACGTGGGGCACCAGGCTGGGGATGGAGAACAGGGATGAGCAAGTGGGCTCAAGTCAAGGAAACCTTGTGAAAACCAGAGATGCATCCTGTTTTTACACAAACATGTGTTTTTTTAATTAAGTGCTGAAAAGGAAATCGAGGACATTCTGATACGTTGTTTAGGGGTCTGGGACGAATGAAATACACTTGGTGCATTTCAGCAAAGGGATGGATCACATGATCCATCAGCAACCTTCCAGGTCAATCTTAAGGTGACTGGAAAACACGTTCCTGAGTCTGTTTCATCTCGACAGCATTCCAGAAGGAGGACACAAAACACGGGGTTCATGGCAGCAACGCTGTGACCCTGGACTAGTGCACTCGCCAAGCGCGGGGCGGGGCCCAGCATCTGCTGAGACTCCAGACACTGCTCCGCCCTTGGCCTCACGCATCTACTCTAGTGCAACCGGCCTGAAGCAACTGGTCATCAGAAAGTTATTAATCTTCCCTCTTTTTAAGTTAGAACACTTCTGCCTTCCTAGCTGCTGGCCTGGCTTGCACGGGAACCTGGACGAGGGCGGGCGGGCGGCCGGCCACACTCGCCCGACTTACTTGAGGATGCCGATCTTCAGCTGTAAGCCGTGCAGGACTTCGGTGACGCCACAGACGTCGGCCAGCAGGTGATGTGTGGAAACGATCTTTTTGGCATTTAAATGAGAATAATTCTCTTTTAAAAACGATAGCCCACACATTCTCCCGTTATTCAACCAGTCCTTATCATAGCGGTATTTTGCACTCCACCTCTGACCTGGGGAGGAAGTTGACATGAGAGTCACAAAGGAGCCACTCATCCAGGGTGCCTTTGAGCCCCCTCCTAACATTCCTTGGGAAGCAAGGCAAGTCCCATGCGAAGCCCAACTCTACAGAAGGGCAGGAGCAGCGCTGGGAGGAGACTCCCTGCCCCCCTTGAGGACAGGCTCCAGGAAGGAGTGTTGGCTGCAGACGGCACCTGCGAAAAAAGCCTTGCATGCACTGCTTTCCGTTTTTCGTGCAGCTGTCTCCTGTCCCCCCAAAAGGCTGAAAGGGCTGGGAAGAAACTAGACAGGGACAGCTGCCTCTCTCACTGACCTTTTTTTGGACTGGATGACGCAGTTCTAGGTAAGTGACAAGGGCCCCACCCCCACAGCCAAGGTCTCAGACCATCCTAGGTAGCCCTGGAGCTTCCCAGTAATTATACCCCAGTGTGATGAGCCGTTTATGTGCCTGTGTCCCCTACTGCACTCTGAGCATGAGGAGGTGTCATCAGAATCAATCGCCTTACCTGTCACCAGGTTAACAAACAGAGGCATCAGTAAATGCTGCTGTATGAACCAATGTCTCTGTTCACAGAGATCTGAGTAACGCCCCCTTCTCAATGTCACTTCATTTTTTTTTTATCCTCACCTGAGGACACGCTCACTGACTTTTTATTTTTATAGAAGAGAAGGGAGGGAGAAGGGAGAGAAATATGGCTCGGTTGCCTCCTGTACACGCCCCACCAAGGATCAGACCACAACCTAGGTCTGTGTCCTGACCAGGGATCAGGCCAAACACCTTCCACTCTGGAGGCATGAGAATGTTCACTAGGCTGCCAACTGAAACGTCTAGCTGTTTCCTGCCCCCAAGGCTGAATGAAAGCATGTCCACCGCACAGAACCCTGCTACCTGCACGGACGGCGATGGGGAGCCCAGGGGTGCGGCTGTTCCTCCCAGTCCTGCCACGCCCACGACTACCCTTGTCACAAAGTATTCAGCTCTGTGCCCCAGGTGCCTCATCAGTGACACGAAGGAACCTCAGGTGACAATCTGAGATCCCCTGGGCTCTAAACGTTGTTGGACACACAGCACCATCAGAAACTTTGTAAGACCGTGTCAGGAGTGTAAGTTCGAACCAGAGTTCCATTCAGACAGCCATGCATGAATAGGAGCACCCTAAGGGGCTGATTCTTCCTCAGGAAAAAGCCTTACCTCTGTCCTTCTAGTAAGGTAGTAACTGTTGATGGGTTTACAGGAGTGTTTTTACCCAAGTTACTAGTATGGAAAGTAAAAAGGTCACAGTGGGCAACACTCGGAAGTTCCAATGTGGAAGCAGGGCCTCCCTGGCAAGGGCAGGGCGGTGTCTGGGGCAGCAGCGCCACGGGACGCGGGGAACCTTACCGGGAGGGTCTCGGCAGACGTAGCAGGTGTACTGTTCGGGGATGCTCTCCTCCAGCAGCCCCAGGCACACGCTGTGCTGCCAGCACAGACACTCGTCACACTGTAGAGGCAGGAACCCACGGTCACTGTCCGGTCGGTCACTGCCCAGTTGCGCCACCGCGACTCCCTGTGCACACCCCTCCCCCCACCGCACTCCACACAACAAAAGCAAGTGATGCAGGAAGGTCAAGTCTATTTGGGGGAGCTTCCTCTTGCTGCACCTATTAAAATGTGCTTTGATAAATTATTTGAGTCATAAAAAAGTCATGAAACAACTTCTCTCGTTTATTTCCCACTGACTTTTTAGGCAATTACATATTTAAAAGTCTTAAAAATAGCTTAGAAAAGTGTGCAGAAATTTTCTTTAAAAAGGCAGGTTTGTAGCAAGCAGGACCTGTAACAACAATCTCTTAAATGGGTAGTTCCCTTATTTGAGAAAACTACTAAAAAGAGAGAGGATAAAGGAGATTATTATTTTTTCATTCCTATAACTAACATCTCCAAATCCTCTAAACGTCATCACAAAAATATGTGTTCTACTTCCCTTTTCCTAAAAATACTGTCTCTTACAGGGAGAGGTCGTTTGCAATGGTTCACCCTTGCAACAAAGCTTTCCTTTAATCTTCGAGAACAGCGAGGACTTTCATGTTTGCACAGCTGCCTGTTGGGCGGGACTGTATAATGTGAGTTATCAGAACAGGTCCAGACCAGAAAGAGGAGGGCCATGGTCTACCTGTCGGTGTGGGTGCCTGCCCATCAAATGAGTTCCAGTGACGGCCTTAAGCTGGACAGCCTAGCGGAGGCAGAGGTGCCCCGGTCATTACCACTGGGGCTGTGAGCCTTACGCCCAGTGAGAAGCCCCCACCCACGGCAGGGCAGCAATTCCGAAGAGTCAACAGAAGCCCGGGTGTGCTTGCCGAGTGCCTGCAACCGCCGAGTCTGCCCGCAGGACGGGGGCTTACCTGGATCATGAAGCCATTCTCCTCGTCCATTTCACAAATGCATCGCACGATTTCATTAAGTGCATCGTCTTCATCCTGAGACTCCTCGAAGTTGGTTGAATCAAAGTCCTGATTGTACTCGTCCCCACTGAGAAGCAAACTCTCCGTTGAAGAGTCATCTAGGAATTCCACGTCCGTTAGGTCTGGAAGAGACATTCGAGTCCACTCAGCGTATTTCCCCACTTCTATGGGAAGTGATTACAAGCGATTACATGTTTAGCAACCAAGGGCAAACAAACGGGAATAGGTTGTTTATCTCTAGACGAAGAAACCAATGATTTTTCAAGTTCAGGTCATTACAGTTACTTTACACCTTCACGTGTACACTGCTACAGGTAACTCAGAAAGCAGCCCCTAGTCTTGGAGTCTTCACAGGTTATAGCTAAGGTTGACACTGGGTCGGCCAAAAAGTTCATTTGATTTTTTTCTGTAAGATGGCTGTAGTAGCACTTCGTTAACTTCATTTGAAACAATTCATGTTAATTTCATCTGAAACAATTGTTAGACTGAATAGTGACAGCTGTCGTATCAATGTGCATTTAAAAATCTCACCAAAATCAAGTGAATTTTTGTGTAGCCATTTTAACATTGAATGAAACAAAATACACAATATTTTTAGCATATTATGCTTTACTTCAAGAAAGGTAAAAATGCAACTGAAATGCAAAAAAAAAGATTTGTGCAGTGTAAGGAGAAGGTGCTGTGACTGATCGAACGTGTCAAAGGCGGTTTGTGAGCTTCCGTGTTGCAGATTTCTCCCTGGACGACGTTCTGGTCGGGCAGACCTGCTGAACTTGGTGGCGATCAAACCGAGACACTGAGAACAATCAGTGCTCTACCGTGGGGTAGACAGCCCGCACACTCAAAATTTCCGAAGCACCAGTTATTGGTGAAAACGAAACATGCGTACTTTACTTTAGGAAGAAAACCACATGGACTTAGTGGCCAACCCGGTAACAATCATTTCAATCTGCACAGGTTCCAAGTGCCTGCGCACGCCACCCCTCCGGTCCTCGCGGTAAAGAGAACAGGTCTCGTTATCTGTGCCGTAACAGCACTTCACAGGGGTGAGGGGCTCGCTTGCCGGAGGTCTAACACCGGTCTTCTCCTTCCTAACAGCATCGGCGTCACCAACTACCGCTGCACTGGACGCACCCCGGCACGGTGCTGAGCACTGTACCTACGACACACCACTTGCTTGGGTGACGTGGCCAGCGGGTGACCAAGCCAACTGAACGCCAGGCCTGCCTGACGGAAGCCTCAGTTCTTAATTGTCTCCCCAGTATTCCTTAAGCTGGGATCATGAGTTCCCTTAGGAATTGAAAATATTCATTTTGACAATAATCTTTAAAAAGTTAGTAAGTATATTCTAGAAATCAGATTACATGGAGGACTACTACATACGACTTGATTTAAACGTCGGGTTTCTTTCGGGTTTGTATTTATAAATGGCAAAGGGTGGGAAGGGGGCGTGACTGTTTTCCTAATCTGACTCCTTCCTTTTTTTTTTTAAATTAAAAATCTCCAAAGTGCGGTGCGTTTATTTCAGGGTAAAGAACACGCTTTCTCCAGTGTGCAGCAGAAGTCAGTCCTGGGAGACAGCAGGCAGTGGCAGTGCGGAGGGACACGCGACCCCGCCTCCACCCGCGGGCGCTCAGAAGGAAGAGAGACAGGAAGCCGGCCCTCCAGGGTCTCCTGTCAGACCAAGGCCCCTGCCCCTGCCCTGCATCCCTGCCTCTGGTTCCTGCTCTGCTGGGGCTCTAGTCTCAAGCCGCTGCCATCAATGTCTGGACTTGGGGGAGTCTCTGCTCTCATGCTGAAAACCCTGAAAAGTAAGGGCTCAACACCACCCACTGTGAGGACTCACAGGAAAAGCTGAGAGTCCAACTGCAGGCCTCTGTCACCTCCGAGGTGGCCTTCTGCCTACGTAAGGGTGCCCAGCACCCGACTGTGCTCAAGTCACTGCTCTGACTGCATTCCCAGACCTTTGGTTATAAATGTATCTGTGAGCACAAATTCCATTTTGAATACTAAATATTTAGATAAAAAGCATTACCGTTGGAGTTAAGATCAACCTTGGTTTGAGTTTTACCTCTAACTAGCCCCAAAAGTTACTTAAATTATAATCCTCTGCTTGTTTATCTATGCAATGTGGACAAGAACGTCTACTTTAGAAGCTGGTAGTGAAGAATATGAAAACATGTAACAACACCTATGGAAAACCAGAATATGGTAGAAACCACTAGTTCCTACCATCTGTCCTATAACTAAGCACATGGCCATTTTACTTAATATAAATTAAAAAGGAACTCAATGTTCTGATGCTGACATTTCATAGTAGTTTATAAAATAACTTTTCAAATTGTATGCACTGTCCCCAGGCCCTCAATAAAGTATGATTTAGGCTCAGTTCTACACTTAAGAATCTTAACACTTGTTTTAAACGTTACATGGTTACACATACTTTCACCACTAAGATCAACTGACAGAATTGCTCTTGGGTACTGATACGTTGTATTCTTCTCCGTGAACATGCTTCGAAGAGCCAGGGAACTCCCGGAAGACCGAGTGAGTGGAGAACAGCACCTTTCCAAAAATTCTAAGGAGCTGTCTTCATAGTCTGAATAGTCTGCAATGTAAGACACATGAAGAAATATTAATAAAGTGTCAAGAGGAGTGACCATAAAGTAATCAAGAGGAGTGACCAAAAAATAGTGAAAAAGACAGTTTTAGGATTCATAAAATAAGTGTGCCACCACTTTCTCTCGTCGCCCACGAACAGCTGGGTGACTCTGCATCTGAGCAACTGGGTTTGGTGAGGACACCGGGCAAACACAGACCAGACACAGACCACTGTGCCCTATGGGCCCCACTGGGTTCTTGCTGAGCAGCTGGGAGTGAGCGATGCCTGCGTTAACCTGCAGTAGAGATTACTAGGGTAGCACACAGAATTCAGACTGCTACCCAGCTGACCTTACAACAGGGAGATTACCCTGGATTATCTGGGCGGGCCTCGTGCAATCACAAGGGTCCTGAAGCTCAGGATAGGGGCATAAGATTCAGTGCGGGAGTGATGTGAACTGAGAAGGACTTGAGTGGCCACTGAGCTGGCTTTGAATATGGCAGGAGACACATCCAAGACATGCAGCAGCCTTGAGAAGCTGGACAAGGCAAAGTGGGTTCCCCTCTAAAGCCTCCAGAAAGACATGCAGTCCAACGGACACCTTGGCTTAGCCCAGTGAGGCCCATTTTAGGCTGAGACTGGGAGAACTTTAAGGTAACACACCCGTGTGGTTATAGATGGCTGATGTGTAGTAACCTGCGACAGTGGCCACTGATGTAGCAGTCATCACCATAAAGATGACAGGAGAACCCACACTGCCTGGGGGCGCTGCGTGTGCCAAGCGTGGCTCTGAGTGCTTTAAACGTAGTAGTAACTACGTTACTACTGCACTCTGTAGTAACTAAGTGCAGTAACTCTTTCAGTCCTCACCACCAACCAAGAAGGGAGCTACAACAGCTGGAGCTCCCTTCCAAATGAAAGAAGAAGGAAAGACTAAATAAATTGCCCCCCAAAACACAGCTATCAATAGCAAAGACAACATTCAAACGCAGCCTGACTACAGAAGCCTTATTCTTAACCAAAAAAAGTGACCGGTGGCCTTCAACATTTAGAGCGCACCAAACCGGAGGGCTCGTCCGAGTGGACTCCTGGGCTCCACACCCTCCCGCAGGTCAGGAGTGGGGGTGCTCTCAGAGGATGCTGATGCTGTCAGAGCAACCTGCGGGCGGCCACACCAGTCCGCCTCCCTCGGCCTCACAGTGACCCTCAGACCGCCCCACAGCGCGGTGTTCGGGCGCAGACTCTGAGCGGGCACTCAGGTCGGCCGGGTACTGCGCTAAGTACTTGCCCACGATTACCTTACTGGATGTCAGCAACAAACCTACGAGGGAGAAACCAAGTAGAAACTGTCACTGCCACTCAGAAGTGAGAGAACTGAGGTTGCAGAGTCTGAGTAACGTGTCCAAAGTCACCCAACTACGAAGTGCTGCAACAGGATCTGAACTCGCACGGCCCACTTTCAATGCTGCCTTGATAGTTTTGCTCCCCATTTTTTCTATACTTTTATGTTTAACATTCCTCTGTCCTCTCTATCCTTATATTTAGATTTGCCTCTTAAAAATAACATGTAAGTGGATTTTAAAAAACCTATTATAATGTCTCTCATATAATTATCATTGCTGATCTATTCAGATTGTTTTCAAATTATTTTGTGATTTCTATTATTCTTTTCTGTTTTTCTCTTATTGTCTTCTTTTGGATTTTTTTCATTACATCCCGCCCTTGGAAATTTTACCCTATGTCTCTATTCTTTCAGTGTTCATGTCAGAAATTCTAAAACACAGATTTATTTAACAGTAAATCTCTTTTACTCTCCCCAAACAATAAAAACACTGCTATCTCAATTTATAAGCTGTTATTATGGTTACACAGCTCTGTTCTCTACCCTTTGCGCTTGTCTTCCCCACACAGGACGTATGCGCATAACTGACGTTTAGATGCATCCGCAGACTCCTATTCTTTGCTCATTGTTTCTTCTGGCTTCACAACCTTCCTCTGTCATCATGTTCCTTATGCCTTTCAAGTACATGTGCAGAGTACCCTTTAGAGATATATTATCCAATTGGCTATCACTTCATTTTCTCAAGTTTTTCTGAAAGCTGATTCAAGGCACCACAAAATTCTAGGTAAGAATAACCCCTCCAGTCTGCTGATGGTGCTCGGGCAGGGTACCGAGTCCGCCATCAATGGGAAAGAAAGTCTCCAGTTGTCGCAAAGATGCATTTACAGACGGCTCGACTTACAGGTCTAGTAAAACACGGCCCCATATTTTCAAAATTAGCGAGACAAAGGAAAGCTACAGGAACTTCTCAGGGATTCCCATCAACGTGGGGTCTCATCCTACCTCCACTTTGTTAAAAGATGAGAGGAGAGTTGAAAAAATGTTACAATTTTTAACAAATGGGAATCACCATTTTAACACACTTACCATACTGCTTAGATTTCTTTTTCTTCTTCTTCTTCTTTTTCTGTTTTGGTTTGTAGTGATCTTTGTCTTTCTTCTCTCTTCTTTCTTTATCCTTTTCTTTTCTCTTACCTAAGTGACAAAAACCAGTCAGTCAACCGTGTGGCTGACCCCGAGTCTCTCCTCTGTGGTCAACCTAAAAGCAGCATTTACGTTCTAATCAGCTATTCCAGTCACCTGCCCAGAGCTGATGGGCTCAATTAAACTGTTCCTGTCATGAGTCTGGAACTCCTGCTTAGCTTATTGGACTATAAGAGGGGATCTTCATTAGCAGTGCTGAGAAATCCCAACTCCTGACACCTTGAAGTTAACACAGGCAGTAGTTAAAATCTTTAAATGAGTAATATAACTCAGCTTCCTGGTATGGCAAGAAATAAGCTCCACAGTTTAAGACCTGTCTGAGGAGACTCAGCATTTCTACATTTAACTTAATAAAAATATGAGATTAAAAAAATCTTGATCTTTTTTTCTTTGGGTAAATAAAAGAGATCAAACCAATACATAAATTCAGTCTTTCAATACTTTCCCAGTGTGTACAAGAATGAAGACTAAAAACACGAAGAAAACGCTTATTTCATTAAATGTATTCTTTCCAAAATTTTAGAATATTCCCTTTTTCAAGTTATAATGTACTTTAAAGAAAATAAATGGATGTTATAAAGTAGTGTCCTAGAATACTTTATTTTAAATTAGGTCATCACATACATTCACTGGGTCCCAACTCAGAACGAGTTGGCCTACAGTTTAGCAGCCATATTTAATCCCCTCTCAATGACCCAGGCTCCAGTCAGCTGATCTGTAGGATAATTAAGACTATCATCCATTATTACAAAATGATTAGGCATCAGAGCACAGAAACTAGGAAAAACAGCAGAAAACTTAGTCGCTTTTTTATACGGTAGGTTAAAGAAGATAGTCTGAAAAAAACCCTTTTCATTTGTCACCCATTCTCACAGTCTCAACAATAGTAAATGGCAGCTTATTTTCAAACAGCCACCATTTTAAAGACGTTTAAAGACACACAGCTCTCAGAGAAAGCCTGAAACTCCACGACAAAAATGCAAATGACACTCTAAGGTGCGCGTTCCAGGAACCAGGGGTCTGAGGGCGGTGAAGCCACCGCCGCCCCTCCCGGGGAGCCACCAGGTAAAAAGTAAGGGGCAGACTGAGTCCTCCCACCAGCAAGCCATCCACCGTTTGTGCTTAACATTACTTTCTGTTCATACCAAATGCTGTTGAGCTTTTTTCTTCCAATTTCACTTTTTTTTCTGTTTTCGATATTCCTGCAGGTTTAGGGGAAAATATGTAAGTTTAGTCAGAAGGGGTTAAAGGCAGGAACCATGTTTTGCATTACGATCGATCACGAAACTCTACAGAAGACCTCCTCCCAAGGTCTCCTTTATTTTACTGCCTGAACTAGTAACAAAGACATGCGATTTCTGACTTCAAACACCGGTAAGTGGACGGTGATTTCTGTCCCTCGGACTGACAGCCAGAGCAAGCTCCACCCTCTCTTAGCTGTGCAGCCTTGAGACATTCTTGAAACCTCTGAGCACCCGCTCCCTTATCTGCCACACAGGAACGAGCTACCTGCCTGCGTTGTTGCCAGAACTCTGTGTCCAAGTCTGAACATTTACGTGCTTTTCCCATTTCTCTTTGTGGTGGGGCAGTAATTTGAGATGACAGCATTTCTGGAATGAATACAGGCCTGCACATAAAAGGAAGCCTTAGGCAGCCTGTTCTCGGCAGCCAGTGAGGGTCTCCTGGGCACCAGAGCAGTGGCCAACCCTGAGACGCCCACCCACACCGGGCACAGGTCTGAGCAACACCTCTGCGTCTGCGACAGCCCTGACCCACAGGCTGCTGGGCCGCGCACCGGAAGTGCTACACCTCCCCGTCCAGTCCACTGGCCTGTGACTACCTGGGAAAACTGAAGTGACATTGAACCTCTGTTGCCTAAAACAAACGTGCACCTTTGAACGCCATCGTGAATACGGTGTCACATGATAATGCGCGCCAAACTAGAAATATTTTACAGATTTCTGGTCTTTATCTAAATGTAAAATACAAAGGCTTATTTACACATGAAAATATTCAACCTTAATGGATATTACTATCTGATTGTCCAAAATACATTTTTAAAGCAAGAGTGCCCTCAGTAATAACCATGCAGCTGACACGGACACATTTAACGAATCTTCTCAACTCGTACTCAGCTATTCCCAATGCTAGTATCTTACTTGTGTCTGCGATTAGTGTAAGAAAAATACTGTAACACATCTTAAATACAACTTCAGTCCACTAAATGACACTTTAACATCACCACTTACGAGTTCTTCAATTTTTAGGTCATTTCAACATAGTACCAAAAAAACTAGCATTTTACGATCTGTAAATACTTTATATAACTTAACTCAGCCCTGGCTGGTGTAGCTCAGTGGATTGAGCGAGGGCCTGTGAACCAGACAATCGATTCCCAGTCAGGGCACATGCCTGGGTTGCAGGCTGGTTCCCTGCAGGCCAGTTCCCAGCAGGGGATGCACGAGAGGCAACCATACATTGATGTTTCTCTCCCTCTCTCCTTCCCTTCCCCTCTAAAGATAAATAAATAAAATCTAAAAAAAAAAATTTAACTTAAATACAATAGAAGTGTTAAAATGCCTTTCATCTTGAATTAAGTTATTAACTTCTAGTAAGTTTTACATTAAGTAGGAATGCAGATAGTCTCTGTAACAGACCAGGACGTCAAAGAGAAACACAAGTAAACCTGTGCAGCAGGACTGTTGGCCAGACACGTCACTTCCTTTACTGGTGTTTACTGACTGCTAATACGTGTACCATGAACATTCTACAACTCTGAGGCAATTTCCATAAATAGGAGAAGGCACTTACAATGCAAGCCATAAGAACTGGGCTTTCTTTTATTTTCTTTTAAGATTTTTTAAAATTTATTTTTACAGAGGAAAAAGGAAGGAGGAAGAGAAGGAGAGAAACATCAGTGTGTACCTGCCTGGAACCCAGCATGTGCCCTGAGTGGGAATTGAACATGCCACCCTTTGGTTCACAGGCCAGCACTCGGTCCACTGAGCCACACCAGCCAGGGCTGAACTGGGCTTTCTAAACCCCAGTGATATATTCGGAGGCTGATGGCAGTGATGAGTGCAGGATAGGCCTCTAACTCCCTGAAGCTCCGCCTCCCCAGGGAGAAAGGTGGAGCAAGGCGGGGCCGCCTGGGGCGATTCTGATGAGGGGGCTGCCGCAGTGCAGGGCCTCCAGGGACCGCAGGTGTGGACTCCCTCCAGAGCTTGGAAGACCCACGCGGTGGTCACGGACCACTGCGGGAACGCAGGTCAGCACTGCAGAACAGACACAGCCATTCCCAGGGTGCTCTCACTCTGGACCTGGTTTGCCCAACCTTTTTATTTCTTGATAAAATTTCAGAAGCAAAATTGGGGGACTGAGTGACAAAGGGTTGTCAGCCCTGTACACAAATAAGGACCTTCAAAGAAATATTCACATATGCAACAATGGCAGGACTTTAACACTCATGCCCAAATACAAAAACAAAAGAGACCCATTCAAAACAAACTTACTTTTATGAGAGGTTCACTACATTGCCCTCATTTCACCACGTGGCAGATTGAGGAACCAAAGTACTAACTACTTCATAGGAGAGTGATTTTTAAACTAAATTGTATCAACAAAACATTTTTTTCGAAGAAAATGTTACGCAACATCCAATACATCACACACACACACACACTAAACAGACTGAAAAAGCAGGAGCTACTCGGTCCGAGTGAGAGGCGCAGACCCCGGGCCGCCCGCTTGCACTTGATGTAAAGCCCGGTAATGCAGCAGTGTCTCGGCCCCCTCCTGTGTGCCACCCCCGGACCCTCTGGGTCACAATAGGGACATCCCTGAGACTCCATGGAAACCCCAGGCTCTGCACACGGCAAACGTTTGGTGTGGGGGTGGATTACAGAGCCTCCGACCCAAGTTTTGTTTTGTTTGGTACAATTCTGCGGGGAAAAACTGAGAAACGCTTCAACACAAAAAGGGTTTAGAAAGCAGTGCCAAGTGCATGTGCGACGTCAGACGGAAAGCCTTCGGCTCGGCCCCCGGCAGTTCACAGGTCAGAGCCCCTGGGGTTCCCGGCTTGCCCTCCACACTTGAGCTTCCCTCTCTTTTAAACTCCTCCGAGAGCTTCCGGTAATTCGGTGTTTGTCATGCATACACTCAGTAGAAAAATAAGACGAGGGAACAGTCCCGTGCAATAACAGGATTCCGTGTCAACACTAATAGTAACAGAACTGAGACCGTCTCCTGACCTAAAACTGGTCGGCTCCGTTAGATAAAGCACTGATAGTAAAGTGAACATAAAGTCGGCGGTTTTTATGAGGATACCAATGGCGCAATGGCGATGCGGGCAGCAATTCTTCACCTTGGTCAGTCACAACGTGGTATGCAGTGCAAGGTCATTATCCCTACTGGAAAAACAACTAAAAGCAAATCTCACCCTCTTAAGAGGTGTATGTAATTGGGTAATTTGCATAACCTCATCAATCCTTTACCGTGACAGCTGAATTCAGCAGTGCGCACATACCCCTCACATTTAAAAAAAAGTAATAATCATCCAACTCTGTTAAACTATTTCACAGGTAATTACTAACATCCTCCTAGTTGTAAAACATTAGAGTTTCAATTTCATGAACATAACCCACAAAATATCTTTGACACAAGTTCTAGTAAATAATAACTAATGTTTTGTACAAAAGTTTTAAAAGTCAACAGTAACAAAATTCACTTTTATCATGAAGGTGGAAACCCAAGCTACCACACAAGCAAACACATTTAGAAAAACAGCAGCGGCAGCAAACAGGACACCTGAGGCTCTGACTCTGCACGGAAGCCAAGGTGGGAGCAAAGGGAGGCCGGACAAAGCCTGCAGACCAGCTCGGAGACAGGAGATGAAAATGAGGGCCAGGGCGGTGGTGTGGCGAAAACGGAGACCAATGTACTTGAACAACAACAAAAAAACGTGGGGAAAAAAGAACTTGGAGAGGATCTCACAGACTTGTGAGTTTAAGAAACCCATCCAGGCCGAATGCCTAGAGAGCAGAGGTCACTCAGCTCAGTGGAAAGGAAAGTCACAGAGGGGCACCCACTACGCCAGCCACTTGGGCAGACTTCGCGGACTGGAGAGTGGACGTTGTCTGACGGGCTGGGGCTAGACAGAACTTGCCCCTTGTTCAGACCTTGAATTTGGTGGGAGGTAGGGGTGGGAAGACTGTGGGGGAGACTGGAGAGAGAGGATTACTAAACAGTGTTTCTGCTAAGATATTTAAAAGTCCAGACAGTTTAAGGATGAGTAAAATTATGCCGAGTCAGGGTGATGGTGGACTTACTCTCAGCCATCTCTGCGGCCCTGAGTGCCACTATCAGGGCTAAACTCTACCCTTTTGCACTTGAAGGGCCAGGAAGTGATAAGGAAAATGAGGAGGGAGAGAGGACAATGGGAAAGGAAAGGTGACAGTAATCACTGGGGCCACACTTTGGAGCCTGCTCAGGAGAGTGGCAAGGCCTGGGGTCACACACGCCGTGGGCAGGCGCCCCGTGGTCCCAGGACTGTCTGCACTAGGCCGAGCAACGCTCCCTTTGTGGCTGCAGTGTCCTCTCTGGCATGGAAGCCCCATGAGGACAGGGACTCAGCCTTATTCACTGTAATGTCCCTAGGGCCTCGCAGAGCACCTGGCAACACATAGTTCCTAAAAAAAAAAACACAACACCAGAAGACACCGAGAGAGGAAATCATGCTCATCACTGGGGCTTCAACACAAGTCACGCAGGTTCACAAGGTTGTCAATCAAAAGGAGTTCAATTAGAATATGACCTGAATTCTATTACTTCCATCAAAAAATAAAAATTGAAAGGAGTAACAGAAATGGATTGAGTTCCTCCCACCCTGCGCTCAAACACTGTGACTAAGTTCAACCCTCTAAAAAATGAACTTTCAATTAATTAACACTTAAAACCACGAATTTCCTTGATTTCAACAATTAAACTGCCAGCCATCATCATGCCTACATGACCCTGACTCTATAAATTCATATTATAAACCTACGCTCCTCTCTTTCACTTTTCTAGAAAACTGTCATACTGCTGTGACTTTCTCGAATGATTACTTTCATACTTGCAAAGCGTTATCATGCCTTTCCTCTACCCTAGTACATTTTAACCATTAGAGAAATAAGAACCACATTCCAATGGTAATTAGCCATTATTTCTGTAAACATGCAAGACTCTGGAAAAACCACTAAGTTAATACTCCGATTAGAAGCAGAACCATCTAAAGAGGTATGCCAGCGCGTGGTCGCTACTTTGACATTTTAGGATACAGAAGCTGGCTAACATCACCCTTCAGTTATGACACAGCCACTGATAAGGGTATTTCAGTCTTGTCACTAGTGTTTACATGTGTCAAGAAAATAAAGGTATTTCCAAATGCACAACTAAAAATAATCTCCCCAATGAACACAGTGCATTCTAACTTTAACACCTTTCTCATAGACCCAGTACGGCAACAAATTCCAGATTGGGGAAGAACACTAGGAGACCTTCACCAGGAAAAAATACCTCCAAGGGTCATCGTGGTAATTCCAAAATCTTGTGGGAAAAGGGGAAAGCAAAATGAACTAACCTAGCATAGGAGGAGCTTAGAAAAAGAGTCAAAAGAAAGTGGATCAGATTTAGAAAATGACACGTAATGCTTCAATACCTATAAATCGTCAGATATGGGTACCGATTTTTTAAAAATAAACTATGGTAACACTACCAATCATTAACAGTATGGAATTGTAGAAAACTATATATTTAAGATTAGTTAATTTTTACTTTGAAAAAAGGAGTAAGAATGTGAAGACAGTAATTTAAAAAGTGATATTTATTTTAATATATACCACCACCAGAAAAAAAGCGAGTTCTATTTTATGCTTCATCCAAGAAGTTGATAAAGTGATTTCAGGGAAGATGCTATTAAAAGCAATTATCGTCAATATTCTTGGTTGCAAATCTTACTTTTTCTCAATTTCAATCTAGACTTCCTTCACCCATCTAATATCAAGTTAGTAATTTACTAGAGAAACATTTGAAATTAGTGTTTGCCTTCTTTTTATTATATGAACTCTCTAGTTGAGGTTAAAATTCAATAAAATTTCTAAATAAAACAATGTAACCTTGTGAAGGAAATATAAATTAATATTCTATTAGATTGAAATATCAACTTGATAAAATACCCTGAATGGTTTCAGATTACAATATCATAAAATCATCCCCAAAATGTGCTGAGCATGGCTGATTTTACATAAGACTCCCAAAATAACACTCTAACAAATTACACTTAATTTTGAGATTCTGCCCCCAAACATGGGATTATATTAATGATGCAGGTATACAATTAAATTTAAGGTGTTTCTTAAGTATTAAATCCTATTAAAATCCTTAAACCTAATTACTGATCCCATTAAGTATTTTCTGGCTTCAAAACCAAAAACTTCCGTGATTATATTTAGCTTTAATTCCTATTTCGTAAGAACAGGATGTGACAAGGGAGCAGGGAGGGGACTTCCGGTCGTGATGGCGGATAGGAGAAATGCTCCCCTAACCTCCCCACAAAACCACAGCAAAATGACGACAGAGTTACAGAGCCAGCACCTTCGAGGATGACCCTGAAGCTGAACAGAAGTCGCGTGACGCGGACCGACAGCAGCAGCCACGCGGAGACGGTAGGTGGGGCGCAAACTCGGAAGGTGCAGCTTCCAGGCCCGCACCGCGCACCGCGTAGAGAAGGAGGAGGAGGAGTGTGCGGCCTGCGGAAGCTCCCGCCTAGGGGCCGGGGTTCCCGGGGCCACACCTCGCTCCCCGGGGCTCACACCAGGCTCCCCCGGGCCCATACCAGGCTCCCCACGCTGGTAAGTCCCCACCTGAGCCGCTGGAAGAATCGGCGGGGTCTCCATCCAGGACGAGACCTGGGCTGCGGGAGTCCCAGCTGTTGCTCCCAGAGGGCCCACGCTGGGCTTACTGGCCGAAAAGACGCACCCAGCGTGGGCTCCAGTGCCGGAGAGCGGCTAGGAAAGCGTCCAGGACACACGGGTAAGGACGGAACTTTCTGGCTTCAAGGCCGAGCAGGTTTTCTCCGCCATTTTGTTCCCTCGCTGAACGCCCCCCCCCAAATTCAGCTGTCAGGCTCAGGGGTCCAAATCAATGAGTCTCCATCGAACTCACCGCACCCCACCCAACTCGTGCAGAGGCGGGAACCCCTTTCAGGGGCTGACACAAACAAGTGGTGGCTTCGGCCCATGCTGTGGGCTCCTGTAACCCTCTTGAAGGCCCACAGACCCCGAACAAACAGCAGCAGGCCTCAGTGTGCCCCGTTCTTCTTGCTAACCGGCCTCAAGCCGGACCCTGGTAGCCACTGGGTTCACAGCCCAGCCTCTCCCAGGCACCTCTAAGCCCCGAGCAGGCAGCTTCTGACCTGAGATCGCTTGGTAGCTCCCACCAGATGGCCTTGACTGAGCAGGGGCAGCAGCTGACCTGGGCCTACACCAGAACCCCACCCAAGAATCAACACAGCCAGTTTCCGGCTTCAGAACACCACCCATTTAGTCCCACAAAGGACACGCCCAAAGGATGGCCTCAGCATGCACCAGAGTCCTGCTAACGTAGAGATGCGTCATGGACTCAGCGACCACCGCCCCTACACACACCAGCTCAGCTACAGTCACGGGTAGTCCTCACAGTCAGACTGAGGGTCCAGCCCATTCACTGACGAGCCATAGCAATCAAGGCTCAATACAACAGGAGGGTACACGAAACCCACACCAGGAGCACCCAGCACAGGTGACCAGGGAGTCTGCACCACTGAACCCAGAGGCCCATATAAAATACATCATAATTAGCCCTAGTTGGTGTAGCTCAGTGGATTGAGCACTGGGCTGCAGGCCAGTTCCCAGGAGGGGACACATGAGAGGCAACCATACACTGATATTTCTGTCCCTCTCTCCTTCCCTTCCCCTCTAAAGATAAATAAATAAAATCTAAGCAGAACAAAACCCCAAAACCATAATTAAAATGCTAAAGGTTAAAGACAAAGCCACAAGAGAAAAGCAGTTGGTTATATAGAAGGAAGGTCTCATGAGACTGTCAGCTGATTCAACAAAAACTTCACAGGTAGAAGGGATTGGCAATAAATATTCAAAGTGATGACAAGCAAGGACCTATAACCAAAATTACTCTATTCAGCAAAGCTGTATTTTAGAGCTTAAGGAAAAAAATGTTTCCCTGACAAGAAAAAGTTAATGAAATTCATTACCACCAAACCAGTATTATATAGGATTTATTTAAGAAGAAAAAAATTAAAGATACTAAGTTGAAAAAAACCACATACCTATCAGTAATTATTCGAAATATAAGTGGACGAAATCAAAAGACACTGACTGGGTGGCTGAATGGACACAAAATCCAGACCCAGTGTTCACTGGTAAACAACTATAATAAAGAAGATGCGGTGTGCAGGTAAAAAATAGTCTTACTACATGCAACAACATGAATTGACCTAACAGTATTAAGCTAAGTAAAGTAAATCAGCGAAAGACAAATACCATATGATTTCACTTATATGTGGAAATCTGAAAACAAAAGTGGAGGGACTGAGAAGCACAGGCTGGCAGTCACAAAACAGCCATGTGACGTGAAGTGCCCTGCAGGGAACACAGTCTAGCAGCACAGTGGTAACTGCGCGGTGCCAGGTGAGCGCTGGGCTTGTCGGGGGCCACGTCAGCAGTAACTGTAAATGTCTAACCAGTATTCTGTACACCTGAAACTAATACAATGTTGAATGTCAACTGTTATTAAAATTCTTTTTTAACTTAAAAAATTAGAGAAAGACAGAGAGAGGAAGAATCAGATTAAAGTGAAAAGAGATGTGTCCAGGGCATGTGATAGCAAATGATGGCACCATCGAGCTGTACACAGAGAAGCCCTAGCTCCCACAGATGTTACATAAAAGGATTTCTGAAGAGCAAGTACATATTAAAATAACATAGTTATACATCAGAATGTTCGCAGCCTATAAATGCAAGCCCAGCTACTGGTAAGATCCAGCTTGTTTACCTGATGCTGCTGGCGCGGCCCTTCCGTCAGCTACTGCTTTGGAGGAAGGGTTTGCAAGCGGCTGCTTGTCTTCCTTTTCTGCCCTGGGACACTCATTACGGGGAGAGGGAGCTGGGGCTGGCGGTGCTGTAACTTCCAAACCACGACTTAAGTCAAGAGGGAGACAGGGTCTCAGCTTCTCAAGTGACAAATGTGCAACGTCAGGCACTACACAAAATAAAGAATGTAATGTAACATTAACATAGATAAACCAGCACAGTTAATATCCATGTGGATTTAAATGTTATATAAGTTAAACTGTGCCTGGCACAAAGAAGCAGTCAATAACTACTTATAGAACAAATAAGTGCTTTTAAGTCTAAAAGATGTAAGATGGAAAAAGCAGAAATTTCTTAATATTTTAATATTCTTTGTCTCTTAGTATCTTCTTTATCCTCCCTTATGTGTGGTCCCATAGGAAATCAATATACATTACCCTCTGGTACTGGAGACTCGTGCTGACTGTGAGAACTGATGGAGACCACTTTCCCATCAGTGGCTGCACAGGGAGGAGGGGCCTTTGCTACAGAACCGTCAGGCACAGGCAAGGTGGCTAAACGCTGAGATCGTCTTCTCCTCTCACTGTGCTTGAAAGGTCTAGGGGGGTTCACAGGCTGTGGAGGACCTAGAAAAAGATCTTCAATGTTCACGAAGCAGACACATTCTGGGATCATCTTATAATATTTAAGAAGATAAATGGGAAAAAATGATTTAAATACTACCCTCTGAATTTGTAAGGTATCCACAAGGAATGGCATGTTCCAAAAGTAATTAAAGGCAAAAACTGTGCCCTCATTCACAAAAAGTTAATCAAAAGTTCTAAAATCAAAGCCTACTAGAATCAAAGGAAAATATCATGGAACATTCATCTCAGGAAGTTTCCCCAGGTGACACTACAGTTACTTCTCTAACTGCGGATTGTTGTGTTAGTTGCCATTTTTCCTTTGGGAAAATAGTCTCTGCATAGCCAAAGATTGAAATACATACAAATATAGTTCCTTTTGCTACATCACAAATATAGAAATTCTAAGGGGACAAAAAGGTAGGGGCACAGGTGACAAAAATCTGTGACATGCATTGCAGACTTAGTGCTTTACTTGCTGAAGTAACACAGGTGTAAATAGTTTTATCCCACCCCCATTCCCCCAAATAGACTTTTAGAAGCACATGTTTGGGGCCTGATTCATTAAAAAAAAAAAAATTGAACACAACTTTAAGTAGCTCTTATGGGCGAGTGATCAGGATTTTAGAAGAGAATGACACTGTTCTTGGTGAATCATTTAAGCATTTTCTAGGTATGCAACACAAAGTATGAAAATCCCTGTTTTGTTTTTTAATTCATTGGTTTTCTTCTTGCTGTGTGGCATGTAAGTGTTTGATTATTTAGAATGGGCAGGATTACATAAGTCCAATATAGTCATATTAACTTAGAAGAGGAGTATTTATAGTAATTTTACAAAAATCAAAATTCAAAAACATGGTGATAAGTGTAAATAATAAAAGAATAAAACTGCTCCAATATTGTGGTTATAATAACAAAATACAAAATGATTTCAAAATAATGTCATGTGACATTGTTGTGACTCCTGACATCATTTCATAGTAAATGCCACGAGGAAACATTTGAGTTTTTCGGTTCCCATCCTTCCATCCATTTATTAAAAAGAAAACCAAAACAAAAAAGTATCAAAACCTAATCAAAAATTAATAAATATGGCTTAGTAGAAAATATGGCAACTGAATGGAAGAGGAGATTAATACACTTGACTGAAAAAAGGCTTCTTGATACCCACATTTTAGTTTTGTGGAAGGTGTGCTGCCGCCAGATTTGTAGGGAAATGTCATATTTATTACTGATCAGGGTACTGATTCATGTTGTATAAATAGCCAAAGAAAAGTGGCTTTTACCAAGTGATTTGACAGGTTCACTCTCGTATTTTTCTAATTGAAGAGCACTGAACTAGTGTGAGGAACAGAGCCAATAAAAATCTTGTCATATATATCTAAACCCATGTGGAAAGGCTGTTTTTAAAAAGGCTAAATTAACTCTTGAACAATTAGTGTTACTGAAACTGTAAAATCTTTAAAAACATTATCAAGGAATCATTCTTCTGCTTTCACTAATTAATAAGCTTAACTGAATTCTGCATTCTAAATTCCAGAATATGAATGAGTAAAAGGAGCTGCAGAGAGAAATAAGAAAGTAGAACAGTAAGTACATCTATCCAGACCAGTCTTAGGACTTGAGGGGAAATATCCATAACAGGTTATATATATATGTAATTTTTTGTAATGAATCAGGCCTCTTACTGTGCTTGGATTCTTAGTTGAGGAGAATCAAGCTGCAGAGGAACCTGCGGTGTTCAGTAAGGTCTCTCAACCAGCAGGTCTCTGCACAGTTCATCACTCAGAAAGGTGTATGATTTCCGCCCCTGGAACAGTTGGCAAGCCCTCCCTATCACAGCCACTTAAGTTTGAATTCTTAAAAAGCAACTTCATAAAAATACAATATAACTACGATCAAACTGTTTCTCAAAAATGTATCTTATAGGATAAGTAACTATTTTTTAAAAATCTGTGCTCACTAGTTTTATTTATCACTGAAGAAGAAAGCTGGGACACAAGCGTCAAATCCTCGACTTGTATTAACTCTGGGGGAAGTGGTGATTTAGGGGGCTTTATACACCCGGAAGGATGTCCAGATTCATGTTTGCATTTCTTGCTGCGAGCCTTCCCTGAAGACAAAGTTGAGGATAACAGTGCAGGTTTCTGAGTGTTGGCAGAACTGCTAATGTCAGCTTCATTTTTTTTCTGACTTTGAGGTTTAGGTGAAATCGCCTGAATAAATAATAAAAAATTGATATTTTTATTTTGGTTTCTTCATTTTTGTTCTTGTATTCTATTTTGATTGTTAAGCAACTTTAGTATCCAAAAACATTGTTAAGCAACATATAACATTTCTATTACAAATGAAAAACCAAAAAGAACCCCACAAATTATTAACTCAAAGTTGGAGAGGCTGTCTTTAAAGGGATGCTGCCAACTGTGTCCCAGTTTGGCTTTTGAAAATGCATTATTAATAACATCCTCAGAATATAAAATGTTATCTTACTGAACATTTTTTTAGTATTAAATTGAAGTACATCTCTTTTGAAGCCATAACTACCAATGACATTAATAATAATTAGGTAAATAAACAGCATTTTCATGTTTTTGAGCATTAGGAAAATACATTTAAACCTTTGACTTCAGATGTTTTCTTATAAAATAATCTCCTTTATCAAGCTGAATGCAGACGTTTAAGTAGACAGTTCCCCTTTAAAGAAAGATCTTAACAGGAAAACAATGATCAAATTAATGAAACATTATCTTTAACTCATTTTAGTGCTGAAAGCTAGAGTTTCAGAAGCATAATGCATCATGAAATCAAGCCACCAGCAGTTCAGAGTTAAAAGACTAGGAAAACAATACAAAACAAGCAACAACAACAAAAAAACCAAGGAGAAAAACCAAGTGTAAGTTAAAAACATTGGATTTAAAAACAAAATACGTCGCATTCTTAGATGAGAATTTTTACCTTCTTCTTGCCAACTGATACTTTTAAAAAAAAATTAGAACTTTGTCAGTTCTTTATTTGGCAATAAAATTTCCTACATGTGTAAAAATGTATGTGAACGTGTCTAAAGACAACAGAAAATGGCCACATTGGATGGATTTGTAATCTGTGGTGTTAGAATGCCTATACTGTATCTTTTTCTGATACAAGAATATAAGATGCACTTTTTTGTTTTATATCTACACTAGATAGGCCTCTATGAAGAATCACAGTGCTAGCACTCTGCACAACATACTTGTCCCTAAGAAACCTTTTGACTCCCATGGCTTTTGTGAGGGATGACAGTCGGGCCTGCCACCTGCAGCCCTCTAGTACATGAAAGACCACTGCTGGGGACCAAACAGCATTCTTTTCCTACTAACGTTCAGGGCATGCAAATTTGGAGAGAAAATACCAACAGTGTCTATTTGGAATTAACAGCGGGGTAGCTCTGAGTGCTCCACAGTTAGTATTTTGGACGTACCACGTAAAAGGGCCAGTGTCAGGTGTCCCATTTATTTGTCATCATTTCTATCTCTGAATTTACTCATCACACACACACACGTGTTCAAGTGCAGACTAATCATTTGAAAAGCACTCCATAAATGGAAAGGACTCCTAAGCTTATCATAAAAGGTGTTGCCAGAAAAGTAATTAGAGCCATTACTTGTAAAGAAACAATTTTATTGTTCATCTTCACATATGTGAGAGACATCACTACAGCATCCATTACTCTTGAGTTACAAAGTTATAAAACAAGATTTTAAAACTTAAATTAATATCTTGATAAGGTGCTTAACTTCTAAACAAGGACAAATTAACATTTTAAAAAACTTAATGAATTATGCATCTAATGCAGGTTTTATCCAAAAGTAAACATAACATAACAATTCCCTAATACAATTAAGTAACTTATAATTAATAATCTGAGAATCGGGGTTCAAGACCACAGAGTCTGAATGTTTTTAATGTAAATAAAATAAATCCATTATTAGCACAGTAAATTTTGGCTGTAGGCCTGTCAGAAGTCTATGTCATGAGTGACATTATTTTTACTCATTAGGACAACAGAGGTTAGTGACAATCAACACCTTTCCTTTGAGTCACTGTTGATACCAGTTAAGATGTTAAGAGTTTTAAAACTCGGCTTTTTAACTCTGAAGCAGAGCAAACAGCATAAAAATTAAGAATTTGGTTTCAAACCATTTTCACATTGAAATCAACTTAAATGACAAGAGATGAGGAACAGCATTATGTTCCTTAAAAATCTTGAAACAATTTACATTTTCATTAATGATTATTGGTCTCTTTGTTACAAAACTGGCAAGGACTCTCAAAAATTTTTTAAGTTATGCAAACCGAAACAGCCGAGTTACTCAATTTTTCTTTTCTTTTTAAACTCAGTTTCAAATTCACGTCTGTTCTTCTCTCTGAAATTGGCGCTGCCCTCTACACTAACCTCCACGTCTGATACGTGATTTCCACACTCACCTCAGCAGGACTGTGCATAACGAAAGATTGACATTGTAATGAATTTTCCAGAAACATTTTATTACCCATGTCCCTGATTTATTGCATTCTGAGAATACCATGAACAGTGGTGAAAATACAAAATAATGTTATATCTGGGACACTGAATATAGTACTACACAGTAAAAAAAAGTCACTTAAAATTTGGTTGATATGCTGACAATAACAGCAAAGACTTGACCGTTTGATGATCACAGGAAATCAGAAGGTATGATTTGCTGACATAGGAATCAATTTAAAAGACCATTGATTTAATACAACATAATGGAGGCACCAAAGCAATGTACTGCTATCCAATCAGGCCTAAAATAACCCTGAAAAACTCAATACAATATCAATTAAATTTGGGGTATTTTTAAATGTATATAGGTAAGAGCAAAAGATAATCATTTAGATTCTTCTTTATTAGGCTACTAATAAAGAAAATTAAAATAATACAAAAAGCATATATTAAAACTACATTAAGGCTCAGATTTTAAAACAGAAGAACCAAGGAAATCCAGTTATGGCTATTACTGTGTTCTAGTCTTACAGTGCCCAAGAAGTTAAGCCCTTAGAGGATGTAAAAGCATGCAGAGTTCATTATGTTACAGGTACTGTGGAAATCTGAAGGCAGCCAAGGCAAAACCTAGCAACTGGAACCTTCACTTTTAAATTCCTCTATTAGGTGGTTTAAAGACAGACCCTTAATAGTTTTTTAAAATTTTTTTGTAGTTATTAAAATATACATCCTAGCAAAAAATGTATGGCTCATTGATCAATTCATAAAACACATAGTCTACCAACACCAACTGTTACAATATAAAAGAAACTTCTTACAAAAGAAGCTTTATTAAGATGTCAAAAACCCTGTTTTAACTCACAAATGAAAAGTATCTGTGTGAGGGTCTCTTGTCAGCCAGTTAAAGGCGATCCCGCTGGAAGCCTGTGCCCTGGGAGGCCTGTCTGCAGGCCCCCGATGTGGGGACAAAGGCTCTACTGCCAGTCTATGGAGAACAAACAGGAGCGAAGTCTGCAGTTCACATGCCTTCAAGAAGGCAGAACTAAAAATACGTCACCAATTACTTAGCTTCCTATCCCGTATCTGACCAAAGGGCAATTTCAATTACGTGGGTATTATAGCTCCGCGATCGTTCCAGTTGGGAACCCTGGAAAGAATCAAACGCTACCGTTCCATACCTGCTCCAGCATTGGAGCCGTTTCACTGTAGTCTTCCTTTTTTTCAGCACCGTCCACCCCAACGGCTTTGGATGCCAACAAACCTTGAGAAAAATTGTACAGAAATTGCTTATTAGAAAAAATGTGGACTTTCACCTAATGAACTTCACAAAGATTTTAGCAGCTGAAATCACCCATACTTTTTAATATATAGAAGTAAACATTCTCAAAAGTTTACTTGTCAAAAATACAAACACCCTTAATAATGACTTAAAGAAATGAACCACAATTTGAAAGCTGCTTATACAATTAGTTCTAAATATTACTACTAAAGATACTCTTAAAACACCACACACACACACACATTTAATCTGTAAAAATTTTAAATTCTATGGCTTAACATCTGAAGCCTGATAGTACTTAGATTGTTAGTATTCTTAATTATGGGCTTTGTCTATTCAACTGAAATAAAATATAAAATTAAGATATGAGAAATCATCCCAAATATCTAGCATGTAAAATTCTTTTGTTATTGTTCTATTATTAGCTACAAAGAACCTTCCCATTCTTATTTCACCTGGACCTTTCAACCTAAGCTGGACGGATGGATCTCTGTGCTCAGCTGTAGTTTATTATCTTGCAAAGGTGCTGAAAACACCCATAGGCCCATTCTTTGTTGATGTGGAAAAAGTATGGCTACTTCCTTCAATGTTTGAAAACTTAACATTAGAGCCTCCACAAATGATGAAATCATTTGGGAGTTCCAGTTTTCTCCAAAGTATACTGCTAATTACCAGTTTTAGAAGACAATATTTTATCTGGAGTAAGTATAATTAACTTTATAAGACATTAAAACTCTGCTTTAAGTTATGAATTAATGGCACTTGACAAGTAGCTTCAATGAAGCCAAGTTTAATAAGGCTTGTATAACAACAAGTATTTGTTTTCGCTTATAGTGACCGGATACACAAAAGGTCACCAAAAATCATTTTTGTGGCACTTCAAAGTTAGCTACACAAAACCTTTGCATCATAGGATGCTCAACAGTCAAAAACACAATAGTAACTTACTACTCTGATTAAACCAGATGTTACAGAAGCTGCCTACAGTGTATTTCACTGGAGGAAAAGAGCACCCCCCAATGCCACATAACTTCAAGAGAGCCACAAGGCAGCCTCTCGACTTCTTCAGATCACTGTCTCAAAATGTTAAGCAATGTAAGTAGGAATTCAAATACTAAAATTGTATTCTTAAAGTAATGCCTGCAGTCAAATGTTAAACTAAGCAAAAAGCACTTTTCTTTTACTAGAAAGTTGAGTCTCTACCATCCAGAACTATAATTTAAACTAGAAAAGGTGAAATGTAAAAAAAAATGATGTCAATACATCAATGATTGGTATTAAAACTGACATTTAATCCAGTTTGAGATAACAATCCATACATAGTTGTTCAAGTCTCACACAATATCAAGTGTAGATTTAAATAGGAAAAAAGTAATATATAAATCATTTAAAACTGCATTCACTAGGTTTTTCTTCTCTAGCTAATGTTTTATTATCGAGAATCTATACTACTAAAATAAAAAGAAAGAATAGTTAGAGAATCAAGTTCTTTTGTAGGGAACTGAGAAGGATTCTTCATCTAAGGGCTAGTGAAACAGGAAAGATGTTTGCTACTCAATCTATTAAATATATCTTACATTTTGTTTCCTTTGATGTACAAGGTAGAGATACTTATCTCATCAATAGATGGACTAGATCTCAAACTCCAAAATTAAAAGTAAGGTACTATACATAAAAAAATAATTTAGTCATACTTTGTGAACTGAAGTTAAGATATCATAGATCCAATTAATTAAAAGCAATTCTATTCTCACTTAATGGTTTGTGAAGGAAAAATAAAGCTTTATAATGTTCTTGTAAAAAGCAATGGGGCATTTAATAAGAACTACCTAAAATTAGATTAAAAATACAATACTTGGGATCTAGTGAATTCAAAGCCTCAAATGCAATCAGTGAAAAGCATTCACGTTTACATGCATGCCACCTGACAAAGAGCTGAAAACATAAACAACGGAGAGGCCATCCAAAGTCTGTTCTCTTGACCTGCTGGTGTTCTGGGGAGAAAGGCAATATACTCCAAAATTGAGAATTAATTGAAAGAAAATAGATGCAAATGAAATTAACTTCAGTTATTTGCAAATATGCATTATCAGCATCTCACGAACAGGTCTTCCTCCAGAAGAATGTACCCATAGAATACCTCAATGAAATGCACCCGTGAGATAGTATTTAAATATCAAGTAGAAGCAGACTATCAAATATTCATGAATCCCACCCACCAAGTTACAATTTCTCAGTACTCCACACTTCAGTGCCACTGGGAACAAGCGGCGCCCAGACCAGAGCGCCCTGGAGTGCAGCAGAGGGAGGGAAAGCGAGCAGAAGTGCATGCGTTTGTGTCCCGCTTTCCATAGGAGGGTTCCAAAACACAACATTCTTCCTGGGATTAGAATCAAATATTCTTGCTACTATTACCAATAACATATTACTGGCCAATTTAAACTTCTTGGTTTTAAAAAATTACTTTTAAAATTCCTTAAGCTTCATGAACAAATCTAAGCTGGCTGATGTGGTAAGAACTACTAGAACTATTAGAAACAAACCACATACTAACTGCTGACATTTCTTCTACTCCCCTGACAATGTGTATTTTAAAGTTATTCAAATTTGCTTGCAGTTTGCTTTGTCCAGAATATGGACGGACTCCTGATTCTCCCTGTAAAATGGTCTGTTCTAAATCAGCGTAAAGTCTCTAACCATCCATAGAGTACATTACATAATGAAAAGGCTCTAGAGGAACATATATATATTGTGCTACTGAAACTTCAGTGTCTGCTCATTTGGAAACATGAAAAAGTCATCCTATACCACTGTCTATAAAAAAATCAGGTTTCGAATCTATGTGTATATGGGGAAGAACAAGAGTGGATAAATGCATGAATTCAATTTACCCCACTTATCCAGTGGTCAGTCCACTGAATCCCAGCTAGAACTATGTAAACAACCCTCGGAGTCAGCGGGGGCGCTGCCGCAGGCACAGCCCTACTCCTCTCCACGGCAAAGAAACAAGGGCACGTATGAGTAAGCCTGGCAAATGTAAAGTACACCATAACTCCATAGCAAAAATGGCTATTTCTGTATTAGTTCTCATCTGTGTTCATGGACTACAAACAAAATTTACTGTACAGAGGCAAGCTTGAGTTTTACTCATCAGAGACAATCTCGTGTCTGTTGTCTTCCTGCATGATATAATTGTAACACGAAATCGGAATTAGACACAAAGACGCACTAATAAAAGGATTATCATACATTTAAGTCTTCTGAGTAAAGACAGGGAAGAAATTACGCCCGTTTCACACTCTAGGCTCTCACGCTCGTCTCCTGCTGCCAGACTGCCTTGTCTTCGTCTGGATTCCCAACGGGAAGTGAAGACAGAGTCCCCACAGAAGACGGGGGTTACTACACAACCAGCATTAGCATTTCCTTGAGGCGCACGGTAAAATCGTTCCTCCCCACTCCCCACTGTCTTTTCAAGGCCATGCAGAAATAATGCATTGCTGTGGAACAAGCTGTTGTTCTTTTTTCACTTCTTGAAATGTTGAGCTTGAACTTCTCAGTAGGACATACGACTGCGTATGCCGACCAAAATTAACAGCAGGTTTATCTAGACTGTAGGAAACCGGGTGCTGGCAAGCAGCAGCCGTGTCAGGTCGGTGCCCCTTCCGCCTTCCTTGACTCCGGCTCCTCCAATAGTGCTGCTTCCACCTCGGCGTCCCAGGGGCTGGGGAGGTGTCCGCTCCGGCCACACTGCACAGCACTAGGGTCCACCCCTCCACCGCAAAACAGAAGTCTCAAGTCGCCGTCATAACAATTCCCTGGACAAATTTTGGCTTTCTCCAAAGCTAATAGTTTCTAAGGAAAAGCTGGAATGAATGAGTTTATTTTTAAATATTTCCTGTCCTAGACCAAATATATCCTTTATCAGAGAAAGGCACAAAAATAATATTAACAAATGGAAAGACTAAGAAGTCTCACCTGTTGAAACCAATATAATCAGTTAAATACCACAACAAAATGGTGGTTGGAAGACCCTCAGCCCCAGAGCCATCTGGCAGTTGCCTTCCCCTCTTCCGAAAATGAACAAAACTTTCATTTACATTCATTTTTGAATCTGATAAGGAAACCAAGCCTCTTCAAATTACTTAAAAGGATGCCAACAAAGGTTTATATAATTTTATTAAGCCAAAGGCACTAAAAACCATTCTGCCCTTAGAATAGAACATATGACTGAATAATTAAAGTGTTGTGACTGTCCTTTTAACATTGCTCACAAAAATTATGTATGTTCACAATTTCTTTTAAAGGCTAGAATCATTCTGTTGAATAGGCATAGGAAGTAATGGGCTTCCATTCTAGTACTTAAATCCCTTCTCCTATGAACACTAACCAGGACAGGATTTTCAGTATTTTTCGTCATCCTAGCACGGTACTTCTTCAAGTGCAACAAAGCACAGAGAAAGACCAGATTCTAGAGATCAACCTGAAGATAAAACTAGAAATTTTAAAACCGTATAGAAGTACTTTTACATCGGAAATTGACAGCTTCACTGTTCATCTCTCCAACCATCCTTAATGAAACTGATCAAGAGTAATACGAATACATAGTATTGAGACCCCAGACATTACGTCACTGCAGGCTGACAAAAGCAGAAGACTCAGTTGGTACGGACGCTCTCCCCACCGCCGTGTGAATGAAGACTACGGCACTGTGTAACCGTCGGCCCCATCAGCCCTCACAACACCTGTGAGGTGGGTGGGAGACGTGTCGTATCTTTCACAGTGCACATCGGAAATGATGAGTTTTGAAAGGTGTTGATCTTGAAGAACATAAAGAAACTGTCTTTCTAATTAACCAGTTATACAACCCAAAAGATACTTGCCTTTATTAAAGACAAACTACTCTAAAACCAAACCCTCCATTCCCCCCAAAAGAATCATTGTAGTTTACCAGTAATCTTGTTAAGTCGAGCTCTCTTTGCCTGAAATGAGTTGCCTTGATTATTTTTCCTCTTGTTTGATAATGTGCTCTCGGGCTGTGGAAAGACCATCTTTGGAACGTTCTCTATATGAAGTCCTACTTTAACAGAACACATATATGAGAGTTTGTATAGACTCCAAAGTTAAAACACATGATTTCTTTAAAATAGTTAAACAGTAAAACTGCTTAATCTAGTGCTTGACACGGAACTTTAAAAAAACACAAACCCCTCCAGACTGATATACTCTGGTAGAAATAAAAACTACTGAGCAGCTGTTCTTCAGGAATGAAAAGCAAGAAGAGAATGACTCGCTGCATTTTCCATATTGTATATTATATATTATATACTGAAATACATGCACAAGCATTTAAAAGGTTTTAGAAAACATAAAACAAAGGAAACCCAAAAACCTACTACCAATAAGTTACAGATAAAAATCTCTCTCATTTCTATTCAAAAATACTGACAGCATCCATTATCAAGAACCCATATTAGACCATTAATCTTCAGATCTATAAAATGCTAAAGGCCAACCATCATTTATACTAGGGGAGAAACCCAATGATTTAACGCTATGTTCAAACTACAGATAGCCAAAGGTTTCAACTTGTTCATTATTCACTGTGAATTCACCACCGCCATAGGAATGAACGTAAGAGCATTTTATACCAAAGGCATCATCGCTAGACGTGGGCAGGTCTTCCTTCTTAACTTCCGGTGTGCTTATAGAGGCTGAAGTTTCTTCCTTCTTTGAAGGTACTTTAAACCATTTCCGATCATCTTTCTCTTTATCTTTATTGCTGTTAGCACTGGTTCGAGGTTTGCTCCCTGTTTTATTCTTGGCTGCAGCTGCAGCAGCTGCTTTGACTAAAGCTATCCAGTCCTCCAAAGGAAAAACACAAAACATGTGAGACATTAAAAATTAATCAAAACTGAATTAACTAACGAGTAAAAACCTGAATCACATGTTCAAAGCTACTTTCGCATGCACACAGATTTTAAAATCTAACTGTGTTCACAAGGTAGATCATCAACATGGCAGAACACCAAATTCAATAACCTAATGGGTTAGGTGGATTTATAACCTTATGTAAAAGAGAGAAATACTCAGTAACGAATGTTCCTTCGGTGCATTTTCTCAGGCATAACAAGAAACCCATGACACACATGGAGTGCTACATGACATTCTGTCTTAGTACTACAGGATTTACATGCCAAACTGCAAGTCTTTTCTGTAATACAAAGAACCATGAAAGAAACAAGAAAAATGTTTATGTTGCAATTCTGCAAAAATTAAAAGAAATGTATTTCTTTGAGTAAATTACTCTTCCTTGTTTGGAAGAATGTACCACTCAAAGTATGGTCAATTTCATAAAAATCAAAGTGATTTTATTAATTTGTAAAGCTTTTAAAGCTCAGATACCGATTTATTACAACTGCTTTATATTAATAATAGAGTAAAAAAAGAGCGACTTGACCGCAGTAGGGTCCCATCATCAGGATCCAGACTCATGTCCCTCCCCCACAGCTTCCTGGGGCCTGTGGTAGTTGCTATTCCCCTGTGATGCAAATGTTTATTTTTACTGTACTAGTTTTTGGGGGGGTTGTGAATAATTTTTACTTTCATTTTTTTTAAATTTTTATTTATTTATCTTTAGAGGGGAAGGAAAGGAGAGAGGGAGAGAAATATCAATGTATGGTTGCCTCTTGTGTGTCCCCTGCTGGGAACTGGCCTGCAACCCAGGCATGTGCCTAGGACTGGGAATTGAACTGCGATCCTCTGGTTCGCAGGCCTGCGCTCAATCCACTGAGCTACACCAGCCAGGTACTCTTTCATTTTTAACTAAAAATGCTAATTATAAGAATATGGGAAGATGTAAAGAAGTGGTGGTAACATTTAAATTTTCACAACTGAAGATTTTTTTTTAAATCAACTATTTGTAATACCTCTAGCGAGCAACCCCTTCCTCTCAGTCCACTAAGCTGTCAAACAGACCACCAATGTAGATTCAACCAAAATGAGTAATCCATTAAATTCTTAGCCCCAGTAACTAGACTTCACAGCATCAAATGCATTTAATTCATGGCTTGTGTTAATAAAATAGGTCACTAAGCAATACGAGTTGATAGCTGCTCAGTCTTGAAAATATATGGTGAGGACAATAAGCCACGAGAAACAGTCTCTCTCTCGCCTGATGGACATGAACTGAAAACACAATGTGATTGGACCTAACACACCCACTACAGGTGCCAGGAAGCAGGCTACGTATTCACGAGACTGCAGCCTATAAATGCCACTTCCTGGAAGCCTGAGAATGCACGGGCCTGGAGCGACCAAGTCCTTGCTCCCACCTGGAAAACACCCAGCATGCATCTCGCTTTCCCAGTTTTTTAAACTACGTCCGAATAATGTCTTATTAGAAAGTGAATTCTAACAAAGTTGTGAAATAAGTAAAGGTTTATATTTCTAGTTTGTGAAGAAAACAAAAACAAGATGCACCAGTATTGCCCAACTCCAGTTTTATTTACAACCACCCGCTATTTCGGTCCTGCCCATATCAAACTGACAGGCAAATAAAATTAACTGTGAGACAGTGTGACAGGAAAGATAGTTGTGGAATAAACAGAATATAATGGGAGATCAAAAAAGAGAAGATTGATTCTGACTGAAGAGGAAGGCCAGTGGAAAGCTCCAGGAAAAGTGAGGGGCGAGTGCAACCCCGAGATGGGATCTGCTGGGGCAAGGGCAGAGGAAGGACAGGGCACTGCTAGCAAAAGGGAAACCACTCACAAGCGCAGCAGGCAGCTGAGAGCACGCGGAGGGGACAGGGGCTCTCAGTCGCTCTGCATAGCTAACGTAGATGGTGCAGGTGAGCCTTGAGAGTGGTGTTTAAGTAGGAAAGGGAAAAACACCACCAATGAAAAAGACTGAAAGAGCAATGAACGCAGCAGAAAGAGAAGCAAAAGTACCATCGGACAAAAGAAATAAAAGGGCTAACCCAGCAGAGATACGTGTATGTAGACTTATGAAGAGCAGAACATTTAATTTTGGGCTGTACACCATGGGGAAGATTTTAAGGTGTTAGAAAAATCTGAAAAATGCCAGGTATACATTCTGTTTCCAGTGATTTCCCATCTCCAGTAAAGAGAAAACTAGGAGAAATCAAGATTCAAGCTGTACCTTTGAAAACTGAAAACAGCTATGAAAAATGGGTCTTGATCACATGACTTGTTAATCACGGGATCACTGCGGTTGTGTGATTAAGGAGTTCTCCCACTCTTCTGCTGTTCCATTTTTAAATAGGAGATCCACTATCAAAAGCAACCGGTGTGTGCTCATTCCAGGAATCGGAACTAATGCGTTTGGAAGGTTTCTGCAGACACCACAGTGCTCTCGCACGAGCACTGTCGGAAACCAAGCCCAGGTTTGGGCCCCCTGCACAGTAGGGCTGAGTGAAATTTTAAGTCACTCCATTCTCTGAATTCTGAATTGCTCAGCTGTGAAATAGGAATATCAGCCATGCCTATGTCAAAGCATTTGCTGCAAAATCCAATAAAATAATGTATGCAAGATATGTTTTAAAAGTAGTAAAAGGACCTTATGAGCCAATCCTTAACATTACTGAATTACTACACAAAATTCTTTATCGGCACCTACTCAAGAATAAAAGAACAGGAGAAAAATCCATAGAGAGCTTAAAGAAGGGCATTTGCATAGTGCATTCATTTGCTAGTTTAGTGAAAGAAATTTTATTGTGTATCTCATTAAGAAATTCTCAAAGTACTCAAGATGTGGAAGAGAATACGCAAAGTTGGATTCTCTCAGCATTGCCCAAATGACATCTGATTTAGTATGTTCCCTAGATGAAAACAAGTCAAAAACTTGTTGGAAAAGACTCATAAAATGAGATAATTTTATGAAAAACAATTCTACAAATGTTTTAATGTGCTTGTAATTTAAAACTATAAGAAAAATGCAGAATTAAAGAAAATATATTGCCACCAATACTATCTTTCAGTAGTTTGTATTTTAGCATTGATTTTAACTTACATCATGATGTGACTAAAATATCCAATAAATTAATTTTTACAACTTGTAATTTTACCACAAACTAAATTGGCTCAATGTCTCAATTTGGAAAATAAATAGTTTTAGGGCTAGAGCCATCTCACAAACATGTGAATAACCAGAATAATAAAATAATAGTTTTAAAGCACCAAAGAGAGAAAGAGAGAGCTAGGGAAAGAGAATTTTGTTTAATTAAGCGGATATATTTCAAACCAAATTCACAATGTTTTCCTCAATGTTTCTATGCAGTAACCAATAAATCACACCACTGAATGCTTAAAAGAACATTTTATTTATACATACAAGTAGAAAAACACAGAGCAAATTACTGATCAAAAGCATTTCCATTTTAAATCACATTTCTTATTAATTAGAGGGGAAAAAACTCTGCTAGCTGATCATTTCAAAAGTAAATTTTTGAAAACCTGGTGATTTAAACCAACCATACTTCCCTCGAGATATAAAAAATTGTTTTTTTAATGAGATGGTCTACATTTGCAGAGTTCTAAACATATACCCTTTTCTGCAGCTGAGCAGGTGATCTCAACACATTTCAGGATGACATTTTTAACTTCATGTTATGGAACAAATATGTAGCATATTTCCACATTAGATATTTTTACAGCTTACTTTCAATTTCTTAAAATTAATTGTAGGTCCAGGTGCTGAAAATCCCAAATAACAGCAGAACATAAAAGAAAATATTTTAAATTTCTACTGGCACCTTTCTTTCCAGTATTTCAGGAAACACAGTCAACCAATGGAATCATGGTTTGCACTGCATCCCAGACTCTCCTGCAAAGGCTTACCGTTCATTCTCGGTGTGAGCAGTGCCGAGCCACGTAACACACTGCTCACGCCGCAAGGCTCCAAGAGCCCTGCCCACACAGCCTACAGAGCGTCAGGTAAGCGCCTTTTAAAGAAGATTAATGACTATGATTTATAGAAGGAAAGAGAGGATAAGAAACTCAATGTAAAAGTTTGTCATTAAAAATTAACTTTCTAAATGATACTATATACCAGGAAAAACAAAACGAAGTTTAAAAAAGGCACTTACCTCACTTCCCATAGGCTGGTTACACGATCCAGCTGGGTCGATAGGACAACACCAGCTTAGTGGGTGCTGGGATTTCACCTGGAACAGAAACTAGTGACCTATAACTTTAGCAGGTCTAACACCAAAGGAGCAAAAATCAAGGGTGCAATTTACATTCTAAGCTTCTGTGTCTTGCTGCTATTTGGGGCTATCAGCACATAATCCTACAATTAGTTCGCTTTATGAATACACATGTACACTTCCATCAGTCGCCATTCAAGAAGACATCCCTGTGGGTAGCTAGGAATGCTGCACACTCTTACCTGCCCCTTAGCATCCTCGGGCATGGCTTTAATGTGCATTCGTTTTAAACAACGAATTACTCCATCGTAAAACTGAACTGTGAATGTTCCTGAAAGAGGAGCAAGTCAGAGTCATTAGAAAATACAATTCAACCTTACAGCAACACTTGAAATCTACCAAGTAATGCCCTGATAGATATAAGTAACTGTGATTACAGTAACTGCAAACATACAACCCTGTTCGGGACTCTATCAAATTTAGTAAGTTTGTTTTCTCTTTCCCTCTAAAAAGTACACAAATTAAATCCTGATAAATTAGTTGCATTTCTGATTTTGACTGAAATATTTCAAAATTTATTTTGTAATGATTTAAATATGCTTAGATAACATATCGAGTATGTTATAATACACCTGGAAAAAAATAACATCATTATTTACAAAAAATGTGTAATATTTCTATGAAAGTGTACTCCCTTTCTAAGTCTCTCCCTAATTGACAGAAAGATCTAATAAAAGAAAAAAAAATTTCCTCAAAAAAAAAATCATTTCTTTGGTGACAATGAACTAGCAAATAAGAATTATAGATTCGCGGGCTTTTAAGCCAGGTCACCAGATGAGAGTCCCCAGTCCGGAGGACACCGCCAAACTGGGAGCCTTAAATGCTCACCACAGCCGTCACTAACTCCCAAACCCTCCCCTCCCCCTCACCACCACACCTCATCCTTCTTTGAGGACTCCAGACCCTGTCCCCATAGACCCTGTCTGCATGGTTGGTACAAAGCATGTTGTCTTTCCCCTAACAGACCACACGCTGGTAAGGCACTACAAGTCAGCACTATTAGAAAATATAAAATATGTACATTTTATACTTATGGAAATTCCAGTATTTTTCTATAATTCCCTGTACAAATGAAAGTAGAGTGCCACTTTAAGTAAAGACACCTGACCTTTACAAAAAACATATAAATAAATGTAATAATTGGCATCACTGGCTTTGAAGTTGGCACACAGGCACTGACATACTGCATGTACAAAACTTTTTTTATAATCTGAATTTCCTATTTTCCTATAATGAGTGTAATACATAATATTACAGATATAAAAATGTGAACCCAAGTTATGAAAGAAACTGGTATCGGTTGAACAGCTGGGAGATAAAGACCCCGGCAGTCTGGGAGTACACTGCGTGCGCACCCCAAACCGCATGCGCACCGTACACCGTCCTCACCCCTGTAGCCGCCTCTTCTCCAACACAGCTAGCTCTCAGCTCTTGGGGGAGCAGGCTGCTCACCGCACCCAACTGTGCGTCCCCCCCCTCCAACAATGGCTGCTCTGTCGTGATGCCTCCCCTCCTTTCCTAATCCCAGCTGGCTTCTCCAGGGTCAGTCTTCAAATCCCACACGTGGTCTGAAAACTGCCCTGACCACTGCAGTGATATGCCTCATCTTTTCAACCTTAGTACAAATACCTAAAACGTTCACGTTTCTTTACTTCTGTGAAACTTCTGCAGTAAACAGAGGGCTTCCTCTGCCTTTTCCTCTTTTCTGGGGGTGAAGGGGCAGGCTCACCCACCATGTGGGGCATACAGAAATCACAAAATGAGTACCTCTACAAGATTTTCAAAAAATAAATTGTATCTGCTCATGTTTCTCTAAGGGCTCACTTAAACTGCTCCCCAAACAGCGGCAGCTGCAATCGGTATCATCGCTCTGCACTAACATAAGCTGACATTCTGTACCACATGACCGCGGACACCAGCAGGGGTAAAGAACGTGGGCGGTTTTGTTTCTGAGTTGGATGTGGGCATTCCCAATGCACTTTAAGCCTCGAAGGAAGATCACAAAGCTCACTACTTTTAAACTGCTCTTAATGAAAAGGACATGGTTTAGTTTTGCTATGTTTTGTGTTGTTTGGAGTGGACAGTATTATCCAACAGAATTGATTCATTACTCCTTCCTTTCCTTCTGCAGATGGTTACTGACTGCCTGCTCTGTGCTAGGCTCTGGACTTGACCCTGCAGAAGCCCAGGTACCGAGAACACAGGAATACGGGCTCCATCATGGAGCTCTCCAGAAGCCTCCATGCAGCACAGGGAGATCAAGGCCCCAGCAGAAAAGGAGAAGTAACCACAGCACTGAGATGTCCCTCAGCTCTCCCTGCAGTGAGGTGACTGGTAGTGATAAAATTATAGCCATATTTGCTATTTCCAGTCATTAAAATGGTAAATGGAGTAAGACCTTTGTAAAGTTATAATCGTAGTTTCTAGCTAGATGACTATGACTTATTTTTCACATCTAACATTAATACAACTCTTTTAAAAGTATTTTTCTGTCTTCTTACCTATTTATCTCAAGTTTGTTTTAAGTTTAAAACCTCGGCTTAAATCCCTTCCATGGTTCCTTTCACCTCCAAATAAAATACAAATTCTTTTTTATTTTTTTAACCTCACCGAGGTCATTTTTTTCATTGCTTTTAGAAAGAGAGGAAGGAAAACAGGGAGAGTGCGAGAAACACTGACTGGCTGCCTGCCACCTGTGTCCTGCCCAGGGCCTGAGCCCGCAGCCTCGGTGTGTACCGACTGAAGCCTGAGTTCCCGGGTTCTCGGTTTACGGGAGGATGCTCCAACCAACTGAGCCAACCAGACCGGACGAAATTCAGATTCTTTAGCGAGACTATAAGACACTTATACCTGTCCTTGCTTCTCTATGAAACCTCTTCTCTGGCTATTCTACTCCCTTTAAAGGAATCCCTCACTCTAGTCACATGGGCGACTGAAGTCCTTCACAAGTGGCACACCTCTCTTCTTTCCCACACGCCATTTCTTCCATCAGAAAGGCACTTTTACTCCTTCGCCTTTCAAGATAAGTTTAAAGAAGTGTCCCCTTACTTAGATTAAATGCTCTCTTGCAAAGAAGCTGTCATTCAGTGTGCTTCTTTAGTACTGTAAAAAATGAGTGGTCAAGTTTGAGAAATAATTTAATAGAAAAATTAATGTATTACCAACTTGAAAGATACATTTACAATTATTTCGCAATTGTTTTAAAGGCTATTTTAAGTAATAAATTTTCAAAATGAGTGTATTTCCAATAGTTCAAATATTCTCATACCTTTTCAAAGTAATTGTTTTACAAGTTGTTTTTTAAGTTCATTACCTGTACAGTAGACTGATTGATCTTATGCCACATTGACACACCCGAATTCTGTGTTATTTTCAATAGTTGTAATCAGATCAGTATAGATATTAGATACCACAACAGGTTACTAGAGAACAATTAACCCTCAGTTATCTAAAGAAACTAAGAAAAAGTGCAGGGGAAGGATGCAATAAAGGAAACCCTCAAATTAATGAAGTTCCATACTCCATACTCAGGAAATAGCGCACGGTCCTTCACTTCCAAGTCAAACTGGTCTGAACTGCCTCTGCCTTAAACCTGTCCTCACTCTGGCTGAGACAAGCATCTAAAAGTAGCTCAGACAACCAACTGGAAGTAGGGGAGCAGAAATAAAAAGCATACAACATGGGCCTGTGAACTGAAAACTAAAACAAAATTAACCACTATTTACCTCTCCTAGCCTAAACAGTTTATTTAGGCACTAATTAAAATTAGAAATCCAGTGAAAACTTTACTGTTAATCCCATTTTCAATCTCAGATACAAGGTCGCTTCAGATACATACCTTCTTTGTTAATCGCTTCGATCTTGGCTGGGTAATAGCGACAGTCTGTCCAACGAGCCAGAACTTCTTCTCCAGCTTGAAAATCCTAGTTCAAACAACTTTGAAGATCAATACCATGTATAATAAGAGCTTCCTTCATAAAAATGAGCTTTTGTAAACTTTAACAGACTCCTTTTAAAATATATCGTTACCTATCTAGCAGTTAAAAAAAACCTCGCTACTTACAAAGAAATCTTCCTCGTCTTTCAGACCTTCCTTCCGTAACGCGGGCCTCTCCAGGGGCCGCAGCCTATTGCTGTCCCAGTAAATCCACTCGTCGTAACGATGACTCCAGCGCTCAAAATGGACCAGCATCTTGCCTTCCTCATAGTCGATTTTTTCAATTCGTGATGGATACCTCAAAAATAAAAAGGTGCTTCGTATCAAGAGAAAATTCTCACATTTCTTTACACAGAGTGTGAAAAAGTATGAACTATCGCTTACTGTGAAAACCACAAACCAAACAATATGGGCCCATATTTTTAAAGTACTCAGTCAACAAAGTTTGCTTTCTTATTTTTGTCTTTTTAAAATTATTTTCAATACCTGATAAACACTTTGATAAACTCCCAGTGTAAATAATTATTGCACAAGAGTCCTGAACATATTCCTACTTTTTACCCAATTAATTCCAATCCTAGAACTACATATACAAAATATTAATAACAAAGAAATAGAAACCATCTAAAATATGGTTTAAAAAACTGAAGACTGTTTATGGGTATACAAACAACAGTATATCCACTGAATGGAGATTCTTCCTTTATTTTTTACTATGATTTATGATTTTAATTAATTTATTTCTCTTTAGAGGGGAAGGGAAGGAGAAAGGGAGAGAAACATCAATGTATGGTTGCCCTTTGCACATCCCCTGCTGGGAAGTGGCCTGCAGGGAACCGGCCTGCAACCCAGGCATGTGTCCTGACTGGGAATCGAACCGCGATTGTCTGATTCGCAGGCCTGAGCTCAATCCACTGAGCTACACCAGCCAGGGCCTTTCCTTTATTTTTATTGTTGACACTAGTACAAATGGCCGGCCCTCTTGTCCACTTCCATGAAAGGATTATAGTGTATAAAGGTGGTGTTTACAGATCATTTTTCCATATTTTTCAGTATTTTATAATGAGAATCAATGGTGGTAGAGAAAGCACAGTTTAACCTTAAATTTAGAAACATAAAAATGCCAAAAATGATGTATTGTTCTGTCTTCATGTGTGATGACTCTCCTACAATTCAAAAATGTTAAGTTAACTCTAAAGTTTTAAAAAGGCAAATTGCTTCATTATTCCCTTTTTGAATTTTATGTTATTGACTGTGCTATTACAGTTGTCCCCCTCCACCGAGGCCACCCCCACACTGCTGTCCCAGCCTGCAGCTCGTGCATGTGCTCTCTGGCTACTCTCTCCTCCGCCGCTCTCCACAAGCCCATGCCTGTTCTGTAACCACGATCTGTACTCCTAACACCCTCACCGTTTTTGCCCATCCCCCTCACTCCCTCTCATCTGACAGCCATCAAAATGTTCTCTGTATCTGTGACTGTTTGTTCTGCTTATTTTTTTAGATTCAATCATTGATATGTATTTATGCTATTTTATTGTTCATATTTTTTATCTTCTTAAAGAAGTCCTTTTAACATTTCATATATCGGTTTAGTGGTGATGAACTCCTTTAGCTTTTTCTTGTCTGCAAAGCTCTTCATCTGCCCTTCGGTTCAAAATGAGAGCTTTGCTGGGTAATCTCAGTTGTGGGTTCTTGCTTTTCATCGCTTTGAATATTTCTTGCCAATCCCTTCTAGCCTGCAAAGTTTCTTTTAAGAAATAAATTAGCTGGCAGTCTTATAGGAGCTCCCCTGTAGGTAACTGCTTTTCTCTTGCATTCCTTCTGTACTATGTTAAGTGTTCACAAGTGATTCAATTTTTTTTTAAATCATTAAATAAACTTAAGAACTCAACAGCAGCACTATTATAGCAGCCATAATAGTTTACCTCCTATTTTTGCAGGAATCTGAAATTTTTCGTTTCCTCTGGAAAATTAGCTTTGAATATAGACCACGATAGACCTTACTTAACTGAAATGACTACTTCCCCCTTTACAGACCGGTCGACTCGAGGCTTCTTCCAGAGTCAAGGGCCCTGGCTCGTTCTCTGCTGTAGCATAGCTTCCTCCTCTACTTTGGTTTAATAACACTGAGCTACGGGGAGTTTACCGAGACACACCATGCTGTCAGGCATTTGTACTTTCGTACACTCTGTTTTTTCTGCCTCGCCCTGAGCTGCCCTTCCCTTCCTCTGTACGCTCATCATTCCAAACCCAGTTTAATGTGCAATCCCTTGTGTGAAGACTCCCCCGACTCCCTGCCCCACCACTGACTACGCCCTCCCCTCACAGCCAGCTCCGAGCAGCGAGCAGCTCCCTAAACCGAGTGCTGCACAGCCTTTTCAGCCCTTGAGATGGTAATGTGTGCACCACAAAAGAAGGGTCCTGTGGGCAGATGAACTAGAAAATACTGGATTTGAAAAAGCTAAACCACTTTCTTTATTGAAAGACCTCCTTGTCCCATCAATGAGACAGAGATAAATCACCATTACCAAACCGACAGGACTATGTAACCTTTCACTACAGAGCATTTATCACCGTTTCTCCAGATGGGGGCTCTAGGGAACGCAGGGGAAGCACCTCGGTCTGGCCTGTGAGCTTTGGGGAATGAGTCACGCCCATCTTTGCATCCCCCAGCATCTGTACGGTGGCAGACACACAGGCCCCTCAGGAGATGCTGAACGCGAATAGGAAAAGATGATCTGCACATTTCTCCAGAACCAAGAAGTCGGTCAACCCGGTTAGATCTTTAAGTCAGATGTAACTATAAGTTGGATCCTACCCTTAGTCTTTTGGGGAGTGGGTGAGGGCAGGGAAGACTCTGTCTAAAAACAGCCTAAAGCCAAGAACACTGAGGTACCGTAGCCCTCAGGTGGACACACTGAGCGTGCCCACCCACTTAGCATTGATGCTGTGATGCTGGTCTTTGGCAGCGATGCTCAGGTTGGTTTGTTTCTGCTGTTCCGGCTTTCTACACCACAGAAACATCAATAGCATCAAGGGAAACCTAGGAATAAGGCTTTCATTTATTTTTCAACTTTCACTAGCCGCTTAACTACTATAAAGAGATTTTCTGTCAGTTACAAAAATTGGTAAATTTCTCCCAAAACATAAAAGCCTCTAATTTCACATATTTACTTTCACATCTTTTAAAATTCTGAATAAAAAATAAGGGGCTTACTCTTAGGCTCCTTCACATTCTAAATATATCCAACCCTATATGTTTGAAACATTTCTCAAAGTGAGAACAGTCACGAAAACAGAATTAGACATTATCTTTAGTGTCACATGATTCAATTCAGTAAAAAATCAGAATCTGCCCTGGCTGGTGTGGCTCCATGGACTGAGTGCTGGCTGGCCTGCAAACCAAAGGGTCACTGGTTCAATGCCCAGCCAGGGCCAGATCCCAGCAGAGGGTGCGCAAGAGGCAACCACACATTAATGTTTTTCTCCTTCTCTTTCTCCTTCCTTTTCCCTTTCTCTAAAAATACATAAAAAAAATCTTTTTAAAAAAACAATAAAACAGAATCTGAGTTCAAATAATTTAAATCTGAATTACATTTTTAAGTAACTTATACTTTTCCCAAAATACTTCAAATTCTTTTGGCTGAAAGGATAACAGATGTAACAAGGCTAAAAATTACATTCTGGGGAACTTCTTCAGGATAATTTACAGCATATTATACTCTTTACATAAACATCCAGAGACATGTAAACTTTGGATAATGGTCAAGAATTAAGTGACACAAATACCTAAGATTATCTATTTTAATTTTTATAATGTTTACAAATCCAATTTTGAATCTTAAATAAAAGTCTCATAAATATTATCATTATCAAGAATGTCCAAGTTTCTGTTCGTTCATTCATTCATTCATTCAACATACATTTGGGCATCTACTAAGATTAAGGCACTTGCTAGATAGTACTGATAGGAAAAAGAAACTCAACTCCTGCCTTCCAGGAGCTAAGCTTAGAATCAGATGAGCTGACAGAATGGGAAGAATCAGAGTCAGGTGTTCACTATGCTCTTTCATAGACAGTGTCTACAGCTCTTTACAAACCTTATCTCACTGGATCCTGGCGATCCAAGGTATAGTTAACACAGTCCCCACTTAACAGATAAAGACTGACCCAAAATACATGTGGGTAGAGTATTCAAAGCCAAACTAATTGACACAAAAGCCTACAGAAGAAATGGGATAAGGCCTATATCAAAGTGATTATATCACACATGGTAAGCTAGTGAGTATACACAAAAATTTTACATAAGATGCTATTTACATAATAGTTCAGAGAAAACTGGAAAGTTCACCAAAGGTCCTTGGGAGACACTGTTTATGTTGGTCTTGTGGGGTGGGACTTTTAGGATTTACACTTGGCGAACACTGCAAACAGAAGGAAGGTGTCTTATACTTGGTGTTCATTTACTTTAAATCATCGTGTGACTCAAGGCTGGGCCACAGGCCAAGACAATGAGGATGCAGAGACAAGTCCAGACTTCAAGGACCTCCTGATCAGAGAACGAAGGGGTGCTTCCAAAAAACAGTGAGGTGAGTGAAGGAGAACTGTGGGAACAGACTAGACCAGTTAACTCGACCCCAACGAAAGGGCTCTGAAACAGCAAACTAATAAAATGATCCTTTATTCTACAAACAACAGGGAATTCCGTAAAGTTATACTTCATCTGGTTATCACTTATACCCTAGAAAAAAATGTAACATCAAGATCTCTGCTGTACTTGTTAAAATGCACAAAATGGCAGCTGAACAGACAGTTGTACACAGTGAAAAGGTTTCTGTTCTAGCATATTGCCATAGTAGTAATGCTTTGATGCACAAAATGAATGAAAAATACTGTTGAACAAATACATTCACGATGCCTCTCCATCTTGAATTACAGCATTATTTTCTTTTTAAAGATTTTATTTATTTATCTTTAGAAGGGAAGGGAAGGAGAGAGGGACAGAAACATCAATGTATGGTTGCCTCTCATGCATCCCCTGCTGGAAACTGGCCTGCAACCCAGGCATGTGCCCTGACTGGGAATCGAACTGCAATCCTTTGATTCCTGTGCTCAATACACTGAGCTACACCAGCCAGGGCAAATTATAGCATTATTTTGATGCACTATTTATGTTTTATAATAATTTTAGTCTCGATGGGACATTAGATTTTTGGTACTGACTTTGGAAGACGTAATGATAATGTTTCCATTTTGTCATTGTTTAAAATGCTGAATCATGGAAAGCTGTTCAGTAAG